TGAAAATGCATTGTCTTCAAATAACCCACCGTAAAATACCTATAGGAAAACAGAATAGCAAAATTTCGTGTTGTAAAATATAAGACATGCAACACTTCTTTTCCATTATTTTTCTATTATTTTCAAGTGGATTCTACTTTCACTATGTAAATAGGTACTAGGGAAACCTGAACATGAATAAGGTACAAAAATAGATTACAAAAGTGCTTATGGAGAATTCGTATGCGTTGACATGGTAGATAGAACCAATACGTTCAAATGTGTATTTCGTGTTAACCCAGGTCGTGGTGTGTCTACCTCATTTGAATCCCCCATTGGAATAGATTTTGTTAAGTTGAGGTTACTGACTTTTAAAATCTGTTTGAGGTAGATCGTGAATGAGAATGTGGCGTATGTATGTACTACGATAACGTATCTACCTACATCGGTGTTAATTTGTCTACGTTTATTGATCCAATTGATAAGTATAACTTTCAAGGATAGCCAAGCTTCGGCATGAATGGGTAGGCTCGACCGGATTGATACCACGGCTTCACTGGAAACCGGCGTCAACCACGCCGTTGTGTTTCGCCGTGTGAGTGAGGTTGCCGGAGGCCCAATCCCTCCCCCTTCCTCCATCCCTTCCCAATCCATAAATATCCGAATCCTTAAAAGGTTGGCAGCGCACTCGCTTTGGTTTTAAGGAAGTCCATGGGCGGCGACGATTGCTTACCATCAGGCAATCCTGTCTGCTCGTTTGCTGACCTATAATATAAAAAAGGAGAGTAAAAATGTTGTCACTTTTGTTAAAAAGAAAATGAGTCCTTAAGTAATTTAGATTTTGGTCGGCCTGAAAGCGTTTGTTTGATCGAATAATATGGCGAATATTATTTTGCAGTTTACGAGTTGTTGAGGTAGATAATGTTCATGTCGAAGCAATTGTTTTCGGAAAGATAGTCATGTTAAGCATGCGTGTTCGATATGAGCAAAAAGCAGGAGTCGTAAAACGAGACCTTACCCTGATTTCTTCAAGTTGTAGTGAACAATTTTATGTCAATACAAATGCGTTTTATCGCAACAGTGCGTACGTACATAATCTCTACTGAAAATTACCTTGGAAAAATTCACGTTACACACACGTAATAAATTCTACACAAACACTTTTTCTTCAAGTTTGGAACGAAAATCTATTTCAGTGTACCTACAGTAACAAGGCCGAATGAATGCATGTAGGGCAAAAAATATTTGTCATCAACAAATATTTGACAGTATAATTCTAAATTATTGCGGACATTTATAATGTAGGCAAATGGGCGCGTGATGTATGGGGTAAATAACAATTTGCAACCCTTTGTTGTAGGGATGATTATTATAACGCCCAGCACCACGGGGGGCGAGTTGACACCTGATCAATGGGAAGCGGGTACAAAAAGCCATTGTTACATTTTTATTTTGAAGATCTCTCGATGTATTCATACAAGGATTAAGGAGTTTTTTTGTTGAACATGTCAAGTTTTTTTGAATTAAAATATGTATATTTTTTATTAAAAATCATGGAACAAGATTTTAGAACAGTTATGTCAAAATAGTTAGATTTTTACAATCAACTAATGACGTAGTATATATTTAAACTGTCTTAAGAACCACAATAGTATGTTTCAAAGTCACTATGGCTATAAATAGATTCTGCTTTCTATCGACCTCAGATATTTTATGTGTTCGGCGACAACGCAGTAAACATTATGATGTCGTCTGGGGAGGTGCCGACTTTAATTTTTAATTTTAAAACATGCGCGGCGCGTGTTCTGGCACCGCAGGCGCGTGCCTGACGTCGTCAAGTAATCACCATCGTATAGGTTTGAATAACAGCTTTTCTTCTCGTACATTCATTAATTATAAATTATTTTAAGTAATTCTGTATTTTCTTTATTTTACCAACAGTTTAACAAGGAATCAACGCCGAAGCGATTGGGCAACTGGCAGGTCCCACGATGGGCGCCAACAAGAGCAAGACCTTTAGAAATGCGACCTGATCCCAAACCTATCTGTGATATAAACGGCCACTTCTTACCAGGAGCCCCAAGAGGAACATCGCGATGCTTTGGCCATTACACCGGCACCTGGGAGCTCCCAAGGAAAATAACCAGGAAAGTTGGTAGGTTAAGTGTCAGTACTAATAAAACTTCGATGAACTGTGTCATTATCGTTCGACCTTGGTTAAAGTCATAAAGCTCCGTCATTTATTTGTCAACATACACGCAAAACACTTCCTACTCCCTAAAAGTATCGTGTTACGCAGTAGTTAAGTGACTGTTTTTGAATATTTCGATACTTACCGATTTGTTCAATGGTTGCATGAATATGGACTTTTTAAATCGATGACCTATTAATGTGGTTGCATGCAAAATTATAATCAGGATATATATCTGCTACGAACATTTGCAAATTTCGGGTTTTCAATGTCAAGTCGTGCAATGTTATCGTGTGCGCCTTTCTCGTTTCAGCGGAGGAGTTAGCGAAGGAGCCACCCAATGGGAGATTTCCAGATTGGTTGAATCTTCGTGTTCAAAGGCCGAAGGTGATTGCTCAGACGCGCCTGCGCGGTGGGAAACGCGGCAAACCACAGAAGGAGCCCGGCGCGACTAAATTGCAAGATGCCGAGCAGACGTTCGAAGTGAGTGAATAAGGTTACACGCGTGTTTCGATTGACGAGGGTTGCGCGCGAAACGTGCTCTTGTTTGTTTGTGGTGGCGTGTAGTAACGGGTGTCGAACTGCCGACGTCACCACTACATACGTCTCCTTGAAAGTTTTGCATTCCGAAGTAGGTCAGTGTTGGTGACACACGTAGTTGCTTGTAGTTTACAGTTTTATTTTTGTTGCGAGACTTGGCCCTTTCTTTCATTCAACAAAACTTCTTAGTACTTGGGTACATAGCTGATAGCTACTGTACCTAGTTATCTGCTAACTATATTTTCATGATTATTTTCGATGTGCAATCTTATTAATGGGCAAAAATGGAAACAACATTTTGTTGACTAAGACCTATCTATCATATCTATAACTTGAATTAACCTTCAATAAACATCCTGACGATAACATGACATGAACAATGTAATATCTATAGTGGATTATTCATGTATACCTACGTCAGCTAATCTATTGGGAAAATTAATTTATCAATGAAAAAACCAATGCCGAATATATTGTGCAGTTGTATTTTAACTAACTTGAACACCTTTTAAATGCACGGCTTCTTTTTATGTAGCGATTGAAATTTAATTTTAATTTTATTTTATTTCAGCCACACAAATGTCCATTTCACAAATCCAAAAAGGAAAGAATCGAAAGAGTTCTAATTTAAAGCACGATTTAGTAACATAGTGATTAATTTATATTTATTATTATTATTTTAATAATGGTTGTGTCACATGTATGTATTGGTCTTCTAAATTTTACATGTCTGTGCATAGAAGGATAATAATACAGAACAGCAAACTGATAACTACGAACACGATAATAATACAATCCAGAAAAATGATGAGAAGGTAAACGATCCATTAGAATTGAATATTAAAAAGGAGCCAACAGATACGGAGGGTCGCGGGCCGTACGTCCCTGGTGATCTAACCGATCCAGACAAAAGGCACGAGAGTCACGATATCTTAGTAAAAGACGCTGTCGAACAATTACACGGACCTCAGGAGGACGACGTTGACAAATTTTGGAAAAAGGTAGCCGAGAACGCAAAGAAAAATGATCAACTTGATGAACAGAATAATATGAGAGACAATAAAACAAGTGGAACTCCTAAGCTGCCGCAAGTCAACGTCGCACAAAACTTTCAATTTGCTCGTAAGATGCACGTCGGAAATCTGGAGCATCAGCCGTTGCCTGATACTTTAGGATACCGAAATTTGACAAAAATCGCAGAACATCGTGATTCCGACATCATTGTCAAACCTTACGCTATCGGCTGGAAAGGATACGGTGCATCTGGTCCTACGTGTTGTACTAAAATGCGTGTGCATAGGCCTAAGACATGTGACCCTAAGAAAACGGATGGTGATAAGGGAGAGAGTCAGAGGCCATCGACATCGGCCCCGGATTTAGGAGGACAATACACAAAACCTATGTCGCTCATGGACCTAGCGATATGCTGGGATTTCAGACCAGATGATCCTAAAAGAGAGCCGCGACCGCCAAAACATATAGATGGATCAAATGGTTCGAAGGCACCAGCTGTATTCACAATGGTTCATACACCAAAAGAAGAACACGAAGGTATCAGTATTGGTCATACAAACCCAATTTTTAACCAAAATCGTGTAGTGGGTGACGTTGGTCATCATCCTGTGCCTTACTTTGAGAAGGACATGGCAAAGGAAAGACGAAGGGATTCTTGTGACGTTCAGCATTGTCCTCAACATGCTAGTGCTAATGAAAAGGTTTCGAGATCGGCTTCATCAAGCAGGAAGAGTTCAGGCTCTGTAAAGAAACCAGAGTGTGATGGAATCCATGGATGTGGCACTCCCAGTGATATGAGCCATAAGTCAAGTCGCAGCGATTCACGGCCAGAGAAATTACAACCAATTAAAGATGCTTGGAACACCAAATCTAAGAATAATAACAGTGCTTATGATGTAAATCGGAATCGCCATAGTCTAGAGTCATATGAGAAGACTCCGCTCGCACAAGGCAAGCTACACCACAGCTCACCGAACGAATCGCAACAATTTTCGCGACGTTCCACAAAAGACAGTGATTTATTGAATCCTAAACACAAGAATTGCGTGTCTTGTAATGGAACAAAATTAGTCCAAGACACGAAACAGAAGGAGGATTATAAGTTTGCGTTTAAAGCTGGTAATCCTAATTCAGTGCAGAGCGTGACTGGTTCTACTGACTCTAAAGGAGTAAAAATGCCGAAGATGCGTCATCCATACAGCAAGAAGTCGTACACAATACCAACATTAGCTCCCCCGTTCAGCATTTGGCGGGATGCTAACGCAACTGGGTACCCTGAACACTGGCGACTAGCGAGCGTTTACCAACATGCGTATAAACCACCCGAGCAACGACGCAAGCCGCTTATAGATAGTGTATATCAATGACAATGAAAACGCACTTTTGACTACATCCGTTTATTGGGTCTTATGACTAAAATTACAAACTGTACATTAAATTATTTTCTTCAGCTGTTCAGAATTAAAATATTTGTAAAATGATCAATCGGTTTTTTAATGCCTTATCACAACAGCTGCGCTACACCTGCGCGATATCGGGTCAGGTGGTATCAAAATAATACACGCTTACGACAATTAGTATTCACGGTAAGAACCTTTCATATTCCATGAAGAAAGTGCACTTCCGAATCGTCTCCCAAGCTTTGCTGCAGTAGTGGAACCATCCCTTCTCTGAAAGATTGGGTACATTAGTGATTTGATGCCTATTGACGCCGAGGATCATCCATCGAAGTCGATTCGCCAGTTGCTCGAATGGGGGATGTCCACGGTATATTTCCGGGTTATCTATAAAAGAAAAAAAATTATTAAGTAGGTGGACGTAACTCTGGTGAGTATGTAGGTATGTTTATTAGTTGCGAGGGAGTAAGAGGTAGAAAGTGGAGACTATTCCGTTGTTTCTTCTCTATTTATAGAGACATTATTTATAATGTCTTCTGATTTATTTCGTTGCGGGATCCAAGACAGTCATTCATGTCCCTAGAACATTCAGGACCGGACCGGACTTCAGTGATCCGGTGTTTCATGGTTGTATCAACTGTACATCCTGGCTTACAATTTTAGGAGGTTGTTGCGGGCTTGTCCAATAAAACAAAATGTTTATTATTTTACCGAGATTACTGGGTGACGAGGAACGCAGTTACTTTATTAACTCGTGGATTAATACATTCTAATTACCACCTCAAACAGTTAATAGCTATATATAGTAAATCAAGCAAAAAATCTATCTATCTATCTATCGAAATTACTCGTCTTCGTATATGTAGACATTGTCAAGATTTATGTATAAAAAATAGGCATATAGTACGTGATGCAACTCACAGTACCTACCTATACTGACGATAAAATAACGATTATTCGTAATCTGTACAGGAATATAAAGATAATTTCGAAAATATTTCTTAGTCATCGCAGCTGATCATTTAGATAAGATGTTAATCTAATCCCCTGTCTGTATAACATTTTGTTTTGAGCCTAGCTTCGTTTACGTTTGATTTGTAAAGTATTCATGTAATTGTGTGCGATTGATAGACATTTAAAATTTGATAGATATTTTGACTGTAGGGGAGCTATGCTTTTGGTATGAATGAAGAAACGCCTTAAAACAAGGCAAGGTTGTGTACCGGAGGACCAATTCATCCCCACAACTCATCTCTCACTAAATCCCTTTTCCTTCCTTCCTTTCCTAAATTCCTTTTCCCCAAAAGGCCGGCAACGCATTTGCAACTCATCGGATGTTGCATATACAATTCATTGGGGAATCGCATATATAATTTGGAACGCTATTTCCCAGAACCCTTAAGTCTAGCAGCCAGAGCAGAATATATTTGTTTTGAATGCACTTTGGAATGGTAAACATAGATCTCATAGCTTTAGTCTGAAATTTTTCCAAGATCTTATGAGCAATGTGTATCCTGCGAATAAATATGACAAAATTCATTCAAACATCGTATTATGAAATCACTTCAAAGCGGTTTGCATACATTGGTTATATAGGTAGTTGTTGGAGGCATAAACTAATACACTAGCGACTAAGTAGTAAACTTTCTCTAAATATTTAGAAAAATAAAAAAAAAAATTTTTTCCAACATCTTTTCACTAACAGTTTTCAAGATTTCCCTTAAATTATTATCATGTAGGTACTTTCTGTGTACTTGAGTCAGCGCAACTCAGTCATTCAATAAATGAAATCTCTAACAATCACGATTGCGATCATTTACAAAAATTGAGACGTTACAATTTCGTTGGATAATTTTAATTCACAGGATTTTTTATGTAGATTGTGGGTCCGGGCACGGCTTGGATGGAGTACGAGTAAAACTTGGTAGGTTGTAGGCAATTACAGCCTTATAACAAGGTTTTTCTTTAGTCTAGGTCTAAACGTTCATTTCAGACAAATACCCATATTTTATGTGATATGTCGGCAAATGAGCAAACTGTTTACCTGATGGTACGCAATCAGCGTCGCCCATGGACATCCGCAACGACGGAGGAGTTACGAGTGCGTTGTTGACCTTTTGGGGATTAGGGATTTTGGGAAAGTGAACGGATTGGGGTAGTGGAAGGATTGGGCCTCCGGTAACCTCACTCACACGGCGAAACACAACTCTGGTTATTTCACGCCGGTTTTCAGTGATGCCTTGGTTTCACTCCGGTCGAGCCGAACCCATTCGTGCCGAAGCATGGTTCTCCCACACTTAAATATCCATATTTGGTTAGTGAGTTAGTAACAATATTAACTTAGAATTTATGTGTTAGTGGTGTTAGTATCTAACTATTATATATTTTATAGTTATAATTTGCATCTATAAAATTAAATTTAATACCCTTATCCACTGCGTTTGGAAAGCAGGCAGTCATACATAAACCATTACCAATTTTTGTATTTTAAATTGAAGGTAGGTGAGAATAGGATTCAAAATACAAAACCTGACTTAATGGTTTAAACCTTGACTAAAGATAAATCTTTTTTGTACCAACCAGGGCGGCAAAAGGTATTCAGTGATTTTCCCCCTTAAAAAAGTGTATCTTTATACTTATTACTATGAGTTAATTGTTATTGTTCATCACTATAAAAACTAGTTATATGGCATTACTGCGTGATCTTTAAGAAACAAGTAATTTTATAAATTTGGTACAGAAGTGCATTTGCATGTCTCTTGAGAAAGTGAAGTTATTAGATAGTACTAGTACAACCCATTCCCCCTTATTACAAAACAAGATTTATCTTTAGTCCAGGTTTAAACCATTGAGTCGGGTTTTGAATTTTGAATCTTATTGTCATCTACCTACAATTCGAAATACAAAAACTGACTCTAGTCCTAGACTAAAGTAAAACCTTGTTTTGTAATAAGGCCGATTGTTTTGATGAAACTTTGGGCAAATCTTCACCTTGAACTTGAGTTATTTGTTAAAAAGTTTCATTGATAATATCACGAACTTAAATAAATATTTTTGATGTAGCTCAACACATTATTTATTGTTGCAATTACATATTTAATTTATTAAATTAAAAAAGGACTTCGAAATTCATTCAAATTAATACAGACCACGCAACAATACCAAAAGTTAGTTACTTAGGAATAAAATAACATTAACCTTCAACCGTAGATCACAAAAACATTGACTGAACTAAATTCTTATTTTCCAAGTTAACTTGCAACTTGATTTATTGTCAAACTTGCTAACGACAAACTATGTAACCTTTACAAAGACAAATGATTGTTGCCCGACTGAATGAACGAACGAAATAACCTTGTAGGTGCGTCCTCAAACTTACCAAAGTCAGCGTATATTTCCGGAAGTAGGAACAAATTAATGGGCGTCCCGCACGTTTGCACGCTGTAACCTTTGCACACGCTGTCGACGTTCAAATTGTTCTTGTTTGTGTCGCTGTACATGTAAATCCCAGAGTTCAACTGCAGATTGGACTTTAGGAATGCTTTTCTAGAAATAGAACATGTTCACGTTACAACGTATCTAGCTATACGAGGATTTGAATTGAAATATTTTGTTAAAATGTCTTTTTTCAATATTGGGTTATCGAATGCAATGAACTGCGTTCGGTTCTAGATTGCGGTTGGCGTTGTAGCTAGGCAACCGGATGCCGAGCCACTTATTGCGGATTCGATTCCCGAACAACATATATTGGTCTGGGTGCGATGTGTATACGACTTTGTATGTTTCTACTCACAGCCATGATACAGGACACTTATATCAGACTACATAAAAATCAATTAGATTCAAATGTAAGTAATACATTTTTTAGATAATAAATACAGTTTGTTATTAAGTCATGCTATATAGGGGAGAGTTTGATAGCCCCGGACGGCGCGGCGGGTAGCCTCGGCCACTGACTATCCTATACATAGACAAAATACAGTATATAGGTACATCAAACCATTCGCAGCGTCGCGTCGTTTAGTGGAATATTCGCCGCACTAGTGCTACAATCGTCGAGTAGACAACAAAATGTTGATTGTTTTCATCAGCGAACATTTTTTCTTGCGCCGTTTACATTTTAAATACAGTTTATATGTTAGATGTGTTTGTGATGTCATAATATTATAATCTATAAAGTTTCAAAATACGAATGACACAACGAGAATATAAGTCATGCCTTCCGACTTTTTAGTCTTCTACTTCATGATAAGTAACTAACTGCATACTAAAATGCATACAGTTGACTATAATCAAATTTTGCCAGAATATTGTTACTGACCTATATAGATCTTGCATGATGCGCAAAGACTCCGGAGTATAATCTTCAAGCTGGCAACGATTATGTAACAGCAATAAGTGAGGGTGACTCTCCCCGCCTCCTGTCGACTCCGAACCTTCCTGATTACTCTGAGCTGTATTAGAAGCCGACAGAGACGGTTTTAGCATTTCAGCCGCTTGGATGTACCTGCAAAAGAGCGTGTCGTCAAGAAGTTAGACTTTACTTGGATTGTAGGTAATTAATGATTACTTAGTAGGTACTTAGGTTGTAAATATTATTATTTTTATTATATTACATTATTAAAAGTTATTTTATTGTTAAATAGGTAACAAGCAGGTTATCAATTTTGACCAATTCGTCGAGTCGCCCAAACTTTGACGAAATGTCGCAGCAGGAAGGTGACACAAAGTTATATATTAGGATTGAGGAGCCACATCAGATTTTTAAAATGTGATTTCACCATTATTTAGCAGCAATCAGCACGAATTCTAGATTTAGCAGCAAAATATATCTCTAGTTATTTTAATGAAAAGGTGCCATCTGGACCTTGTTAAATAATAAGTAATGTAATGTTTTTTCAGAATTCAATACATATAGATTGCTGAACTGTGCACGTATATTTACCAAACATTTCTGCTAAATGTCAGTATCTCTGGCTTTAAATTCCGTTGAAATCTCAGGTGACTACAGTAAAACATATATAAGGAGCCAAAGAAAATACGTGATTCCTATCCTGCAACAACAAACGCAACACCTGCTAAATGATCATTATGTCGAATATATTAATTGATCGCTTACATCCAATAGAAATGCTTCTCTTGAGTTAAGTAAGACTGAGGAGCCATGAGCCAAGCATCGTATGTTCTTTCATATTAGGGCTACAGAAGCAAAAAATTTTTACGGCAATACCTATGCAAAATTGCTGCTAAATAGGGTTATACAAAATTAAAACGAGTTCCAAGTGACTCGTCAATCTAGATGCTTAGATTGAAGAGCCACCTTTTCATTAAATACCTAACTAATGATATCTTTGCTGCTTAATTTGTTTATTAAATTATATTTTTTATTTTATTATAATAGGTTCACCAACAATTGTTTACACAATTTAATTATAAAGTACATCCTTAACAAAAATATTAAAGTGTAAAAATCACTTAAAGGTGAACACCACTTGCTTAAATTAATATCAAACCAAAAGTGAAAGAAAAGCTAGATAGAACTTAAATTAACTTAACCAGAAATTACACATGACAACATTAGAAAAACTAGCGGTCACCCGGCAAACGACCGAGAATGGATTTTAGTTTAGCAAGAGAGTCAAGGTGTAGATCAACAACATCACTGTACCAATTTACTGCTCTACACATTCTTGCATAAGTCTAGAATTAGTGCTGCAAAATAGACTACATTGCTGCTAAATAATGGTCAAATCAGATTTCAAAATCTCATGTGGCTCCTTAATCCTGACTTACATAGTTCAATGTAGGAATGAGAGATATGTCAATTACCATACCTTAAGAAGTTATAATCTGTGAACCAATCCTGAACAGCAATAAGTACATGGCATATAGCCATCAAATAAGATGCTATTTGAAGACAGTCCACTGTCACTACGTTAGCACTTCTAGCTGTTACTGCTGTGTTAGATTCTTCAATGAGTGAGGGTGACCACAATGCTTGGCAGTCGAGGAGTATCACTCGGTCCTTCGTTATGTACATGTCGATTCCTGTAATGATACAGTAAGAGTGTGTAGGTTAGAAACATTACATTATAATATTATGAACATTAATCAGTTACCATTGTTATTAATTTTATTTTATAAAAAAAACATAGATTAAGGATGAACAATAACAGAAAATAATAATTGCTAGTAATTGAGATTTTTCGAGAACACAGATGTTTTTTGGAAAAACGTAATGGTGTTGCAACTTCATAAAAGTATTGCATTTTTGGTAATCACATAGCATTTGACCGTTAAATCGCCTGGTAGAGGAGGATAAAGAAACAAGCTTCTAAAAGTTTGCACACACATGGACTTTGTGCCTTGATCATTTGTGTGTAAACTAAAATACAACTTCACATGCTCATGACATCCAGATTTGAAAAGACAATTATTTAAATTAATAAAATTTGTGGACTGCTAGTTGCCTAGTCAGAATGACAACCAAGCAGAAAAAAAATCCATGCCACTTAAATTCCTATGACAACTATAATAAATCATATTAGATGTGTTCGTTACCTTTTGTGCAATGAACACCCCTCTCAATTTGTTCAATGTCTTGCATCTTAAATTTAAAGATATTGTCAGTTTTCTCAGTTCCTTTCACATCTGGCACTTCACGAAAGTCTAAACTTTCCAGTTGGTTTTCTAAGGGGCCCATCTCATTACTGTCAAATGTCTTTTCTTGGGGCATTTCATGAGAGTTCAATATTTGAGTGCATACACTCTGGTCATGAGCATTGGCACCAATCAGGTTGAGGATCATTGACTTCCCGACACCTTGGGTACCTGGAATTTAAATTATTCAGATGAAGAATTATCAATTAGGTTAAAAATGACACATTATGCTCATAAGTCAGTACTATTTGTTTATTTTGTATACTGGTCATAAAAAAAACAAAAAGCTTAAGGACTAATTTAATCATACTACATATATGAGTATACAGTAAGAATTTTACAAATAAGGAAACTTTTTATTATTTAACTAAAACAGAAATAATTAAAAAAAACCAGAATGCATTTGCCATTTTAAAGATCCAGATACTGAATGTAAGTTCATACTACTACCCTACATTTTTTATTAACATATTTGCATTGCTGCCCTACACTATGATTTCCTCCTATGTCATATATGCATTTACAAATAAACAAAATCACATACACAAGCTACCCAGACCCGAAAGATAAGATTACACAATTTTTGTTTCATAGGGGAATCTAAACCCGCCCAGCCTCAGCGCCGATGTTAATAAAACTAAGGATAAACAACATTATATGTATATAAATAATGTTAAAATTTGATGTGGATGTGCACATTGCTTCAGAGAGATAAAGAATAGTCAAACGTTTCATTATAATAGTACTGTCCCATATGATAATTTTCAATTCAGAACATACACATAGATTACATTTAAACCTCTTTTCTATATCTTACCAATAATTCCAACCACTAAATAGTTAGTGCTTGAGTCATGTAAGAACTCTAAAGCACTGTGATTTAGTTCTAGGTTCTCATCCAGTAGCTTCACAGGTTCAGTCATGTATTTCAAAGGAGGACTGGGTTTTTGCTCTGAAATAAAAAGCAAACATGGTAATATTATTGAAAACTAGATGATGTCATTTTCATAAACTATATTATTGATTTGTCTTCTTAGATCTGGTCTTTCTGACAAAAACAAACGAGTCTAAAGAGTTAGTTTAAGAGAATGATCTTTTTACTACTTAAATATAACATATACTTAAAGGTATTCAAAAGTACCATATCATGTTATTTAAAAAAATTACCAGTTGCTTTCTTCTCTTTGTTTTCATTTTGCGCAATTTTACATGGATGAGGGCCATCTCCTTCAGAGGTTGAAGTTTTAATAGTTTTAGGACTAAGAGGACGTTCCTCTTTTGGAGTACTCTGCTCTCTGGTCTTCAATATTATGGTGGGCTGTTTTTCCTTTTCCTGTTTCTCTTTAGCCGGGTCCTTCGCAGTTTCGCGATCTGATTTCAATATCATAGGCCGTCTAGGCGTAGTAGTGTCCTGTAACATTCATTTTAAAATAATATAAATAATTTACCCAAGTATACCTTATAATATTTTGTAAATATGTGTGGATAGGTAAAGTAGTAGTTATAATCTTTTTTAAAGTTACCTTTGCGGTATATATTTTCTTCTTTTTATCTGCCATGTTAGTTAAACAAAGTTTATTGAGTTTTCAGTTTTCAACTTTTAAAATAATTACATACAACATTTGTTCGAAATTATAATTTTACAAACACCACACACGATTTATTTTCATAATAATATTATTTACTGTCAATTTCATTCTGTCTTTCAAAAGTTAATTGTCAAGTGTCAATTTGTCAAGCTACCTTCAAGATTTTTTTAAATTGTATTGCCCATAAACATTAGAGAGAAATACGAAATCAGTAATACAAAAAGTTGTCCAATGATAATTTCAAAGGATATGTTCCCTCCCACTATGGCTTATTGGAATACCTTACAATTTGAATCGAATTCATTTGTATTCAGAAGCATGAGTTATTTCAATAGTTGCCGAAGAACAATGTCTAGGTAGACAAAACAATAATGCTTATCCGTATGGACGTAGGGCAACCTACTGCATAGTAATATGCAATGACGTGCGTAATAACCATGGATTATTAGCAAAATACCAGCGTCAGGTATACTAGTACTAGGCTACCTTGACATAATATGCTGAGCTAGACTCCCATTCGGTGCAAACTAAAGACACATTGTTGAACCGAGCCGTATTTTTTTCCTTTTCTCTTTCTTTACGTTCTATCTTTCGTACTACAGCAAGCAATTTAAAGTTATAGTTTTTTGTTAATTAAAATTTAAAAATGTATAAAAATGCCACCTGTGACAATCGAAGGGCAATAAGCAGCTTGTCGTTTTGTTTTTATTATACAATACTACTTTCTGTTTTGTTCTATAAAAGCGTAACTGAAAATTAATTTATGTGCGAAACTATAATTACAGCACTGCTTCTTATTTGAAAGTTGGAAGCATACATTTAAACAAGATTACAAAAAATATCTAAACGATACGCAAAATTATTTATTGGTGAATTTTTCATCAAAACTATTATCCGGGACGGGACTCTTTTCGTTGCAAAGCAGATTTATTTATAAAAACTAACCAAATCACAACATTCTTTTGTATTGACTCAATAATTATCAATACCGGTTGATTGTATATTTTTTTAAAGCATAGGGTGATTCTTCACATCAATTAAAAAAAATTTAATAACGTCATTATCCTCAGCCGAAAATTAACGAGTCTGCTGATTAAAACACAGATAATTATTTTATTAAATTAAATCTCACCACTGCTTACAAGCAACCGATTAAAAATATTGTATAAAATAAATTACTAAGATGCTTAAAAACCTGGGAGGATAATGACTTGTTAAATAAAAGTTAAGGTTTTTTGGAGAATCACCCCATAACCTCCTTTTTTAGAATCCACATAAGTATTTGATAAAAAGATTTGTATCTATGATCAAGAGTAAATTAATAAAAAAAAAGAACTGTCGTTCACAAGTCATACACAAAGAGTGAAGTGGATTTTAATACTCAGGAAATTGTATTACGTTTCTAATTGTTAATCCATCAGCAAGATGGGATACTTTAAAGTTTTTAGTTTTATAGTGATCTATTTGACCTGCATATTATCTGTCATAAATGCTGATCAGTGTGAGATGCGGGCACCGTGTGTTTGTGTTTTTTCAAATGGCACCGGAATCGACCTCACTCCTGCAATTTCAACTGAATTTTACACAGCTAGTACCTATACGGTTAAGATGAATGGGTCGCAATATGAAATGAGTACCTATTACTATCATCCATGTTACGACGTTAATTTGAACGTGAGCCAGTCACTTCCTAAAAACACTTGTACTTTACCTTTGTCGGTAAGTTTCATTGTATCTTATATGGATAATTATAGTTGCTACATCATACCTAATAATAATTGTAAATCGTCTAGGTCATCTTACCCAGTATGGGTTTCACAATATAATGTCAGTATAATTTAGGGCCTCATTTGTTACATTTTGTTACCGCCTACCGACAAAACGTGTTTACTGTGAGGCATTGACGAAACCAGTTTTACCATAAAAAATCCGTAATCAATACATAATTCTATTTTAATGAAGTCAAATGTTTTAAACTTTCCAAATGTTATGGAATGTATTATGGTGTTTGGTTTACCTAAACTAAAATAAACTTGACTGGAAAATTGATAAGAACTCTATTTTTATAATATGTTGATTTATAATATTCCTGAGTATAGTCAAGTACATAATGGACAATATGATCATTGTTCTATGCTGCTAAACATAATATTCTATACATATAGGTACATAGTAACAAGAGCAGCTCAAAACAATAATATAGGAAATAAATAATACAGAACATATGTTTTCTATGAGTTAATTTATTTTAAATTACCATGAATCAAAATAATTACCTAGAAGAGTTTGAATATGGTTGATTTTTATTATAACCAATGATTTCAAATATATTATAAGATAATAATATTGTTAAGTTCACCCGAAACAGTGGGAAAAAGCTATATTATATATTGTACCATCACTTTGGCAGTTCTCATGCAGATCCTTCCAAATATATGAAAACTCAAGCTCTTTCCAAACATAAAATCTCAAGTATATGTACAATTTTGTAATATACATCTTGCACTTATAACTGTTTATTTGAAATCAACAAAATAAACAAGGTTGTTATTTTTTTAGATAATATTTATCTGATGTGTGCAAAAGAAGTAACTGCACTTTTATCGTGTATTATTGAATGACATTCAAGAATGGAACAGTCAAAGAATACTTTTAAAACCCACCATTTTTCCACCATACCAGATACCTTTATTCAGCTTGATTGTAAGAGAAGTTGCTAGTGATGTTAATATTATAGAAGTATGTAAGATTATAAAATTAACCTTTAAGTCACAACAGTAAGACAATAGTTGCTCAAATGCCAGTGTTCATTTGGGGTTTGATGAATTAAAGTATTATTATTTATGCCTTGTGTCTTTATTTTCAAATTGCAGATCTGTCGACATGTAAGCACAATGAATTTGGTGAATGTAACAACTAACACATATACATTTGATCAAGGGTCATATGATTTCATGGGTAGAACGAATATATCAAACTTCTCTGATCAAGGCAACTCTATCAAATATCCCAATGGGCCTTCGTAAGTATTTTAATTGTTCATGATATTTTTAATATAGCCATTACATATGTTATGTGTATTATAAGTTTATGAATGCATCACTTGCAAGTATGTTCGCTAGATGTGAACCTTTAGACAATATAATACGGAATTCACATAAACTCATAAAAAAAGAAATAAATGGACATAATATTGCTGTTGTCATACTTGTGATTGTGTAATGAAACAAAATTCAAAATTCTGTCTGCATTATAGGTACTAATCTTATTCTAGCCAGGATTGCTGTTTTTGTTTATTATTAAATGAATTAGATGATTTTCCATGCCTAAAAAATAGATAATTTTTATATGTTGTTCTTGATAAATGCTATGCTATGGTCAGAGAGATAATATCTTTTTTTATTTATTTTTATATGGGGTCAGAAAAATATTATCTTTCTGACCCCATATAAAAATAAAGGTCTTATTCACAAATATATTTTTTATTTCAGTGAAACAATAGTGCTATTGGAGTGTGCTGAGACAGAGAACAAACTTCAAGTGTATTCATTATCAGAACCTGATAAAATTGTAAGTCATTCTTGTTTACTTATAATATACCTAGTATGCTTAATTATAATATTCTCATTAGTTCATTATGAAACATATGTTTACAACAAGGTCACTTGCAGAAAGGTGCTTTGTGTGGACTTGACATTTTACTCATTACAAAAAATTACATGTTGAATTTCAATGATTTTTTTAAGAATAATATTCACATGAAGTAACTGTAATAGGATATGATGAGTTCACCCATTAATTTCTTATTCTTTATAATCAAATCAAATAGTCATACTATACAAACAATTCAACCTTTGAGAAACAAGTCCTAAAAACATCTTTCCTAGAATAAAAAGAAATTCACAATTAAATACAATGAATATAGTAAAATGAAACATAATGGGGTTCTGCAATCAACTACATATATGCATAAACGGAATAACATCCTTTATTATAGACATTAAAGGAAAACACTGTTTAAATGATTTTCCTGATATTAGATTCCTCGATTGTACCTAGCTTGTTAGCAAAGGTATTGTTTCGGTTCTAGAAATCGTTATTTAAATGTTCCTCTGGTATTGTGGGTCTTAGGTGAGCTACGGTACTGATCTGATCACTGTATTGATCCCAAACATATTTTTTTATTCTATTCAATTCTAGTTTGAATCTGCTTGAGTGTCTGCTCCTTTGCCCACATAAAAAGTTTATAGTTTGAGAACCAACATGAAGGAAATTATCTTCAGAGTTATCACATATTTGTTATTTCAGAATCATTAGCCCATTCCGGTCTACTGATGACCATACATGTCACTGAGCTCGCTCAGCCTTCACGCATCCAATCACTGCCATCCAATTTGTGGATATTGGTACTCTTATTTTGGTGGAAGGGTGCCCTCCACCGCGTTTGCATAGTCGTTCACTGTTAACTCTTCACGAAAGACACGAAAGCTATAGTCTAACCTTTCGTGTTTTTGATACGACACTTTCTTTGTAACCGAAATATTTCTTCTGTAGTTTTTTAAACAAAGTTGCGCTATAGGATTAAACCATACCGTACAAAAGCGTTTTAAAAGACTAGTTTTCTACTTCTTATTAAGAATGCATTTGATGTAATAATTTTCTACTAATGTTATCTATATCTCAAATGACGTTAAAACTCGTAGAACCGCAATGTGATACAGAGAAACCAGTTTCTTTTTCGTCCCACATTCGAATTAAATCTACATCGTTTATTGTAATATAAAAAATAACTAGCTGCGTCGATGTAAGAGGGGGCACAACACGACACAGTGATGACTGTAAAGCAAAAGGTTTGAGGCTGTGTTTTTCGAAATCTCATTAGTAGCACGAAGGTTGGAATTGTGCATTTGTTTGAATTGGGTGACTCTGAATCACATGGGACTGATGGCGTCGATATTAGTTTACTTTTTATAGTTATCTGTATTTACTTTGTAACATTACTCATATCTTTATCTGTGAGCGATCATTACCAACCTCTTGTAATAATAAACTTTAGAATTAACTAAACTAGATATGAATCTCTAACAATAATATAGGGATAGAAGACAAGAAGATAAGCTACAAAAATATTTCAAAACTCTAACTATAATATGCAAATTTATGAGTAGATATGATATTGAAAACGCCTGTTATAATTATGTATAAGACTGATAAAAAGTAAAATTTACGGCAGAAGCATATTATTTTTACGGCTCTGTTTATGCCTATATTTCTCACACTATATTATATGTATCTAAGTAAATTAAATCGTTTTTATTATAACTTTCGTGAGACATTCTAAATTAATTATTATGTTTTCGGCTTACTCACGTAATAATTCGACGAGATACTCATGAATATGGGCCTCTAGCATGGCTTGAAACTAGTCGAGTAAAAATCGTCAAATTATTACATGAGTCAGCCGAAAACATAATAATTAAATTAAATCGTACTTAATTAGAAAAGAAACGATCTGCAAATGATACGATTTTGGATTAATTTGTACTTTCTATTGTTTTCAGGTGTTAGCGTTTTATTCAAAAGATGCGTGTTTGAAGCAAATAGAGGTGAACGGACGGTCTTTTGGCTCCACCCTGCTGATTATATTCTTCTCTATGGTGGTTTTCTACCTTGTGCTCGGGATCTGTACGAAGAAGTTCTTGATGGGAGCAACTGGTGTCGAAGTTATACCTAACCTTGCATTCTGGTCGGACCTACCAAACCTTGTGAAAGTAAGTGAAATTTCTTAAATATAACACTAGTTGATTACTGTAAGTTTGCTTTTATATTATTGTAAAATGCTAGTTAGTATCATTTATTTCTTACAAAATAGTTTTTTTTTACGTTTTCTTTACCAGACTTTACATTGGTTTTTTGCTCATATTGTTTATGCTGAAAGAAATTTTGTACCAATACATATGCGCTATAAAAAGCTTATACTAGTATAAATGCAAGTCATTTAATACGCAAAATATTTTGGCACGAGTGACCGAAGACGTTACGGTATTTCTCAAAGCAATGGTTGCTGCTGGCCATTAAACCTTAATAAATTAAGTAGTTCAACATTTCTACTATGAAAAACTGAAATATAAGTAGTAACAATGCGAGCGTGTCGTAGTTTTGGTTGGTTAAAAATAGTTTCTCTGCACGAGTCAAGTTCTAATATTGATCCCAATTCAAGACCTATTCTTGAAGATCATGTGAGGGTGTTCGAGTATGTTTTTGATATTTTCAATTTACGTCCTTCTTCCTGATTTAGTGATTTATGCCAATATGATGTTTGTACAGGTACACTTTCAAACTGCTCGGTTGTAAGTAAACTTAAAATCTGGGTTGAGTTTTAAAATGTGTTCGTAATGTCAAAGGACCTTGACAATCAATAGGATCGTGCATCGTCTAGGTATATAATAATATATAGTACTGCAGGTCTGTCCGAATAAGATGGAAGCCCAGGCCATTAAAAATGACGACGACGAAGTACTCGATTGGGGATTCTCAAACTTGAGTATTTTGCTTCTTGTGCTTAGGGAACTCGCCGAGTTTTCAAAGTTAACAAATACCGATGAGTTTAGTCGAACATATACCCGAAACATTTGAATTTCATCGCGAGAAAAGCCATTTCCAAATGTTTTAAAACTGGCCGATTCAAGTTATGGTGGGCCATGATTTGGACAGCTCTGTTATAAGTACTGCGTTTGTAACCTATGCGACTTACAGCTATTTAAAGGTGGTGTTAAGTTTATAAAACATGATGTATGAAATATGGACATCTACACTGCATTTGTGTGTGAGCCGACACTTTCGGGAAATTATGCAAACTGTGCTTGTTTATGTGTGGCAAGAGTAATATACAGGATGTGTCAGTTTTCGTGTCTAAATTGGTATGTCTCTCTCGTTCTAAAATATTATTATTACTTTTTTTAGGATGGCTGGAGGTTTATGTGCAATGGTTTCAAGTTGCCTCCTCGAGGCGCCGGGCCCGCCGTGTCCCCCGACCCCAACAGTTATGACAGCATATAACATCAGGGTGACGAAGACCTCTCCGAAGGTCATCTTGTCCTTGTGGAATAGACAATCTGACTGTGTTCTGAATTTCTCATTAATTTTCGTTTTAATTCGTGCTGTCGTTACATTTGCGTGTCTAGAATAAGATATTTGAATTTTATATTTTTATTTACAAAGAAACGAATTATATCTTTAATGTTGATATTAGACCTTTTTGTTGAATTGTCTTTTAACTTTTTAATGCCGTCTAGATGAGTCATTCATGATGAACGCAAATGTAATCATAGCTGGTTTAATGGTGATTGAGATTTAGTTATTTTAAATTTCAAGTCATAAATACAGTTAACATAATATCTAAGAACATTCTTTGAAAAGTGGTAAGATTAAAACTTTAAATGTAATAATTCTCGAATATTTGTGTCTTTAAATAATCTCAATAAAATATGATCTTATTGTCCAATTCCAAACTATTTTCATTTCTTTTTTCAAGTGATCTTGATTAGTAGTAATCTCTAAATTACCATATGCACAGATTCATTATTTATAAATAAGTTTGCCATTGTATGCTACAATCGGCTTTAGCGACGCTGGCCTATTTATTGTGATGAATATATAAAAGTATTTAAACAATATAACTTTATTAATAGAATATATAATAATTGTATACTTATATTATAGAGAAAATTATATAATTATTACTTGCCATTATCTTTTAATAATATATAATGATTTATTCTTCACCACGCTGCTAGTATGTTGTTGTTAATTTATTAGTTTTTTTTATTTTTTCATTTATTTTGTCCTCGATATTACTTATAAAATGTGCAATCTTCGATTTTATTTCTGTTTTGTAGATTGTAGATGGTCAAACATTTTAAGTGTGCCAATTTATTTTGGTTCTTTGAATAAATTATGCGTAAGTACATATTATAAAATAATGTATATTCTATTAAAAACAAATGGAGGAGCATCGCACATATGCTTTTAATAAAATTACTTGTAGTACTTGTCTACAGAAGTATAACTGAACTGAATATTTAAAAGAAAACTATTATTAATTTGTTTCTCTAGGTATGTTACAGGCATTCGGTGCGGCTATTGATTGAATAGATTTATTTCCAATTTCAAATCTGCCAAAAAGAAATATTCACCATATTTTAATTGGGCCATGGCTCATCTATTATGCATTGTCAGTAATGATAATAACAAAGAGTTGTTTCAATGAACGCATATGTGTGTGTGCTTCATACTAAGTAACTGCTAATGTATGTATTATACAATGCATGGCGTATTATATAAATTTAGTCTTTTTTGTACCACTTTATGAAATTGTAACGAATATTTTTGATGATTAGCTAGCTGCTTATAAGGAGCTAACTATATCTGTGTATATCTTTAATATATCCATGCAGAATATTTTCCTATGTATTTTTAATGCAAAAGCATATCTAAATAATATAAACATTTCGATACTGATTTATAGAATCTCCAAATCTTTGGACCAAAAATGATATTTTCTTACTTCACTTACCCTTTCTACTATTTTACTTGACTATGTTATATTTCAATGTAGTCCAACATAAATATTTATTAAAAATGTATATGTTGTGTGCGTGGCCAACAGATATTTAAAGGCAAATCATATGTAATGAAATCTTAAGATACTATCTACTATACGGAATCCAATTATAACCTTATGTGAGCTTAGATAATTGTCTTAAACTTAAAGCGATACATCACCATTTTAAACAGTTTGCACAAATTATCACTATACCATACAAATGTAATCGATAATATTGTTCATACTGTATGTTATCATTCGAATAAATTGTATGTTTTGGAAGTGCCACTACGAGATTTCCAAAGGAATCAATGATGACAAAGGGAATTTAGTGCCGTCACACGTGAGATCTTAAGCGTCCACCATTCACAAAAAGGTGTAAAATGTTGAAGCACGCCATTTTCATCCCTTTGGTAGTCATTCATTCCTTTAAAAATCCCGTGCTCGTGACCTTTCCGACATATGTATATATGAGAGTGTGTGTGTAGCTATAATAAACATAATAATATCGTAAGCACTAGTCATTATTAGGTACACGGTAATGCACTGTATATCACGCGACTACTTAAGTTTTACACTGTCACCAAAACGAAAATTAATAGGTACATGCTGTATAATAGTTTTATGTAGAGGGTGTAGTGGAAACCTTAACTTTTCTTAAAACAGAATACCTAACTAGTGAGAAGAATTTACGCACAGTTTCAGCTCAAAATATATTACATACCTTAAAATTTATATGCAACTCAATCGTAAGAGTTCAGTTTTAGGTAGATGCTGATGTTTTATAAATGATGTTCTCTTTATTTCCCACTGTTAGGAATGATAGAAAAATTAAATTACATAAGGATTTGATAAATAATAAAACAAAGAAAACCGTGCCCTTTGTATTTAGGTTCCGATAGTTTCCATTACACCTTGTATACAATGTAAAAGTAGCTTGTTGTCTAAATAAATTAAGTTCACATTAACTTAGTGGCAACCTTTCACGCACACAGTCATACTTCACACACACAAATTACGTTCATACAGTCCACTCATCTAAAAGGAAATTGTAAAGAAGGCAGTGTGCAATAAATACCCTTTGAGTTAAGACGTATTAAAAAGTTTTATTTCACCAAACAAGCTGATATAGACCTTATCGTCGTAAACATATGGTCCAAATCGAGACGGATTTATGAGACCGCGTGCGCAGTCGACACCGCGAGAACAATAGTATTCCAGAAATTATCTTTGCTAAATCGTGCGAGTAAATAATACATCATTAGCAAAATAATAATTCCAATCTATATCAATACTGTTTGGATTTACAAGTTTCAACGTCTACACATTGTTCACCATGGATGCGCTTCTGGCATATCAAAAGGAAGTGCTGGATAACTTAAAGAAGTCGGAAAAAAACTATAAAAAAACACCAAAAGATCGGTTGAAGAAACCTTACTTAGAAACCAGATTAGACAATTTGGAGCAGCTGTGGATAACGTTTAAAGATGGACACAGGTCTCTCATAGGCAAGGTCACCTTGAAGGACAAACAGGACACATACTTCACTGAGGATATGTATGAGGTGTTTGAGGAATTATATGTATCATACAAAACTTCATTGAAAGAAGCCCTGCAGCCCTACCTCGCGTCATCGAGTGGAACTTCGTCCGTAACACCGAAAATAAGTGCTGAAAAAACAGTCAGTGAGTGCGAGGTTAAATTACCACGTGTGCAGTTACCTACGTTTAGTGGTAAATACGTTGAATGGCAGTCGTTTTATGATATGTTTAATTCCCTTGTGCATACTAATAAGAATTTATCTCCGGTGCAAAAATTGCATTATCTTAAAAGTAACCTGTCAGGTGAGCCGGAAATTTTGTTACGTAATTTTTCTATAACTAATGAGAATTATGACGAGGCTTGGAAACAGTTACTTAAGCGTTATGATAATAAGCGATATAATTGTAATGCACTTATGAGATTATTGTTTACGCAAAAACCGGTTACTAGCGAATCTCCTAGTGCTATTAAGCATTTATTAGATACAACTACAACTTGTTTACAATCTTTGCGTAATATGAGTATTAGTCCTGAGTCAATTAACGATGCATTTGTTATTTATTTAGTGGTTTCTAAATTAGATCCTGAATCCATTAAGCAGTGGGAATATCAGTTAGGAGTACTTAGTAACGATTTACCGACATGGACACAATTATCCGAGTTTTTGGAATCGAAATTTAGGTCGTTGGAGATGATAGACTCCAATAAGGTACGTAACAATGCCAACACAAAGTCGAAGTCTTTTCATGGGTCCATAGAAAGTAAAAAGAATAATTCTAATATAACTACTAAATGTTCTAAGTGTAAAGGTGATCACTATTTATACAATTGCAAGGAATTTAGTCAACTTAGTGTCAAGGAAAGGCAAGATTATGTTAAAAATAATAACTTGTGTTTTAATTGTTTCTCTCCATCTCATCCAGTTATTAAATGTCGTAATTCAGCGAGTTGCAAGCGATGTGGCAGGAGACACCATTCATTATTACATTTTGAAAAGGAGGTGAGCAGTGAATCAACGAGTGAGGACGTTTTGGTGCAGAGTGAGTCGGACAAATCCGTGAGTACATCTATTTCAACTAATTTTTCGAGTAGAGGTTTAGAACCGAGTCGTGTTTTGTTAGCTACTGTATCTATTTGGGCATACAGTGAGCATGGACAAAAACAACAGTTGAGAGGATTATTAGATCAAGGGTCGCAAGCGTCTTTTGTAAGCGAATCAGTTGTTCAATTACTTGGACTTACACGTAAACATGTTAGCGGTACAGTTTCCGGGATAGGCGGTAATGGCCACACTAGTGTGAAGCACATGGTTTCTCTTCGAGTGGTATCACGTCATAACCCTGAGGTTTCAATCCAAGTAAATGCATACGTTTTGCGTTCTGTCACCTCATTGCTTCCTTCAACCAAGTTACATACACCTGAATGGCTACATTTTGATAAAATACCGCTAGCTGATCCAGGTTACGCCACACCTAGTAAAATAGATATTCTTCTTGGAGCAGAGGTATATAGTGAGATTTTATTGGATGGTATTATACGTCACAATAAATTATTGGCACAAAACACTACCCTGGGTTGGGTTTTATCAGGAAGGGTGTCCCAAAATTCAACTTCTGCTAACAATGGAATAATCACCATGCATTTACACCTAAGTGGAGAAGAACTGCTTAGGAAATTTTGGGAAATGGAAAATGAGCCCAACTTGATACAGAAGAAGATGACAGACATAGAACAACGATGTGAAGAATTTTATGACAGGACAACTACACGAGACAAAGAAGGAAGATTTATAGTTAAGCTGCCTTTCAATAAAGAAGATCCCGAATGTCAATATGGAAAATCAGTAGTTATAGCTACAAGAAGATATAAGTATTTAGAAAATAGACTACAGAAGGATCCTACTTTAAAGCAAACATATAACAATGTTCTACAAGAGTATCTAGCAATGAATCACATGGTACCAATAAATAAAGAAGACATAGATAATCCTAAGGCGGTTTATCTCCCGCACCACGCTGTGGTTAGAGAAGATAAAGACACCACAAAAGTGCGAGTAGTTTTTGATGGGTCATGTAAAGGATTGAACAACTTTTCACTTAATGATAATCTGATGGTGGGTCCTAAGTTACAACAGGATTTGAGACACATCCTGATGCGTTGGAGATGCCACAGGATTTGCATAGTAGCCGATATCATTAAGATGTTCAGAATGATAAAAGTCGATTCCGAGGACTCAGACTTCCAAAGAATTGTATGGAGACCACAAACAAACGAGCCACTACAACATTTTAAATTATTGCGTGTGACCTTTGGTACTGCATGTGCTCCTTATTTAGCCGTGAAAACCCTTCAAAGGTTAGCTAATGTAGAACGTGCAAGGTTTCCTACTGCATCAAGCATAGCAAAGAAGGATTTTTATATTGACGATTTGCTGACGGGCTGTGAGACACTACCAGAGGCTATACACATATATAACGAAATGAACGAGTTGATGAACAGTGGTGGCTTCGAACTGCAAAAATTTAGTAGCAATAATCAAGACTTATTGACACATATAGGAGAGGATAATCACAGCAGTGCTGATTCATTAAGATTAAAATCAACTACTGTCATGAAGGTATTAGGCTTAAAATGGAATAAGAATATGGATTGCTTTCAGTATTCACTAGACTTACCCGACATTCAACAACCTATTACTAAACGGCAAGTATTGTCAGATGTGGCCCGACTATACGACCCGTTAGGATGGATTGCGCCCGTGATAATCAAGGCAAAAATATTTATTCAAAAACTATGGAGGTTGAAGCTTGATTGGGATGATGTACTGACTGCAGATTTAACGAGTGAATGGTTACAGTTTAGAGAAAGTTTGATATACTTACATAAGATAAACATACCACGATGGTATTGTTTTAGTCCAGGGTCAAAGGTTGAGTTGCATGCATTTGCTGATGCTTCAAGGGTAGCCTATGGTGCTGCTGTATACATTCGTGTTATTAATAATAACAAAGAAACATTTGTGAGTTTGGTATCAGCAAAAAGCAAAGTTGCTCCTGTTGAGAAGGAGATATCAATTCCTAGACTAGAACTATGCGGTGCAGCTCTAGCAGCAAAATTAATATTTGAAGTTTCACAAATAATGAACATTCCGAAAGAGAACTTGTGTGCGTGGTCCGACTCAACAATAGTTCTAGCCTGGTTGAGAGGAGGGTCTAGCCGCTGGACTACTTTTGTGAGCAATCGTGTGTCAGAAATTCTAAATATTTTAGACTACAGACAATGGAAGCATGTTACAACTGATTCGAATCCAGCTGACTGTGTTTCGAGAGGCATCGCTACACAGGATTTACTTGATCATTCATTATGGTGGTCAGGGCCTTCTTGGCTTTCACAAGGAAGTACAGAGTTTGATAACGCAGATATTATCGAGGACACTCATGAAGAAGAAAAACTCACATCTTTAACTGCTTTACCTGTATTGGAAAATAAATTCATCTGGACTATGTTTTCATCACTTGCCAAAACCTTAAAGGCTATTTCATATTGGAGAAGAGTTTTACAGAATTTAAGATTACCAAAAGAAAAACGAAAACAATATGCGAATATTATTACACCGGCAGAGAAAGATAGGAGTTTAATTATATGTATCAAACAAGTTCAAAGAGAGAATTTTAGTGAAGAGATAAACCAGTTAAAGCTGAAGAATTCAGTCCCAAGAAAAAGTAAGCTTCGCACTCTTTATCCCTTTTTTGATGAAAATGGGATACTAAGAGTTGGTGGTCGTATTGATGAGTCAGAAGTAACTTATGATACGAAGCATCCCATAGTTATGCCTGCTAAGAGCCATCTTACCAGTCTTATAGTTAGTGATGCTCATCTCAAAACGTTTCATGGTGGACCACAGGCTATGTTGTGCTATTTAAAAACGAAATATTGGATATTACGAGCGAAAGAAATAGTTAAAAGTCACTACAGATCCTGCGTAAAATGTTTAAGATATTCTAGGTCTAAAAGCACCCAACTGATGGGTCAAATCCCAGATGTTAGGTTGAAACCAACCAGACCTTTTAAATCGTCTGGTTGTGATTATATGGGGCCTATTAGTGTAAGATTTTCACCCGGTAGAGGGTCGAAATCCTATAAAGGATATATTTGTTTATTTATTTGCATGGTTACTCGAGCCATTCATTTAGAGGTAGTAACCGATCTGTCATCAAAGGCGTTCATTGCAGCATTTAAGCGTTTCACAGCACGAAGAGGGCACTGTCAAGATTTATACAGCGACAACGGCACTAATTTTGTTGGTGCCAACAGACAGCTTCGTGAGATGTTCGATCGAGCTAAGTCAACTGTGCCACGTGAAATTGAGGAGTTATTGAGCTTAGAGCACACAACATGGCACTTCATACCTCCACATTCCCCTAATTTTGGTGGTCTGTGGGAGGCTGGAGTTCGCAGCGTTAAAACACATTTATTTAAGGTGATTGGAGATAGCACACTCACATATGAGGAATTGTCTACTGTTTTGGCACAGGTCGAAGCCTGTCTTAATTCTCGACCAATCACAGTAATGAGTGATGATCCTAACGAACCTCAAGCTCTAACACCCGGACATTTCCTCATAGGTGAACCGTTGATAAGTATTCCCGACGAAGATAATTCTAATCATAACATTGTAGGATTGGATAGATGGAGATTAACACAAAAAATAGTAAATAACTTTTGGAAACGTTGGTATAGGGAGTACTTGGTAAATCTTAATCAGCGATACAAATGGAACACTAAAAAATTTGAACCCGAAGTTGGTGATGTTGTAATTTTAAGAGATGATAATATCCCACCTGCTAAATGGATTTTAGGGAAAATAACTAAAAAATATTTAGGGCCAGACAATATTGCACGAGTTGTATCTGTTAAATGTAAGAATGGCGAATTTAAACGTCCCATTAGTAAATTATGTTTATTACCTAAGTGAATTTTATTGTTTACTTACTAACTTACTATTATAATGTTTAAATTAATTTAACTTCTTAAGTATGATGTTACAATACACCTACCAACCTTGTACCTTATTACCAATAATTAAGAACCGTAAATGTAAGTTGTCTAAAACACACAAATTGTATAATAACTTTTATACTACAAATGTTATTTCTTCTTTGTAACATTTCTATGCAAGGTTTTGTTTTCTAAATCGTTAATAAGCATTTTGTTGCTTAAATGTTGTTTTTTGTGTCACGGTGGGCGGAGTTCTCTCGTCATTGTAAAAACGTTAACACTTAAAATTTTGAACGTTACGGAAAATTTTGAAAATTTGAACGTATATTTTCTATGCATGTTATTTTTAAGTATAAAATTTAAGAACATACCAGTATTACTTGTAATGTAAATGTAATGTAATAGGTACACACCTATACAAAGACTGTTAGACATAAGTAGGTACTCACAATGTACATTTTGATGTGTTCTACATCTTTAATTTATGCTTTTTGTGTTTTGTAGATCGATATTTTTTATGTTTATAAAGTACTACGTCCTTTGGTGGGCAGTATGTCTAAATAAATTAAGTTCACATTAACTTAGTGGCAACCTTTCACGCACACAGTCATACTTCACACACACAAATTACGTTCATACAGTCCACTCATCTAAAAGGAAATTGTAAAGAAGGCAGTGTGCAATAAATACCCTTTGAGTTAAGACGTATTAAAAAGTTTTATTTCACCAAACAAGCTGATATAGACCTTATCGTCGTAAACACTTGTTGTATTAAAATATTATGCTTATTGTTTGCGGAATGTTTTGAAGAACGGCTATCGGGTCGAATCGACAAATTGGCTTTACTTATTCTGTGTCTTAGCGTATATTTATATGTATATTTTGAATCAAAATGATATATTTTTTGGTTAACCATGCAATGTATTAAAACAATATTTCATGAAAGTGAATGGAATAAAATTTGTCTCGAATATGTTAATATAGTAACAAATTCAAAATAATGACGAGTGTGAGAGACATTATCTTTTTTATTCATAAAAAATGCCAAATTCTTTTTTGTGAATAAACTAGTACGTATAAATTGATAAGACTTGAAGCGTCGGAACTATGAAGATTGATATATTGTTGTAGCCGTGTATTTTGGAATTATATAACGCTGAAAAATAAACTTTATTGCTTTGTAATAAAGGGGCAGTCAGTATAACTGTTACCATGACGTGAATATGCGTGTTTTTAAGTTGTATTGATATCATTTAAGCCTTTTAATTGTCGTCTTATGATGCTAATTCCATAGCTTCTAAAGAGTGGGCAGGATTAATATTTCAGAATCGAAACAAATTATAGTTATGTTAATGATCAAAGTGTGTTTTAGATGTATTTGTCAGACAGGATAATGGGAAGATAGTCAATGAAAAACTTCGGTTTTGATAATACTTATAAACAGATTTTTATTAAATATCTTCCTTGGCGTACCTGTATTACGTTTTCTAATATCTCTAAAGACTATTACTATGCCATTTGGCTTATATCATAGAGCTTAAATTCACTTTTTATGATGAAAATCCGTATCCTGCCTTTTGTCTGACACGCCACACAATTTAGCATAGACTATAGAAATAAAGTTACATTTAAGAAAGATATTGCCAATATGAAACCAAAAACTACATGTATTGTTTTCATTTAATTTGACCTTTGTCAGATATAGCTTGTCTGCTTACGAAGTATTTGTACTGATGTAAATTATATATGGCTTACTTATCTTTATTTTTTCAAATAAATATGTTCGATTTTCCTCCCATCAGTTGGCGTAAATGAGGGGAAAGATCCAATTATGTTATATGCACCGACATGCACACTACGCGTTTTTATCGTGCGATTAAATTATCGTATATTTCAAAATATTGGTTTATACAATTTTATTATGCGATTTTTATAGCGCGATAATAAATCATATTTTGCACCAGGCTTTAGATCTTAGCTTTTCTTCTAATGGTTTGATATTAGCAAATACTTTATTATTTGATTACGATATTATAGTACAGCAGTGTGATATTAATCAATATATCATTATACACGACATTATAACATCGCATAATACGTATACATAATAATATAGTAGATATTTTGTATTCAATATTTTAGGGTCCCCTGTTGATTGAAGTGTTTTCTAAGGTTAATAAATAAATAAAATTATTATTATTGCTCATCAATGTCATTTTATTTATAAAAATCATAAATATTTATGTGGAGCACAGTTTTATTGTTGTTGTCGTCAGTTAAGGCAATTTTATTCCGAGCTGAAACAATAATTACTTTGTAAACAAGACTGAGTTTCCTTAGGAGATATAGCATGGGTAAAAAATTTATTCGTCATCTGCTCAGAAATCCCAGGAGTTTGGCCTTAGTTTGGTTTTAGTTTCTCTGTGGCATCTCGATAAATGGAGTTTGTATCAAAAAGTCGTGCTTTATATTGCATAGACAACCTCAAATCCCAAAAGGCCGCTAACGCACTTAATAGGTACTCTCATGGTTTTTATGAGCGGCCTCAATTGCTTATCATCACGTAATGTTGATTGATCTGGCCTTTTGTCAACCTTTAATAAAAATAAGTTAAGTAGTGCATAATAAATTTAAATATTCCTTTATATTACCTGCGGTGCAGTTTCAACAAAACATTTGTGTAAAAGGACTGATCGTTCACAACCCTTCTCGCCGTCGGATACAGCTTCGTCGTTCACTGTCAAATCAAAATAGATATGTATTAGTGTAACCGTAAATTAGAAGGGCAGGATTTGTTCATTAAAAAAATGAGAAGAAACTAGTTCATATTGTAGTTTGACTGTTGGTCTTTCTATCCGTCTTAAAACTTTGAAGTTTGGTGTCAAAGTCAAAGTCAAAATCAAAATCATTTATTCCAACTGAACCATAAATAGGTAGGTACTTTTGAAACGTCAAAATAGAAAAGTAGTCTGTCAGTCTGTTCGTTAGTGAAGCTCAAATCTGAGTTTGCTATGGGTAAAACTTTCCTAAGTAAGTAGGTACTAGGTACCTATGTAGAAAGCATGTGCCGCACTGTAAGGATGCCTAAATCTAAAAAAACAAGTTCTCTTGCAGTTAAGCCATAAGAATGGACATTATTATCGATTTAAGATAGAATAGATAGAAGAATAAGGGATGTTTACTAAAGATGTAGATAGGTACTTAGCGTTCTTGTAACGTAGGTATAGGTAAGTTACCTTATAGGCACCTAATATTCCATATGTTTTATATCGTTTTCCAAAAAAATTAGTGAGAAAGCGTGAAGTCATTATTTGCCCTATCTTACCTTTCTTACAGGCTTCAAGAAGTTTCTTAGAACTTTCTAGTTTCTTCGGGTCGTCAGCGAAGTCTTTTTGAGTCATTGCTATTGAACTTTCTGCATCAAACATTCCCTTGCTGTCTAGCTGTAAATTAGGGTAGGTCAGTTATATTTTTGTGATGGGAAAATCATCGAATGACTTCTCCCGCCCAGGGCCGGGCAGGAGGGAGTGTCAGACTCTTACTGACTAAAAACCCCCCTGTTTCTTCTCCTGCTCTGTGCCGAGGTCGCGGTGCCTCATTGCGCTTACCCCGCAACCCCGGCTGAACATCGGCCCTTTAGGTCCCCGTCTGTGGTGGTCTAATGGCTCTTTGAGGCGCGAGTGGAACGCTACGCGCCGTACGCTCGGGTCTGGTGGTCGGGCGGCGAGCTGCCCTTACTCGCCGACCGCAGACCCGTGCTTACGGTGGCCGGAGATCGTCCCTTGACGGTAGGTAGGTACTGATGCAATTTGAAAATGAAAATCAAGCTTTTCTAACTGATTTTATGAAATTATTCATATTCGCACATTTCTTGTTAAAAAATTCTAAAGAAATAACACAACACAATCAAATCACCTGCCAAGCGTAAGGATATTTGTAACGCCTTCTAAAGAGGGAGCCCTTTGTTGAACCGTGGACCAAATGCGCAAGTATGTATTTGGTAGTATGTTGTTTGGATTTTGCAATTTAATGATCTTTTAACATTTTCCTCCTGACCATGATACTTACCATTCCTGTTTTCTTGAAAACGCAGGCAACGAAACATTTAGCGCTGTTCGTATCAGGTATTTTGTTTTCCTTTAGCTCCAGCATTTCCTTTGGAGATAAAGGGTGTTCATTGTTGCAGTCCATACCTTCGCGAAAAAACCATGCTTTAATTTCTTGATCAGTTCTAGCCTGTAATTCAGTATTAAGTAGGTAATTACGCACATACTAAATCCATTTCCCTTAAATTTTGAAATCCCATATTATTAAATTTTTGTTAAAGACTTAAAGCAATAAAAACTTACATGAGCTCCATAAAATTCTACGATATAAAAACATAGTAAAAATCGAAAGATCATTTTCACTTAACTTCGAAAAATGGACTGATTGCAAATATCAATTTTGGTAAAGTTTATATAGGTATCTATGTTGTTCTATAAACAAATAACATTTTGTAAATTAAGAATAAAAATATAATAGTAGAAGAATATTTAAATTGTAATTTTGCTGTTGTTGGATATGATCTAAATTAGTAAAATCATTTTGGAAGCGAGCGAGACCCATTAGTGTTTGTTGGATGACGCACCTACTGATGGTAATAAAGAGTAGATTGCCATTGTTATTTGATTTGTTGCGCGAGGACGATGATACTCGTACAAAAGCCTACTTCTATCAATGTAAAATGATGGTACAATAGGTACCGTGGCCACAATACCGCCAACGTATCTTGGCGAGTCTGAAGTTAGCCGATTAGCTGCGCAGTACACAATTTTGTTCCTAAAAGATCCATTGCGCAGACAAACAGCTAACTTCAGACTCGCCAAGATACGGCGGCCGTACTGTACCTACCTATCACTATAAAAAAGTAAAGACTACCTCAGCACGTGCGGTCCATTAGGGCTGATGTTCAGCCAGGCTTAGGGGCGCTAGCGCAATAATGCACCGCGGCCCCTGCCTTGAGGATTAGAAGGAAAGAGGTGGTTTTTAGTCAGTTAGAGTCTGACTCTCCTTCTCGACATACCTAAAGCGAAAGAAGTCCATTGATGGAACGATTTTTGGAACGACCACCTAGTTTTACCGATGAACAGACTGACAAACTATTATTCTATGTTAACGTTTATGGTTTAGTTAATGACTTTTACGCTCAAAGAAGAGGACCTCAACAATCAATTTCTTATCATCATCAGCCTATAAGTGCCCACTGCTGAGCAAGGCCTTTTCTCATACGGAGAAGGTTAGAGCATTAACCACCACGCTTGCTCAATGCGGGTTGGCGATTTCAAAATTATAAATATATAAATATCTTAATCTATAGATTCTTCTTCGTTCGCGGTAACGATAGCAGTAGAAGGATAGATTAGAAGCAGCTTTGGCTGCATAATTGGTGCAGTGGCAGTGGCTAGATTATTTTCCTCGTAGGTACGTAGGTACCTACTTATCTATTTTCACAACGATACTAGTCACGATTGTTATAGATACATATACGTATTATACATAACTACTTACTATAATACTACCTACTTATATAGATGTGTATCATCTTTGGTGCTCATAGTTATATATTATGAGTACCGATCTGTGATCATTTGGGATCATTCATAATTCATCAATTGACGTCTCGGAACTATTGGTTCCAATTGAACAATTAGTTTTGTGTTTGTTAGTCCATTTATCGAGGAAGGCTTTAGGCTTTAGAACATCACGCTATAATCTTTAGGAGCTGAGCAGCGAAACCACGTGAGAATCGATAGTATATTATATAAACATATATACCTACGAAAAATTATGATATAAGGTTAGGTTAATATCACTATTTTTCATTTTCAGTCTGAAAAATCTTCTTGGAGTTTCTCTTCGCCTGAGGATGACGAAGAGGAAGCTGTTAAACTAGCATTAAATATCAAGTAAAAAAAAGGCCGTTCAGTCACGGACGATTGTTTAGTACCGCTGATACCTTACTCTTCAGTTTTCGTAAAACACACGGACCGTTGTGGAAAAGTAGAAAACAACAAAAAAAAAGGCATGTACTAGTATAAAATGAATTGAAAATAAAAATGAAACATTGTATCTTAGCAACTTAAGTTGTTCCTTTATTATCGTGCATCCAAGTTAATTTTGACGTAACATACCTATCCCATCATATGGGCAGTTTTCAAGAAACATAAATAAGTGTTAGAAAAATTGCAAGTTAACAGGCGATTATCTGCAAATTGATGGTGTACGATCATGTTAGACGGAAGTAGGTAGGTACCTAGATAAATATCAGTCATAATGTTGTTTTTTTCTTTGTTGTACAAGCTGTAATCAGATAAAGCAATGAAACAATTATAGGGCGACATCGACAGTTTGTCACGAACTAACTACAATGTTGTAGTTCATTTCAATCATGATCATGACGTTTCGCTTGAGTTTTTTAGTCTAGAAATTCCCTATTCCATAGGACCAATAATATTATTAAAAATAACGACAAAATTTGCAAGATATCACACACCATACTCCTGCAGGAAAAAAGAAACGAGTTTGTATCTTACATAAAAGTTTTATTTAATTTAGAGATCTAATTATAAAGCAAATAAATACAAATATCAAGGAAAGTAAAATATACCGGGATTGTGATTGTAGATGCATTTAGTGATGTGAAATGACGCATCGCAAATATCTTTATGAGCATCCGCTGAAAAAAACAATGGGCAGTGAATCTATAGGTATGTATGTAGGTAGTTACACAATGTTAGGGAAGTAGGTAAGTATGATGCCTACTTGAAATAATTGGCCAACCCTAATGACTTCTGGTAGGTAATTTGTTTGCAAGATAAAAAATGAATGCGATTTAGATTTTATGACCTTCTATTATATTATGATTTCAAATTCATTAGGCATCTCAATTTTAATGAAAATGCCTAATCCATTTTACGATTACGTACCTGTTTTTTCCATACAAAAATGCGAAGATTTTTTAATGATATTACTTATTAATACTAACTCTTCATAAAACTCTTGGTTAACCTTGGTCTAGCGACTGCGACAGTCAACCAAGCAACGTTAGTACTTACGCCTTAAAAATCATGGGAAGAAACTATGGTATGAAGTACCTCTACTTAACACCACGGTACTGAGTGAAATGATCTCATGGCTGTACATACTTCTTGTACTGCGTTTAAAGATCGAGACTTACCAACTTTTTTGCAAGCAGTAATGGCTTCCTTAGCAGGTTCCTTTATATCATCTGGTAGTAACAAATCAGCCTGTTTTATGGCTGCGTCATAATTTAATTTGCCATTTTTAATCTGGAAATTCACATAATGTAATTATTCTAGTCATATATAGTAGGTACCTACAATGTATTTATATTCTTTGAACAAATTGTGCAAACCCACTTTTTAAGCATAATCAGACGAAGACTTAAGGATAGAAAATCTTCAGAATTACCGTCGTTTTATTTAAAATTGTTCTAGTATTTCTATGTACTCACCGTATTAGCCATTTTCATAATGCAAGCCATGTAGCATTTTACTTCTTTCTCGTCAATGAACACACCCTCGGCAATTGGATCGATTTTCTCTAAAAAGACATTAAAATCAGTAATACTATTTAGGTCAGTATAATATAATTGTAATTAAACATTAAACTTACCATCTTCAACATTATTTTTCGGTTGGCAAGTTTTTCTCATCATTTTTCCTGTGTTCCTGATCTGCTTCATCGTCATCTGAAAAGTTAACCAGAAATTAGATATGAGCATCTAGAATTCCTGAAATTGAAATCCAAATTCCTGCTGTTTTACTGTAGATACAGGGTCAGAAAAAAAAATGCAGAATTACTTACGGCTTCACACGATGCGACTAATATCAAAAACTTTATGATTTTGGTGAGAAGCATATTTATTAACTTCTGCATGTAAGCAGTGTCATGGCCTCCAATTTAATGAAAACCTTGATCTTCAATAACCGCTTTATATGAAGTTTAATGTGTGATTGGTTAATTATACTCTTAATGGTTCACACCTGAATCGTGATAGTGTCCATAATTCAAGTAGGTTCATCTACATTCAGGTTATCTTCTTCTTCTCTCTTGATATTTACATTTTTTTTGTGAAAGTTTGATATCATTTTATAAAATTTTGCATGTACTAAAGATGGGGAAGATAACTTACTTGTTTGATGAACGTTGACCAATATTTTGAAAAACAAAGCGACTATTGTTTGTTTATGGTTTAGTTAATCTTCTAATGAGAAAAGTTAAAAGGGAATGGCGGCACTAAGAGTTGAGGCCAAGATAAGAGAAGATCGGAGGATGACTTTAGAGTGAACTTAGGTCCTATCTGGATAACAGTGGCGAATGATAGAAAACAGTGCCAAAAGTTAGAGGAAACCTTTGCCATAAGAGAAACTGAACTGAAACCTTTGTAACAGTGTGGTTTTATAATTAGTTTGAAGGTTTAACTAGTATTCGGAAATAATATCAAAATCTTTAATATTTATATTCTTTATTAAAGTGTTTAGTCGTTTATGGTTTTGATACTGGAAACCGGTAAGAAGAGAGAGTTGCTGGTTCACCAATTTAAGACTGAGTTTTATCCCACGTGGTCTATTTTTACTGGCCACCCTATTCACACTATTTCATGATTATAAATTGTCACTTTGGTAATTGTTAATAACTAGTCATGTCCTATGTAATTCTAATTAAATGCCGTTAATTGGTAAGTGATGCGCTCACGTGAGATTAAGTTCACAATGTATTTGACATGTAACCGGGTGGCATACCTTAGAACGAAAGATAAATTATTAAAATTACAACAATCTACACTAATATTATAAAGAGGTAAAATTTGTAAGTTTGTAGGTATGTAGGGAGTAATCTTTATAACCGCTGGCCGGATTTTCAAAATTCTTTCACTGATAGTTAGCTACGATGTTCCTGAGTGCTATAGGCTATCAAATATCACGCCACGGCTAAATGGCGCCGAGCAGCGGGTGAAACCGCGCGAGGGTAGCTACTACTTAAATATAACCTACAACATCAAAAAGGTGGTAGGTAAGTACTTATTAAGGTAAGGTCCAGAGTAAGATTCTTCTAATACGTTTTTTACGATTTCGACTTAACTTCGTATTATATTAGCGCTGCCTTCCGTGAGTTAAGTAACTGATAATAAGAGATTTGATAATTGTTTAACCAAATAGTTTTCAACGTTGGCCCCATTAAACGCATTGAAAAGTCAACATGTGAGACTACTTAATAAATATGTATTATTATAAAAAAATTTGATTCTAAATAAAAAATTATTCAACAGAAAATAAAAATATATACTTATATGTTGCTGCTATAAGGACATCATTATGCATAGAACACTTACCGGTCAGACAACGCATTATTTAATTGTCAAAATGCATTTTCCTATGTAATCAATCATTTACTGCTAAGTAGATAAACGCCTCCTTATAAATAGTTCTAAACGTTTTTTCACAATACTTTGCTGAAGTCAGCCTAATTATGAAAACGTATACCTTTCGATTATTCTGTTCTATTTTCTGTATCTCTTTATTTTTGGGCCAAAGTTATGGGGTAAGGTTTTTCAATAATTTAAATACTATAGTAACTTAAAGTTTTTTCAGTCGATTTTGACATATATTTACCAAATTACCATTCCATTCAGGAAAGCGTTTCATTTGATTTTTTTCGTAGATGACACGGCAACAACTTAAAAATTCTGGCAAACTGATGAAAAAATCTTGCATGCCGAAAAATGACGTGACCGAAGGTAAGTGCTTACACTTTTTAAGAGTGTAAAATCATACAATAGCTTCTCCCGCTCTGGGTGCTTAAGGTGATATCAGACGGTTCACTCAAATGATTGTTCACTCGAGTGAATGCTACCGGATGCCAATATCCAACACTGTTGGATCTGTTCACTTATGAATTCATTCGTCACTCGTGTTTCACTTTTTGTTCAGACATTTCATTTCGAGTGAAATGTACCGAATGAAAGGTGAAAATAAACAAAAAATGAACCGTCTGAAAGTGCCTTTAGTAAAAACCACACTTGCCACCCTTTGGCCACCGTCCGCAGTTAAGGTGCCCGGAACGTCTCCTGAAAATGTTAAAAATTCAGAAAGAAATTTACTCCCTCGTAGAAGTGTGAATATCCGATATGAAACCGTGATAGCACAGGCTAAAAAAACTCTTTTTTTATGCCGATGGGTCGCAAACGAGCCGACGGATTATATGATGGTAAGCAATTCGAGCCGCTATGGACATCCGCAACACCAGAGGAGTTACGAGTACGTTGGCGGCCCTTTGGGTATTTGGGTTTTAGGGAGGGATGGGAGGAGAGGAATGAACACACAGACAGACAGAATTCAGACATTCCATGTAAGATATCTGATAACAGATGAAGGATATAATGCGTAAAGAACCATAGAAATATGAAGTTGTCTTTGACTGACCATATTTTCATGCGTTTTTGCGTTTGGATCTGACGTTGAGCGGAAGCGCTCCTTTTGGGAGATTTTTGGACTTTAGGAGAGTTTGATATTGCACACCCACCAGTTCAGCCGGGGTTGCAGGGTAAGCGCAATGAGGCACCGCGACCTCGGCCCAGAGCAGGAGAAGGACTGGGGGGTTTTTAGTCAGTAAGAGTCTGACACTCCCTCCCGCGCTGCCCTGGGCGGGAGTAGTCATTTGATTAATTTCGCCTCACAAAAAAAAAGGACACCCACCAGTTATACATTGCACGAGCACCTTTATGCAACCATGTGCCACTAACTATAATATTTTTTCTTTCTAGAGGAAGTGGGTGACATTGAAAAGGGGAAGTTTATAGAAAATCGTAACGTTATGTGTTACATTGCCTGTGTTTATACCATGAGCCAGGTGGTAAGTACATTTTACAGTTGGTGGGTAGGTAGGTACCATGTTCTATGTAAAATAATCTAAGTTTCAATGGACATTTTTAATCGATATATTCGTCGGTTTCTGTTTGTATATGTAATAATTTAAAGTGTAAGAGAAAAATTAAAGTGTGGCAGAGCCATGCTTCGGCACGAATGGGTCGGCCATTTACGGCCGACCACGGCCTCACAGAAAACCGGCGTGAAACAACCACAGCTTTGTGTTTCGCTGTGTGAGTGAGGTTACCGGATGCCCAATCCTACCCCTCCTCCAATCCCTAAATCTCCAAATTCCCTAATCCCCAAAAGGTCGGCAATGCACTCGTAACTACTCTGTTAGTCCATGAGCGGCGCTGATTGCTTACCATCAGGAAATTCTACAGCTCGTTTGCCGGTCTATTACATAAAAAAAATATATGGTAGAAGCAATCAGTTTTTTTCGACTACAGGTGTTCAATATGTCATGTACTTTCTTCAGGTGAAGAATAACAAGTTAAGTTATGAAGCGGTTATTAAGCAGGTGGACGTGATGTTTCCAGCCGAGATGAGGGATGCTGTCAAGGCAGCTGCTTCATATTGTAAAGATACAAGTAAGTCATATAAAAAAAGAAAAATAAGTGTAACGGCAAAACGGGGTGAATAGAATTTGTCGGGGTGAATTTTTCCTAGAATCTATTCACCCCTCTTCTGTGTCTATTCACCCTTCGAATTCTATTCACTCCGTTTTACAGTACGTTATTTTTCAAGTAAAACTTACTAAATGGATTTCTATGATATATAATAATAACTAATAATTTGACTGCACGGTTGGCGCGGTGGCTGGGCTCCCTGCAACGCAACGTGTCGTGGGTACGATTCCCGCACGGTACAACTCTTTGTGTGTTCCACAAATTGTTGTTCCGGGTCTGAGTGTGACAGGTATATGAATTTGTATGTTTGAAACGCATCTACGACTACGACACAGGAGAAAATCCTAGTGTAGCGTAACGTTGTTTTTTTTAATTGGCACAATGTAAGTATACTGTGGATAGCACGTAGGCTATATTTCATTTGGGACGAACGGACGAAGCCGGTGGCTGAAACTAGTAGCTAAAAATTTTCTATACATATACATTTGTATTTTCCTAAAATAAGCAGTAACTTTTGGAGAGGTGAATTAAGTATCGTAAGTTCGGGTTACCCTGGGAGGTAACTTTGATCCAAATTTTCGAACGAATGAAAAACGAATAAGTATATGTTTGGTTCTCAGTTATTATTGGTTAAAGGGTTTCAAATTTAATCCCCAGGATCAAAGTTACCCCGCAGGGTCAAAGTAACCCGAACTTACCCGGTATCTAATTCAGTTGAAGTTCTTAAATCAAATGTTGTTGCATTAAATTGTCTACCTATATACAAATTATACAACCAATAAACTCGGTGATTTTATAACCATTAAATAAGTCATCAAGTAAAATGGCAATATTCCAATTTTTATTCGTTTAAAATATACGGAAAAGCATTAGGTTTTTGTTACCTTTTCGTACACGTGTCTAAGTTTTTTTACACCTAAGTATTTTTAATTACACGTCTAGTTCTAGACGATGATTATTAAATTTGGATTTTGTTACAAAACCTCGAAGATTTTTATAGAGCAGATTAAAATATACTTAGAAGTCTAAATATCTATAAAGTGTTTTTTTATATATTAATCGTAAATCATTTCGTATCGTAACATATTTTCCGCTGATTTTCTACTTGACCCAAAGGTTTACAGAGAAACAGAGAGAATGTCATATGGCATTAAGTCCGCTATTTGTACCAACTTCATTTCATTGTGTACAGTAAAACATATTTTTGAGTTACACTCGGTTATCAAATATTTGACTGTTCTAACAGAATCGTTGCTAAAATCGTCAACAGAAGGTCGTAGATAAACGCAGCCATTTACATAAATAGCTGTCGTTATGTACCTACTTGTTTGGTAACGACCAAATTATGGTTTATCCATCTAGTGCCTTGTCGCGTCGTGAGCAATCTTTATTACAATATCTACGGGCATTTTGAATGGTGTAAATTCATACCTTGCCCTTATTTTTACACTATAGAGAATGTGCAAGACACTTTGGCACGAAGGACCGGCTCTACTGGAATGATACTACGTCCGGCGTGATAACCAAAGCGTTGTATTTCGTCGTTAGGTACTTCAATTCCTATTCTTTGCAAGGTCGGAAACGCACTTGTAACTTCTCTGGTGTAACGGGTGTCGTGGTGTGCTTAGAAGCTTACATTTTGGGGATCCAATTAAGCAATAATTATGGATCCGCTTGTGCTCACTAATCTCTGAAATAATTTAGCAGGAGGCGAGAAAGAGGGACGGATCTATACAACTTTTATAGCTCAAAAAATTAATGATGAATTGTAAAAGAGAGAACAAAACAAGTTTCCGAGTTCTACGACATGTGGGGTGGGCGTGGGACTTATTACCACTATGTATATTTGTCAAAAAGAGAATGGAATTCCAAAATTCGTTTTTATTTATATGTACTAATGCACACGTGATAAACAAAGGTACAAGGTGGACTTAATGCATATGGTCACCAATTAGGTTTCCCTATAGGGCTGATGTTAAGCCGTGGTTGCGGGGTAAGCGCAATGAGGCCCCGCGGCCTCAGCCTAGAGCAGGAGAAGGAACGGGAGGATTTAGTCATTAAGAGTCTCAAAACTTCCTTTCGCCAAACTTCTTCCTTTGGGCGGGAGAAGTCATTTGATTTTCCACCGACAGTAAAATTCAGGGATTAGTGGAAAATAAGCAAATCTAGTCTTCTGTAAAGATATTATACTCGTACCAGTTATGATTCAAATTAAGACAAATCAAACTAAAATCGCTGTTATCTTATAAAAAACACTACATATGTTATTTTCATTATTTTATTTGTTTCAGCCAAGAAATACAAAGACTTGTGTGAATCATCATACTGGACCGCTAAATGCATGTACGATTACGATGCAGAAAATTTTGTATTTCCTTGAACATACAAAGTTCATATTAAAATGGTTTATGACATAATTTACTTGGTTTCTTTTCCATCAATTTTAATTCCAATTCATTTTAGAAATTAACAAAATTATTAAGTTTGATTCTCAAAACGATTTTTTACGATGACGTACTAGAATGCAGATTTCATGCATCAAGCTGTGAGAGTAAAGGGTCGAAAAATGTTGCTTATACCCATAATAACCAAACCCATCTAAGAAAATAACTTAAAATACTTTATCATCCATCATCAGCACGTTTCTTCACACTGGTCCTATCTATATGCACGCTACTGAATTTGGCCTTCGCCTTGACCTTCGTATTAACCTACAGCCAGCTTAGCATTATCATCACTCCAACATGCAGGTGGCTGGCGCCACTATGACTAGGCGTGGTCTGCACTTCAAAAAAACATATGAAATATTTTATAGTCTTTCTTTCTCCCTCAAACTAGATGTAAGTACAAAATCAAAATACTTACTAGCCTAGTTACTAGCCTACTCTAAACAATGCATCTATTAATACAAATTGTTGTCATGGCTTTTTGTCTACCTATACAAAAAGACCCTGGAAGTTAACGACTCGATAATTTATTACCAAACGTTTAGTTAATACATGGTTATCACGTAAAAATGAATACGTCTCTTTACCTTAACCACATGTTACACTAAAAGTTTTTGGGCATAAATTGGAGGATTTCTAAATTAATATTTTCAGTTTTTATTCTGGTAGCTTGGAGCAGACTTGTGCCAAAAGATAGAATTAAAAACAAAAATGAATCGTTTAATTTTAGCGTATTTAGTTGTTTTGTGTGCAGGAAGCAGTTATGGAGTAAGTATATTATTATTAATTAATTTTATTACACAGAAATAAAAAGGTGTTGTGTTTTCTGAACATGAGGATTTGAGATTCAAATCCACCTCAGACCGGATCCAACAGGGCCGATGTTCAGCAGGGGTTGTAAGGCAATCGCAATAAAGTACTGCGACCTGGGACTAGAGCAGATGAAGGAACGGGGGGGTTTTAGTCAGTAAGAGTCTGACTCTTCTTCTCGCTTCAACCTGGGCGAGAGCGAGAGAAGTCATTTGATGATTTTCCCTCACAAAGAAAAGGTGTCCATTGTCTATTCCATTTTGTTCTATTGATATATTTTGAATGACATGTAGATGAAAATAATAATACCGAACCAACGTAATGATAAAAAATGCATCTAAAAGTACTTTTTAACGTTACAGATGACTCGGGAACAAGTTAAAAAAACTATGGCTATAGTGAAAAATCAATGTATGCCGAAGAACTCTGTTACAGAAGGTATAAATTTAATTATATATTATGCATACAGTTATACATACACTTTGATTTTTTTAGTGCACGCTGTTCACAAAAAGACATAGATATAATTTCAAAATTTAATTATAAATTAATGTTTTCAGAACAAGTTGGAAGAATAGAACAAGGAGTGTTTATTGAAGATCGTAACGTTATGTGTTATGTTGCATGCGTATACAAAACCTTTCAAGTGGTAAGTTTTTTATACTTCTAATTGGGTAGCATTTGTCGATTGGAGATTTGGGGATTCGAGTAGGCGAGAGAGATGTGTCTCGGGGTACTTTAAAAAATGCCAAAGCCACCCTACACTTATTGCTTATTTAAAAAAAAAAACTACTATAATAATGTCTTGTTATCGTAGAATATTTTTACAAAAGTTTAAAAATACTAGCAGTTTTAGTAAAGACTGAACTTTAAATAAAATTGTATTAGCAAGTACACCAAATATGTTTTAAATAATTATCTAATCTAAGCCTTAACAAAAAACTTTGATTGGCATAAATTGTGTCTACATAGAAAATTTGGTTTTCAAGAATTCCTGAGCCATTTTGCTTAAATGTTATTTATTATTATGTTAAAACTTTCATCTTGGTGACCATTTGATAGATATTGGTCTGATGAAATTTTAATTTTAACATATATGCTTGTTTTCATTTTATTTCCTTTCAAGGGAACAGTATAGTTAAAGGCGTTTTAAATACTATCACTGTCTCAAACATAAAATCCTAAAACAGTATTCCTAAAAAAAAAAAAAAAATACCAAACATACGAACGTATTATCAAATTCGTATAGTACCAAATATTGTATTTTTAAAAGAAGCATCACTGAAGTCCTATCTTACTTTTTAGGTGAAAAATGACAAACTTGATATGGCGCTCATCACAAAGCAGATCGACCTTCTTTATCCCCCAGAACTTAAAGAGCCGGTCAAAAAGTCTGTTGCAGCGTGCCTACATAGCCGTAAGTATTTTGAAAAAGAATATAAGATCCATGAATCAGAAATAGAAGATATATTGAGGAACTACATTTTAGCAAAAAAGCAATGAGACAATGAAAGATATGATGAATGTTGACGAAACAGAAGAAGTTCAAACAGAAAAGCAAAAAAGTTAGATTCAGTGCAAAGACATTAACAGACTGTTCTTGAACTGAATTGTATACGTACTATATCATCTTTTACTCTTTATCTTTAATGCTAAAAACCAAATAAAACGCAATTAAATTTATTTTTCAGAGGACAATTACAACGACCTGTGTGAACGAGTATTTTACGGATCGAAATGTTTGTATGAAAAAGACCCAAACAGTTTCATCTTTCCTTGATGTTCTATTTTATGGAACATTAAGTAATTTAATGTGTTTTAAATTAATTAATGTATAAATAATTTTATTTTGTAATTTTCATACTTTATAGATCGAATATAAAATCGAGTGTACTACGCTGTTCCGAATAATTTTATTTCACTCTGTCAGTTATTAAATAGAACTATTATTTGTTTAACTGGTTGTTTTCTTTATTATACTGTATCTTTTCTTTGTTAAGTGCATAGTTCTTGTTTGACAAGTAACACTTAGCTTAGTAATTAAATATTTTGTTGTCTTTATAAAACCCATTTGTTGCTATCCGCTATTATTGTTCCATCTTCAGATTCCTAAAGAACATCTACGAAATGTCCTACATCAACTATTTTCTTTTTTCCGTTGTTTTGTTTGTTATTTGCAACAATAGTTTTGTTTATTCGGTAAGTTTTTGATTTATCTTTATTCCTGTTATTTTGTTTACTTTTACTTTGTTGAAAATCTTCATTTCAACTTCATACATTTATATTACCACCAGCTACATTATTACGTATCATTAACAGTCGCAATTGAAATTTGGTCATTTATTTATTGCAGATGACCAGAGAACAAATAAAAAATTCTGGGAAGTTAATTAAAAAGACGTGCTCAGCAAAAAACGATCTTACCGAAGGTAATTAATTTTATTATTAAGCGACTATGTCTTTTTTATCTTGATCTAGAATCTAAAGTTTTTTCGCATTATTTTAGTTTTAAGTTTCCAAAATTATAGCTTTGTTTTTTTACAATTCTTTTTATACCTGCTTGGTACATTAAAATCATTGAATAATTATATGTATAGTATAAATATTGAACCTTTTTTATCTGTTACTTCTTCATATTGTTATGATTACAGACGAAGTGAAAGATGTAGACAAGGGGAAATTTATTGAAAAGAAAGATTTTATGTGTTACATAGCGTGTGTGTACAAAATGGGACAGAGCGTAAGTTTCAATGTACGAATAAAGTCATTTACAAATGTAATATTAGTTTTAACAGTACAAATAAATTTATATATTTATAACTGTTAGGTTAAGGGTAGCACGATAAACCATGACATGATGCTAAGACAAGTGGATATGATGTTCCCGAATGATATGAAGGCACCCGTTAAGGCAGCCATAGAGCATTGCAGACCAGTCGGTGAGTTCCTAATGATCATAGATATTTAACTTAAGGTTGACTTAATAAAAATCCAGACAAGAGGTTAGTAGACACGGATAAAGATGTCGTTATCGGGAACTCAGATTTAGGGACACAGTTCAATTTTGGTCGATCGTATCCTACAAACATTATAAATGTGAAAGTTTGTGAGAATACATGGATGTATGTTTGTAATTCTTTCACGCAAAAACGGCTAGACCAATTTGGTTGAAATTTGGTATGGATTTGGATTAACACAAAGGATACTTTTTATTAACATGCGTGCGAAGCTGCGGGTGGAAGCTAGTATTGAGTAGTTTAAGCTACTAAAACTATCAAGTTTTGAATAAACAAGCCAACTGAACAATCATTTTGTGCAATCTTGATTACCTTAAGCAAAATCATCAGAATGCTCAAGGTTGCAGAGCGTAACTATGCGGTTATGTTTAAAAAACAATAGTCAAATATTTTTCAACATTGGACTTTAATTTGTTTCTTGTTTTATGTTTACTTTATTTTTACGATGTCAATAGTCTATCTATGGCATACCAAAAAGTCATTAAGTACCTACACATGTGTATGTCTAAATCAAATTATTTATTCACATGTTTTCAATTGAATAAATAAGGCAATTTTGAAAGTCAAACAAAATATTAAAAGGTAAAAAATTACTGTCTGTCAGTTAGCCCCAAAAAAAATATATTTATTTACTACTACCTATTAGTGTTACCTATTTTCTTCTATTTTCCAAGAAGGGGTCTCGTTATAATGTAGGTTCACTCTTACTTATATTATAAACACGAAAGTGTTTAAGTTTCGACAGATGGATGTTTGTTAGTCTTTCACGGCAAAACTACTAAACCGATCTTGATCTATTTATTTATTTATTTATTTAATAATTTTTGTACACACAGTAAGTTGGACAAGAAAAATAATACAACAATTAGGTACAAAGGCACAGCTTATTTCCTGCTTTTATATTTTTATAAAAATATAAAAAAAATTACTTAGAAATGTATTATAGTCTGCAATAGCACCTGGGCTATGTTTTGCCCGGGTAATATTGGGCGAGGCTGTATTTTATTCAATAAATTGTAAAGAACGTATTAAGTTTCTACCAAATCATTTTTATTAGTATCGTGATTACAAATGAAATGTCATAAACTTTTGTATTCAGAATGGAAGATTTTACACAGAAATTATATTGGTTTTTTACAGCTAAAAATTACAAAGATCTCTGCGAAGCATCCTATTGGACAGCAAAATGCATTTACGATTTCGACCCCGCCAATTTTATGTTCCCTTAAAAGGAATGTAAATTGTTTTTTCAACAAAGAGAAATAAATAAAACTAACATCAATGAATTTCTGTCGTTTTATTAACACGATATACTATAACCAAATTTTGGTTACAGAAAAAAATCGAAAAGTCTCAGCAAGAACACACTGAGACACGTACGCGGTCACGTACCTATGCGTATGAGTTTATCGAATTTCGATATTTAATATTTAATATTCCATATGGATATTCAATAATATGATTTTGATATCAGAAGCCATATTGTAATAATGATAAAAATTAGCCTTCAAACAGTTTTTGTCCAAAAATTTATTTAAACAGAAAAAAGTCATTATATTTCCATTTAGAATAAGTACTGTTTAGTTTACAGTCCAGACTATCAAAAAAAAAACAATGATGGTATAAAACTACAATAAAGCTTGTTGAAATCAGCATTTTAAATCTTGTTAGGTTATGGAAAGACGTTAACTCGTTAATTGGTCTAAGATAATTTATGTATTTGCTTTGCTAATGATACGCTGATGAGTATACAATCAGAGTATAGGAACGTCGTATATATGGTTACAAGTAGGTTTTAAGCAAACAGTGCAATTTAGTAAAGGTCTTGTGAGTGTCGTGATGGATCGAAAAAGAATATGTTTATTCGTGATAGCTATGTTTTTGGCCTCAGGAAGTGACGCCGTAAGTACAAATAAAAGTGAAAATTAATGATGTAATATTTGTAATGGATGAAAAAGTAAACAAAGAAATAAATGAGTTCAATGTTAGTGTTTTACGTGATAGGAAACATCCTTAATATCTTACAGATGTCTAGACAACAGTTGAAGAATTCTGGAAAGATGCTGAAGAAAAATTGTATGAATAAGATTGGTGTGACTGAAGGTATATAAATATTTTTTATACTTATCCGATACAAAAATGCTAAAATGATGAAAGATAGAATATTAGCAGAGTTTCCACTGATGGATATTTTTTCAGATCAAGTTGGGAGTATAGATAAAGGGAAATTCATAGAAGACAGAAAAGTTATGTGCTATATAGCTTGTATCTACGAATTGACGAATGTGGTAAGTGATCGGAAAAGATTTTCTTACAAATTATCACTAGAAATTATTAAAAAATATGGAAAGTAGGAGACCAATATGAAACATTACTGTTTTTAATTCACAGATAAAGAACAATAAATTAAATTATGAAGCATCGATCAAACAAATCGATCTTATGTACCCACCTGATATAAAGGAATCAGCAAAGGCTGCTGTGGAGAAATGTAAAGACGTCCGTAAGTTTTCCAATTATATATTATTTGAACCAAAACTATTTTTGATTTAGTATACAGGGAGTTCTTTTCTTCTAAATATGTTTGTACATCAAGATGTACTCGTTTATTACTAACAGATAACAGTTTATATTCATTTCATTTTTACTGCATAGCTGGCTGCTGTGCAACGTATCGCGGGTTCGATTCCCACACGAAACATCTCTTTAACCATTTTCGCACGTCTATTCGTCACGTCTGTTCCGAATCCGATTATATATAGAAAACTTGGACTGAATTTGAATATTGCAAATGAACTCGCCTGTTCCAAATCCGATCCGCACCAGGGAAAACTTGGACCGAATTATATAATTTACTTTCTTATTGGATTAGATTATAGAATACATGTCATAAAATTCCTCCCGGAATGGAGATCTTAGGATGCCGGAATAAAATAGAATGACGGATGACTATATCCGATAGTGCATAAACTACCTAGCATATAATTAGTTCTACAACTATGACGTACCATATCACGGGTTCGGATCGGATGCAGGGCGAAAGCGTTCTAAAGTGTGAGGCACACATTTATGGTGTCTGTTGTTATGTGTTTGAATACGACTCCGTTTCTTCTATTGGAGAAGGAGAAAGAACGGGGTGGGTTACTCCGCAACCCCAGCTGAACGGCATTATTGTTTATAAGGATTATGTATATGTTATAATAAGCATATTGTTTAATATTACAGAAAAGAAATACAAGGACATCTGCGAAGTTTCCTTTTACGCGGCGAAGTGTATGTACGAGTTCAAACCGGAAGATTTTATTTTCGCATAATTTTAGATTAAATAATTCTCGTGTTTGAATGTGTTTTATTTTAATACTAACTGTGTTTTCAACTTTATGCAAACACGACAGTCTCTAAAAAAACACAAAATCCAAAATTAGCCAATTCGAGTATGTTTTTTAATGAGCGTTCCTACTTAATTGATTTTTAGAGACATTTTAAAAATCTTTGAAGTTTGAGATTTTCCATTATTTAAAGAAAATATAAACATTTTCGCTAAAAGTAAAGGAATATAAAACAAAAACAGCATAGCAACAATAATATACATATAAATAGCAGCTCTATAATTAAACCAATAAATTCTATTTCTGAGAAGACTTGTTTTACTGTTGGCGCTGAGATTGCATCCAAGGTCGTCTCAATTCGTATAGTCATCATGATATGGACGATCGAAATTGTTTTGTTATTATTACTTTTTAATATTTCTGTTTGTTCATTTTTATTTGCATAATCCTCATTAGAGCCGTTTGTTACCATAACAAGTTTTTCACTTTTTATAGCAGTGTCCAACAAGTTTTGCCCATTGCCTAGTAGTTGGTTAAACAAGGGTTTGATTTATAAATTCATATCAGTACCATCTTACTCAGAAATAACCTTTTTAGTTTGAAAAGATGTAAAAAAATAATCCGTTGCCATTTTCCCACCCCGAATGAGGCGACACTCCCTACTTTTGACTATTGCAGTCTAAAACCGACCATTAGCTTCTCCTGCTCCAAACCGTACCGTGTTACATCACTGAGCTTCGACCCGCACGGAATAGGCGATGACAGTTGCCTAGTTTTTATTAATGTGATAAGACGGAAAATGACCTGCGAATCTGATCGTAAGCAATCAGCGCCGCTCATGGACAGCAACGGAGTTACGAGTGCGTTGCCGAACTTTAGGGGATTAAGATTTTGGAGATTTAAGGTTGAGGGGAAAGATTGTTTCTCCGGTAACCTCACTCATAAAACGAAACAACTCTGTGGTCGTACCTATCACGCCGATTTTCTATGAGGCGGTGGTATCACACCGGTCTAAGCATAGCTGTCCTACTCTTAAAAAACCTGTTTCTTGACAAAGGCACTGTGTTATATCTGCCGTCTTTCTAGGAAAAGCAAGTACCTAACATCCACATTACTGCTAATAACTAGGCTGCAATGGTAATTGGCAAGGTATTCATAATTGCATATGATTAACCCACGAGTGGTATTTAGTGGATCTCATAGTGATTTAGCATTTCTGTTTATCTATCAATCTTCGTAAATAAATTGCATAGATGCAACAGCCAGTGATTTGTATTTGTAAAGAAAAATCGCTCTGAATAAAAAATGAACTCTCCTAATCGACGAATAGGTATGCATAAAGTGATAAATGAAGCTATAGAGGTTAACTACAATCTTAATATTTGATTTCTATTTACATATACATATGTCTCAGGGAGTTTTAATCAGTCATTGAAATAATGCCCTGTTTACCCAGTACAGCAGATAGCAGCTCTGTTTTGGTGAGAACCCCTACACCCTGGATGAGACTGACCACCTGTATAAGAAATTTAACAATACATTCAAATGGCTACATATGGATAAATTCAAATTATTCAGAGCGATAGGTGAATAGCTAATTAGTTTGTACATAACGAAAGATCTTAATAAACTAGTGCGCCTTACCATCAACGATTGCATCACTGCTTACCATCAGGTGGGATCGCAGTCAAGCACTAATTTATTGCAAGTAAAAAAAAAGAAGATGAGCTAGATGATGCCAGATTATCACAATACAAACTCTTACATAATTTTCAAAGAAAACCTAATACGTATTTGTAGTACAATCTCTCGTGTAACATTCTTAATTTATTGTACTGCAGCCAACTCGGCGCATACGCTGCTCTTTACAGCTCAATACATGAATAAGAGTACAGTAGTGACAGTGAAATTAGTTTAGTTTTTCTCAGTCAATTTACGAGAGTAATTTAGTCATTTCAATAAACCTTAACTTTTGGCCAAATAGGAGGCTCCGTATTTTGATTTCGGAGGAAGTCTGCAAGTTTGAGAGGCTGAAAGTATAATAAGAGGATTTAAGATAATCTTCAATTAGTTTGGCTGGTAGGTAGGAAATAAAGATTTAAAGCATCTCCCGGTCTTGAAAAAATGATTGAAAAACAGATCTTAATCCAAAATCTTTAAGATTCAAAATCAATTTAGATTGGACCCATGATTTTCGATTGAGATATTTAAATTTTTTCAGGTATTAGTCGACTCTTACTCCACCTGTACAAAGATAAGTATGGCTGTACAACAGACTGTATCCTACTCTACCGTCACCATATGGTCTCTTGAATTCTTGGACTTCTTCATTATGGCATGGCATGGCTCTTTTGGTATACTAGGTGAACCTGCGGCTTAGCTCACAGTGCTAATGTAATATCTAGGTATATGAAAAATTACATTTAGATCCCCAAAGTAGTTTTTACGTGATAGAGTAACAATCATATGTAGATACATCCATCCATACTTACAAATTCTCGAGTTTATAAAACGAATTATGATTTCTTAAACTACAAGATCTTCAAGTTGGACAACAAAAGTAAATAAAATCTGTGAAGCCTGCGACTTTGAGATATTTACTTTGAGGTTTTGTTGGATTAAAGAATTAGTTTTGTCTACAGTAAAAGTGCATTTTTGATTTTTTGACTTAACGCTCCCGCGCTCAATACCGACATGTGTACTACAAGGAAGTATTTATACTTTCGTACGTAGGTAATTACGTTTTCACAGGTATTATAAATACTATAATTGTTAAGGTATGGCGTAAAGTATTTGTATACCACTGCTTAAGGGATTTATAACTTTTTTTGTGCAGTTAGTCGGGTAGGACTGAAGAAATGTGATGGTCACCCAGCATGATATAAACATCGTGTAACGCCTTCCTGACCCTTTAGGATGTTAGATATGAAGTGGTATTATTAGTTATTTACCAATTATAATTAGATTTGCATGTAATAGAAGATTATCTTGTCGTCCTATACCAGTCAATCTTCTAGACGCCTTGCGATTATTGAATAATTTATGAAAATCTTTACTAGCCCAAGAATTGTTTTCAAAACCATTTGCACTTGCTTGCATGCTCTCATTTGACCAACAAACAGTTTATTGGGTTTTATAATTTATTGTAAACTCGTGACCTAAGTACCCCGGTTTAGGGTGTAAAATATTATCTAATTTGCAGCAGTCCTTTATTTAACATGCGACGATTTCTCGGGGCGTCAAGGTCTGGAGTTGAAGTCTCCACTACTCCTAGTGCAAACCCTATCAGGACAGGAGCGCCTCTAACGCCTCTAACGATATCGATTAGACTCTTTCCTTTTTTATCCATGTAGATTTTTTTTCAAAAATAAAAAACAATGGTGTTCTGCCACCTACATTATTTACTACGAAAGTAAGAACATTGATTTGATTTTGCTTTTCTTAAGTGGGCACCGTAATATTTTCGCCGCGGTGTCAGTGCCTTTACGCCGGTACTGAACGTCACACACGTAGTAATGACATTTCGACAATGAATTTGGTTTACATAGATTTATCTAATAAACTTGTGTAAGGTGTAAACAGCGTGAGATGCACCCAACAATTAGCACCAGTTCACAATCAACATTGAGGACATTTTATTGTTCTGTGAAAAATGTTATAAATTGTCATGATTGTGAGATAGCGGGTACATCATACATTGTAATTGCAATATCTCGTGTCCATAGTGGATTTAATTATACCGCAATGTTTTTTATTATGTGTTGAAGTTATTGTTTGTATGTCTGTCTGTCTGTTGTTTAGACCAATAAAATGCTCCAATAGAATTTTTTGCATCATCTACATTCATAGGAAAATTGTATTCGTCGCTGCTAGTGCAAACGCTTTTTAAGCGTCTTTTCGGCTTCATATATATCTTTCGTAAATGTAGTAGCATGCATTTTCTTCATAAGATCAAACTTCTACTAGGTTTCTTCAATTCATGTTTCTGTATCTACCAATTTAAGAAACGATGTATTTTCATAATTTCTTGTTTTTCTATTATTTTATTTCCACTTTTACTTTGTATTCACTAAGCTTGGTGCATTAACAATATGAAAATGTATATATTTAACAGCAGCTGAACTGAAGAACTCGTACCGCCTCAAAATCACCTTTTTTTCTGATCTTTTAAGCCTTCCCTGGATTTCCACGAATATTTTAAGATCCAAATAAGCCAAATCGGAGCAGCCGGTGTCGAGATTAGAAGAAGATTGCGTTGTCGTATTTGGGGATACCTTTTAAGCAAAATGAAATTGTTTAACAAAATAAACACAATTTCCAAATGTTCATATCATATTTGGTTGTATCAATATCAAAATGATTTTCAGCAACGTTTTGCTGTTTTTTGCGATATATGATGGTAGATGATAATGTTCTTTTAAATACACACAATTTATTGGATGTGTGACTTCCCTCGTATTTTGCATCAGGTGTGAAACTGATTTTAATGATAAAATTGTCGTAATTACCGTGGCAAGTACTTACGTGCATTTTATATAAATGTTGCAGTTGTCACATTCTGTCTCATTTATAAATCCAGAAAACAACTGTAGTTGTGCTTCTAATTTGAAAAAAAAATATCCATTTTATTTTCATAATGTCCGTTGTGAGATATTCCGCGTTTGTGATGGCGCTTTTTTGTTTAGTGAGCGTAAATGTAAGTGCTTTTTTTATCTTTTTTATCATTTGAATTGAACTAGTGCCAAGCTTTTCTTGATCGAGTAGCCAATTGAATTAGTTACTTTAGTTAACTGAAATTCTCTATTTCGATAAGCTGCTGACCAGTTACCATCATTAAGTGACATGATGTCTGATCAAACATTTAGCTTAAAAATTGCAATCCAGAGTATAAGAAGTACAAGACCATTTGGAATTTTAAATACCTAAATATAAGATGACATTGTTAATTAACATTTTCTATGTCAGGCTATGTCTGGTGATGAAGAAGCAGGTGTAAGAGATGCTTTGCGTCCTTATGTACAAGAATGTGCAGATGAATATGGAATTACTGAGGAACAATTCGAAGAAGCAAAGAAGAAGGCCAGCACTGATGATATCGATCCTTGTTTCATGAGCTGTTTCTTGAAGAAAGCAGAATTTGTAAGTATGTATTGAAATTGTAACAAATTTAACAGAGAGCAGCAGCACAAAATTTTGTATACCTGAACTTTTTGAACTCCGGCGTCAACCTGCCAAGCGTTTGAATGGTAGAAGCGGAGTGCTGTGCTGCAGTGGAAGGCTATTGATGATTGATGATAATCGATTTGGAGTTTTACTGTATCTATCATGACATTCGTTGTATGATCAAGAAGACTTCTATAACTTGAGATGGGACAGACACACATTGGGATTTATTTTTTTTATAAAAGTATTGATGGATATTTTGATTTCCTATAGGCGTATGGAAACTACAGGATATTTTAGTTTACAATACGCGCAAACGGTGAACGAAAAGAGTGTGAGAAAAGAATTCTAAGGAAAAGAAGTAGTTTTTCTTTTCCCCAGAACCTTTATTTTGCAAGAACTTTTAATGAAATTTCTATGATTAAAAAACTTATTTCTGACAAATATATTGAAATAAATTAAGCATGTAAATCATTTTAAAATGATATCAGCCTGGCAATGGCTTCGCTCACAGGACCAGAAAGGAAAGTAGCTTGTTTGTTATTCGAGACTACAATCTATCCGTATTCCAAATTTCATTGTGATCAGTTTTGTCGTCGTTCAAGACGTTTTCTCGTGAAAGAGTAACAGACACACATTCATCCATAATGGATCGATGGACATCCATTCATGCATCGCATGTAGGTATAATATAAGTAGGATGGTATTAATCTTTCTTAAAAACTACTTCCCAGTTCGACGCCCAGGGCAAATTTGACGTTGACAGCACTATGGCGTTCGCCAAGGAGCATTTGAGCAGTGAACCGGCTATGAAGTTCGTTGAAGCGGTCGGAGATGAATGTGTCAAAAGTTAGTAGATTCTCTTATGTGTCATATTTTATTTTATACTATCTAGCTTCCGCCCGCGTGGTATGTTGATAAAAAGTAGTCTATAAGGGTATACTATTCCGGAGTGTGTATATCCTATGCCTGTGCCAAATTTTATCCAGATCCGTCCAGCGTTTTGGCATGATTAAGTAACAAACATCCAAACATCGTAACTTTATTTATAATATTAGTAAGATAGGTTTTTTATGACAACTTAACAATTTTTTCTCCATAGTACAGGTATGGTAAGGAATATAGTTTTAGTAGCCGTGTTATAAAACCAGTGCAAGTCGATTTGAATTATCGCGCTTCAAACACTGACTTTGTGCTAAGGTGCTATCGATGTAACTTTCGAAAATTGACCCAACAACAATTCGATCGAATACCAAGAGCCTGCGCTTGTGCACTACGTCTGATCCTAATCCAATTTTAGCTTGTGAAACTAGGATTCATACACTATATCTTTCAGCCTTCATCCATTTAGTTAACGTATTTTAGGGATAACTGAATTCTATCCGACTTTTGTAGACCTGAATTTTCATGGATACAGATCAGACGTAGTCTGAAAACAATCTTAGACTACGCGCTCGTCATTTTTAAGGTCAGCTATTAAAAAGTTTTTCAAATAATTGCATACAGAAAATACTAACACTTACAACGCCATGTTGGACAATGCTGTCCGACGCTAGCGGAAGATTAGCCTTCAATAGTTTTTGTCGGCAGTCAGATGCTTAATTAATATTTCAAAAAAAACGTTATATTTTCAGTAAACGATGAAGATGTCAGCGACGGTGACAAAGGGTGTGATAGAGCCAAATTGCTGTTTGATTGTATAGCCGAAACTAAGAAGACGGTGAGTAAAGACCACGGTAAAGACTTAGATCTGAGAGATAGAGACCATGATACAGATTAGAGGTAGGCATTATGTGTGATGTAACAATCTTTTGCACCAACCAGTTCTGTTATTAGTGCCAGGTAAGAACTTGATAAGTTAAGATCCTCCGCTCCATAGGCTCGCAAGCAGCCACTAGGTGGAATGAGTTAATCAGTAGATGCTTTACCCTCATATAAAAGAAAAAGTTTTGCATCATACTCAAGAAATTTAACACATGAATCTTACAGACGACGACACTTTGAAAGACGCCACAGATCTATATTACATTAAATGCATGAATATCAATGTTCAAATGTATTGTTTTCAGATGGACTGATATAAAAACGACAGAACTAACTAAAGAAACGGAAGATTTTTTAAACTTTTTTGTAATTTAAGAAATAAATGCTTTGATGATACCGCATGTAAAGGTTGTTTTTTTTTATAAAGATAAGGTATCATATTGTAATAAGGATGTCAGTTGCAATAAAGCCTGGATGTTGATGAGCAATTATTGAAGCCAATATCAAGAACAGCAGAGGTAGGTATGACAAGTGGGTGAGAATATATTTTTTATTGAGGTCCAGAGTTTCAGATGTATTGGTTGTATTGATTTCATTCAGAGTTCCATCTCGCTGTTTGATAGTGCCATAGTTTTCAGATAACCCAATTCGTAATGACGAAAAAAAATTTAATTCGTAAAGAAAAAACATCTAATCAGTCAGATGTATTTTCTTTGTATCAGCAAAAGAAATTCTTATGACTCCTTTTCTTTTGCTAGAAGCCTTTTTAAGTCGTCATTATGAATTGGGTTATCTCTCACTTGCAAGTTAGAGATGTAAGGGTTGGGGAATTTGCGGATTGGACTCCCTTACTCTCATATTAAATAAAAAAATAATTATTAAATTGGCGAACGCCATAGCGTTAGCGACATAGAGCTCTCAACGTCAAATTTGCCCTGGGCGTCGAACTGGAAAATAGTTTTTAAGAAAGATTAATACCATCCTACTAATATTATACCTACATGCGATGCATGAATGGATGTCCACCGATCCATTCATCCATGTGTGTCTGTTACCCTTTTACAAGAAAACGTCTTGGACGACGAGAAAACTGATCACAATGAAATTTGGAATAAGGATATGTCTCCCTTACTCTCATAATAAATAAAAAATAAATAAATAAATAGCAAAACACATCACTCCGGTCGAGCTGGCCCATTCGTGCCTAAAATGGCTCACCCACACACTTACTTAAAATTATTATGTTACAGTCGAACTTAATAACTGATTTTATTTAAAAATCTTCATATCCAATACTTTGGCCAAATGCCTAAAAAGACAATTTTAAATGGGGATAAATTCAGGAATGAAGGTGTATTATTTTTAATTACTAAGACGCTTTTATTTGTTAAAATGATTTTGACTAAGGAAACTACCCAAATCACAAAATTAATAGCCGATCCAAGACAATTGATCGGTGAGTTGCTCTAAGAAACAAAGAGGTTTTATAAAATATTCAATCTACACGTGATAGATAAATACAGTCACGTTTTCTCTTTGATGCACAAACGCTGCGTGTACTTTGTAATTAAACTAACTACAGTCAAAGAAGGTGTAATTTGTACTTCATTCTTGCTGCACAATATGTCTTACTGTGAGTACCTAAACAAAATTAGCTTCGTAAATGCGTGATGGTTTTCCCATCACATGGCTTCCCTCGCCCAGGGTGAGAAGGAGTGTCTGACTTTAACTGCCTATAAAACACCCCACTCCTTCTCCTTCTCTTGCTTCAGGCCAGAACCCCGGTACCTTATCGCGCTTGACCCGCAACACACAAATTTTTTTTGTATCAATCCGCTTCCTGTCTTGCAAATGCTGTGTTTATATTAGCTCCTTCTGTAGTCAAACATTTATATACTTGATACCAAACGTAAGCGCAACTAATAAAATAAAATACAGCTCTCATTAAATACATATGTGAAACATGGTTGTTACGATTGTTAAGAATTAGCCTGATGGCTTTCTATTGTGTGTTGTGTGTAATCGATTTAGGAAGTTCAAAGTGTATTGTATCGGTACAATTTATTATCGTGATTACGTTGTTAACAAATTGGGGTTCTATGGATAATGGGATTTGAGAGTATGTTTTCTGAATGGTTCCAGTTGCGGTTTTAAATAATTTTAGGCTTGGTAGGAAAAATGTTGAACTGTACCCTTATAGCATTAGAACATATTTTCCCCTATCTCTTGTTAAGTAATCATACACACGAAAAGGAATATCACGACATTCAAGGCTTTTTTGAAAAAAAAAAACATCTCTTGCAAGATCCTTAGTAATCAAATAAAACAAAGCACTGTTTTACTTAGGTGACTCATAGTTCATACAAATTACGTTCTAGATTCAAATAATTGTGCTCAAACTCATGTTTGAAAATAGTGGTTTTGTAAAATAGGCCTGACGTATGAAAGAGTTGCAAACTTGCAGTACGCTAAAATAGCGTAAATAGACACAGAAAATGGGTCAGTAGATGTTGATAAATTGTTGTAGTGTAGTGTTTAACCGTAGGTACGGTCAGTTTGGAACATTCAAACTCTTGTTGATTTGCATGCAGATGGAAATTTTATTGGAGTGAGTGATGACTGCGAGAGGAACTTTATGAATATACTTATTTTTTATTAGTTTTTGTTATTCGTGTAATTGGATCTAACCCGTTTTAACATAAATAAATAAATAAATAATTTAAAATCGTTATCATCACCATCATGGTCATCATCAGCCTGATTTCGCCCACTACTGGACATAGACCTCTGTCAGACGGGGCCCTAAAGGGCTGATGTTCAGCCGGGGTTGCGGGGTAAGCGCAATGAGGCACCGCGACCTCGGCCCAGAGCAGGATTAGGAACAGGGGGGTTTTTAGCCAGTAAGAGTCTGACACTCCCTCCCGCCCGGCCCTGGGCGGGAGAAGTCATTTCATGATTTTCCCCTCACAAAAAAAAGACCTCTGTAATTGCAAGCCACTGCGTTTGATGTTACTATACTACTACCTACTCTACTCATCCAGCCACCACCAGGCAACTACGATAACCAAAATATTACTTTAATAATAGATACCAAAAATTATGAGTATTTAAATTATTATTATTTATTTAGGTGGCAGTGAATAGACACGCTTAAATTGTATGTGATTGCGTTGACGTTTATCGAAATTATCGCATTATAAAATGGGATGCGAGTAGTTTTTTTTATTGAAATTGGCTTTAGTCAGTTTAAAATGTACAAGTTAAGGGTGTTATTGCTATGCTTCGTAGTTGTGGCGGTACATTTTAGGCTGGTTCATGTAAGTCTTCTTTTATTCATATTTGTCAAAATATTGGAGCATCGCAAATCTTCAGACTCGTTTACTGCGTGATCGACTGATTTCCAACTTATTCTGATGTATATACTTGGGATTATAAGCAATTCTGCATTTAAATAGTTGTGAAGGCAGATAACAAATTAAGTGCATAGAAGCAATTTATTTAAAAATTTCGTTGAAAACATGGTTGTTTTACAGTGCTTATCTGATGAAGATAAGAAAATCCTTAGGGATGGTCTGGATTCTATCGCTCACGATTGTTTACATGGATGCGCTATTGATGAAAAGGAATTAGATAACTTAGATGCCAACGACAGTATTGAGTGTTTCAAGAAATGCTTGATGACGGATGCTGGATTCGTAAGTACAGATACGTAAAAAAATTACAGAACATGAAAAGAGACGAAATGTGTTTTAAAGGTGTTTTGCAAAAACAATTTTTATTTCGCGAAGAATACTTGAATAAAATTTACGAAGACGGATTTTAAATGCGATTAAATATCAAAAGAAATAAATTATACCTGCTTGAATAGGAAATGTATAAATACTGTACACATACTAAATATTTTCAGTTGGACTTAAATGGAAAATATAACAAGGACATGTTAAGTGAATCTTTGTCCAAGGTAACTGGAAATCAAGACAATGCTGAAAGGATCCTAAATGAACTAGATCGCTGCTTTACTGGTAAATATTCTTCGACTGCTACAACTATTAATTAATCTTGAATTGTTATAGACGGTCGCAAAATCAAGCGACAAATCACGCTCGATTTTGCGACCGTCATAAATATTGCACATATCGTTCTATTTGCAGAAAATGGAGACAATTCTGAAGCCAACGAAGATGCATTTATGAAGCGTATTGATATTCTATTCGCTTGTATGAGAGAAATTCGAGAGGTAAGATTTTAAAAATAAAAAAATTGACATCTTGTTTTGGACAATGGAATAAATAGTAGGTATTTTTTGTTATGGTATAAGTCGGCAAACGAGCAGACGGATTACCTGATGGTAAACAATCGGCTCCGCCCATGGACACTCGCAACACCAAAGGAGTTACGAGTGCGTTGCCGGCCTTTGGGGATAGGGGTTGCGGATATAAGTATCGGGAAGGGATAGGGGAAGGGCGGGATTGGGCCTCCGGTAACCTCACTCACACGGCGAAACACAACGCTGTGGTTGTTTCACGCCGTTTTAACTAGGGCCAAACTGCTGGTAGAAAGTTAAAAATTATAAATAAGTAGAGAGGTACCTATGATACATTATTTTCGTGAAATATATTAAATTTATTAATATGTTTATATATTAAATAACACGAAAATATTTTATCAGTTTACTCATGTAACTATTTGACGAATAATTCGCCTTCACGGGCTCATATTCATGAGCTGTGTAACGTTGGTTGTGTCGATTACCGCGTAATGCTGTTAAGCTAAGCCATTTAGGTAACATAATAATGGTATTTTTTTATGATTCAGGTGAGAAATTGTTTGTTTTGATTGTTTTTTCAGTAACCAGAACCTAAGCACGAGTGATAGGAAACCTCCAATGGCAATGAATTAAACGGAAATAATCTGTATTTAGAATTCAAATAAATCTTGACTTATCGAAAAGTTTCCGTTATTCTAATTGTAGTTCCTTAAAATTCCAATTTCGTAAATTAAAACAGGATCATTGGCTAACGGCGGTCTGTCTAATGTCTTTGCAAGAGATGTTGTAGATAACAAAACTTATATAGGTATTCCTTTAAGTCACTTCTCGGTTTTGGAAACTAACATTGTGTTAAATGTATCTCCAAACTTTAGCTTATGTTTCATTAATTTTTATTAGAATTAAATTATAATTAATAGCTACTCTCGCGCGGTTGCACCCGCTGGTCGGCTCCATTTACTCGTAGCGTGATGTTTTATAGCCTATAGCAATCAGGCACATTGTAGCTATCTATCAGTAAAAAGAATTTTGGAAATTCGACCAGCTGTTCCAATGATTAACCCCTACATACAAACTTACAAATTTTACCAGTTTATAATATTAGTATAGAAGTACAGATTTTACTTTATGTCTTACTTACTTAGGGGTTTTCCGATTTGTATCAATAGGACCGGCATGTCTACAGATAAAGGTCCTTTAAATAAATAAAGATTAAAAAAGAAGTATAGATTTCGATTTTTGACATATTTTTCACGATAAATATATGTATTTCCTATGTCGTTTATTTTTCTTTTTATTTTGTTATTGAAATATAGGTATGCAACACATTTCTGCAAAACGTTTAACATGTCTGTTGCCAAGTCCTTGGGAGAATTTCAGCCATGTTTCATGTTGTCCAGTTACACAATTCGTTTTACCAATGAATCGAATTGGATCTAGCTTAGTCGTCACTTCAATTGTTCAAACCTGAGGGCAGAGTTCCGCAAGTCAAATCGAAGGTCGAGGTTTTCCAAAACAACCATTCATATAGTTTAGCAGTTTCATCGTGTATTATCACTCTATTTTATATAAATGGGATAAAATGAATTTAGTGATCAAACTGATATCGTGGTTTGTTTTGACAACATTCATCGATATTTAGTTTAGAAGGTTTAAATTTTTCAGTATTTCTAATTATTAGGTACTTCTACTGCATTTTTATTCTTAACGTCTACTAAAGAGTACTAAAGAGTCTACTAAACATTATTTGTTCTGGGTTTTCTATTGAATTAAAAATTAGTTCTTTTAAAATCTGGTTGAACCCCTCATTTTATTCAATACAATATCTATTTTCTATCATCATGAGTTCCTGTACTGACTTGACTCGCATTGGATACGTTATGCTGTTTTGGTTGCTGATAAAAAATGTTGCGGTAAGATTATGTTTAGTCATATTCTGCATTATGCTCTTTAACTTCATAAGTTTTATTTGTTTTATCTTAATAAGTTTTCTTTCTTCCTTTCCAAATTATTGCTATCGTATTTAACACTATCTATTTCATTTCAGGCATTGTCAGATAGAGAAAAGTCAGCTATTCAAAAAGAGTTAACTTCGGTTGGTCTTCAATGTATACAGCAACATCCCTTGTCACTGTCTGACATTAGGTCATTTAGAAACAAAATGATACCTGATGGAAAGAAACCAAAGTGCTTCGTAGCCTGTCTGTTCAAGAAAATTGGTGTGGTTAGTACATTTTCGGACAATTTATTATAATATAATAATTATTGATTGTTCAGTCCCTGTAGTTACCGCTCGAACATATAAAAATGATTAAATAAAACATATTATATTTTTATTGAGACATTACAAATGAAATGGGATTCGTAAGAAGACGGATGAATTTTTAATCCAAAGTCTAATTTCTTTGACGGGCTATACGAGTAATCTGTTATATTGACATTCGAAATAGCGAATAAGACAAAAAGAAGGCATATAGAAAAACATGGAAAGATTATTTTTCTTTTGCCTATTTTATTGCAGATGGATGACATGGGAATGATATCACCTATGAAAGCGCAGGAAAATGCCAAAAAGGTTTTCAAAGATAATGAAGAACATATTAAGAATGTCAATGAGATTATGGAGAAATGTTCGTCAGGTAATTTAAATTATATAAAATTCAAAAGATATAATATTAATGGTACGAAAATCATTGATGCAATTTTAAATGTATCTATTTTTACAGTGAATCAACAGAACACGAGTGATGGAAACAAAGGATGTGACAGAGCGAAGTTAGCTTTTAATTGTTTCACAGAAAATGCTGACAAAGTGAGTTGCCTATTTTAATGATGGAAGTCAGAAATTCCTCTGATAGCAAATCATCATGGCATGCCTAAGGAAACATTACTTTGCCGCGTTGGTCACAATGATCACAAGTGTAATCGTGAAGTCAAAACAATTGGGTTTTTAAGAAGTTCTTACCAATGAAACCAACTTGTAATTAGCAACATAATTTCATACGGGTTGTAGGTATTGGAGTGTGACGTCATGATAAAAATCATTAAATATAAATTAAAAACCCCTACACATAAGGTACCTTTAAAAAGTATATAATAAAAAAAAATTGAAATCGTTTCATCTGTTCAGGAGCTATGATGACACAGACAGACACGTCAAACTTATTGAAGTTTTTGTTTTTTGTGACGTACAAGTCAACCTTTCATTTGACACCCCACTTGAGCATATTTGCAGACATTCAGTTTTTCTTCCCCATTTTAACCCCCATAACTTTTAAAAGGCTCAATCGATTTTCATGAAACATGTCTAAGAACTCGCCCGTAAAACACCTGCAATACAAAAAAAAAAACTAAATTGAAATCGGTTCATTCGTTCAGGAGCTATGATGCCACAGACAGACAGACACGTCAAACTTATAACACCCCTCTTTTTGCGTCGGGGGTTAATGATCGTCAAAATGAAAAACCGAATATTAAGTTTAGGCATCATCATAATCAACACATTTTCCAATAAGCCCAATTTCCTTTCCTTACAATATGTCTAGAGTTTCAGATTAGGTTGGGACATATAAACATAATAATAAGTACTATATGATCTTAAGGTGTATGAAATATTCTAGTTTTTGCCCTCATTAAAAATTGATATAATATATGTACGTATGTAAGAAGCTATTTGTTTCGATATCTTTAGATCAGTTTTTTCCTCTGATGTCACGATTTTAATATTTTTGCTGTTTTTTTTTTCAGTATGGATTCGATTTCGATTTCTGACGAGTCATCGTTACCAGCAATTTCGATGGAAGCGTTTAATATAAGATTTAGTACCTACAAAGCGGTTATTGGTGTTGTGTGTTTGTAGATGATCTATGTTTTAAATAAACTATTTATAAAGAACCGTGTCAGTTTTTTTTACTTTTACATTTCCTTCGCTAGACTTATGTTAAAGGTTATAATTATAATATTAATAAGTTAAAGGCCACCAGGCTTTTTTAATACGAACAGATGTAAAGCTATTTGCACAGCTTTTTTTATTAACACGCAGATTTGTTATTGCTGTATGAGATTTTTAAACTTAATTTTAATATTCGGTATATAATAAATAAAAAAAAATTACATGAGGCCAATAAAAAAGCCATGCTTACAAGGAAGTTATGAAAAACTCTTAGTTCTAAGAAAACATAACAATTAAATTTACTTAATAAAGGTAATGAAAAATTTTATAAAAAAAATATTAAGTACTTACCTAAAGTAGGTAATTAAAAAGGGAATTTCAATTGTTTTTGAAAACCCATTAACTGTGAAATAAAATACATCAACTACCCCTACACTACCCGAATAGAGGACTAAAAGAGATTGGTGAAGACTGCTTAGCAACGCTACTTGATAAACCTGAACCTTTGGAATAGCAATTTCTTATAAGCGTAGCCAATCCTCTTTTGCAGTGGAGTCTAGCGTTGCGTTGGACTGACAGGTTCTTGACATAGCATGACCCAAACTCTTATGGAACTTGCAGAAAAGGTCAACATGTTTGCCTGCACGGTGGCGCAGTAATTGGTAGCATCGGATGAGAGATAGATTTGTATATTTAAAATGATATTTTTAGCCCGGAATCAGGAAGTTCAAACGATAGCTCCTGAATTTTCGAGACGTATATATATTGAAATTATTATATATTTATTTAGTGTTGTGTTTGGTATCATAGTAGATAATTGCGTCAATATTTTTTATGATAAAGAACGGCAAACGAGCAGAAGATTGATGTGATGATAAGGACCCTGCAACACCTAAGGATTTACAAGTGTGTTGCCTGCATTTTGGGGATTAGGGTTTCGGATATTGAGCAATAGGGAGGATTTAAGGGATTTTGCCTTTCAACAGGCAGTGATAATGTCACCTCATAACGCACAGCCAACGGTTTGGTCTTCTGACTATAAGGACAAATGTAAAGTATTAGTGTAGGCCTATATCTTGGGTTGGGTATTACATATACAATAGGTTAGTTCAAACGATCTCTCTCACATCTTACATTATGCCGTGATTGCGGGGTAAGCGCAAAGAGGCACCGCGACCTCGGCCCAGAGCAGGAGAAGGAACAGGGGGGTTTTTAGTCAGTAAGAGTCTGATACTCCCTCCCGCTCGGCCCTGGACGGGGGAAGTCATTTGATGATTTTCCCCTCACAAAAAACCCATAACGTAAAACCAAAACTTAACGTAACTTATCTAAATATATTGCTATTTTCAGAAGTCGTCACTCACAGCATGTTAGCGTCCGACAAACATTTGAGATCGTGACGATGTAAAGTGTCTTTTCTAGTCACACAGAGACTTCGAGTCTTTCGAGTTTTGAGTCACAAAGCTCTTTTAGAGTTTAAAGAGAGGGGTAGAAGCACATATAGACGAATTTAAACCCCTCTATTTACACTCTAAAAGCACTCAACGCAAAAAGGGCATATAATTTTAACCCTTCCGTCTGTAGCACCGAAAGTCGGAACTGAAAGAATATTTTTTTAATCTAAAGTCTTGTTCGTCGCCATAGTTTTTAGCTGTTTTATGAAATTCGGATGAGCAGTTTTTAGGGCCTTTTTTGCCTTGAGCCTTCTCTTGCTCCAGACCAAGTCAGCTGTACATTTCTGAGCTTGACCCGCAACCCCGGGTTTTTTTTATTTTTAGATGGATTTTTACTTTCAAACGAATGGGCTTAGGTGATAGGAGTTTTTTAATTAATAGACAATTTTCGTTTGTCTATATTCTGGTCCAGGGTTTTACAAACATAATAAACATAAACTTGAGTGTTTGAGAGCCAAGCTTCGGCACGAATCGGTCGTCTCGACCGGAGTGATAACACGGCCTCACAAAATACCGGCGTGAAACAACCACAGCGTTGTGTTTCGCCGTGTGAGTGAGGTTACCGGAGACCCAGTACCGCCCCTTACCCTATCCCTTCCCGATCCTTATATCTGCAACCCCTATCCCCAAAAGGCCGGCAACGCACTCGTAACTCCTTTAGTGTTACAGGTGTCCATGGGCGGCGCCGATTGCTTACCATCAGGTAATCCGTGAGCTCGTTTGCCGACTTATACCATAAAAAAAATTATACAACACACATATCTATAAATAATTAAAGTCACTTGTACACAAATTGTATTCAACTCATGTGCATCACTTAATTTATAATAGAAAAAGTTGTATATTTAATTGTAAAGGTCACTGCTATTGATGTCTGTATCATGGTGAGTCAGCAGATTTTTATCACTTCAATCCAGTTGTAATTAGTTTCTAAGTATCGTTATTTTTGCTTCCACTATTGGTTGATGAACTAGTTTTGCCCGCCGCAGCTTATGCTATATTTTTTTCATTTCTGCTATTTATATATTTTTATGTATTTTTTTTAATAATCAAAGCATGGACATATTTCCTCTTTTTGGGAATAAAAAATCCCAGACCGACAAAGAGCCAATTGTTATAGTTATAAATAAAACAAATGAATGTAAATGAATTAATTATAATATGAATAAAAGTAAATCTTATAATAGGTCCGCAATCCGTGTTTTGATTCTAACTCTCTAACACATAACATTATAAAATTAAACTTTATTGTATATAAACATAAGGGTGCAAATATTGTTGTTATGCGTCCACGTGTAGTAGTTGGGAGCAGCTCCTATTCGCTTCATTTCTCTTCTTTAAAACTCGAGGTCAAATCCGAGCTGTAAATAAGGTTTCGTATGAATCTTATGTAATAATGTTCTTAGTTTTCGATTGTAAATTATAAAAAGTTTTCGTCAAGTAATAAATAGGTATGTAAGGCCCAATCCCTCCCAAATCTCCAAATCCCTAATCCCCAAAAGGTCCTCAACACATTCGTAACTCCTCCGTTGTTGCGGATGTCCATGGGCGGCGCTGATTGCTTACCATCAGGTAATCTGTCTGCTCGTTTGCCGTCCTATCACAAGACACGCACATTCCAAGTTCAAATAAACCTTGTTCAAATACTTTTGAAACTTCAATTTAAAATAATAGCCCTTGAATCTGTACATCAGTTGAAGATAGGTGATTGTTATAAAGTCTAGATTCCGATGGTTCAAGAAACTCCATTATGGAGTCATGTACTTTTATAAACCTTAATAAGTAATTGGATTCGATAGGTATAGGCAAATTGTACTGAAATTAATATTAAGTTATCAATTTATCGTCATAGGAACCAATAACAGTAATAGGTACTCACTTGTTCATAATTTTGGATGAAGCAATTGTATGCCAATTTTGCTCTCTCGCAGCCCTTTTCTCCATCAGACACTTCTTCGTCGTTTACTAAAACCAAAAAAAAACGTTTTACTAACCAGCAGGAATTTTCAACTTAAGCCTAATACGATAAAGGATACGGGTTGTCATTCATAGATTGAGTGATCGAGAGATTACACCGCATGGGTCTTTAAATCAAAAAAATCACAAACAAATTGTCAAGTCAAAAATAATAGAAACTACTAAACCATTTCAATAAAAATTGTTTTCTTAAAGGTAATAATTAAAAGTTACAACCTGCACCAGTTTTTGTCGGCAGTCAAAGACTTAAAAGCAAACACATTTTCGAAATATTATTTGATCAAGAATGGAAATTTTAACTTTCTTGTCAATCTTAACTGTTTTTTGAAATGTTCTTAAATTTTTAGACTTTGGTATGTTCCGTACAAACTTGCATTAAAATGGGTTAAGCAGTTTCTGAGATTTTGAAGGTTAGTATGGAAATCCACGCCACGTATAAGCTCGTATAAACGTGTCGTCGGTGACAGATATACTGTCTTTCAGAACGTAATTGTTAAACAAAGCAAGTACTTCCATTGTTTCGAGAAGCACAACAAGAGTTTTTTTCTCTTGTGTCGTGGGTCCGTTTATATACAAACAATTTCAAATACACATGTTACTCAGACCCGGAACAACAATTTGCGCCACATTGTCTCTATGTTAATTTTTTTTCTGTTTGTATTTGGTATGCAGGCTCTTTGTGTTCTATAGTGTTACCTTTAGCACAAGTGGTTAGGAATTTTTCAATGTTTTCCAATTCTTCTTCATCTTCAAACACTTTCTTGGCATTTTCTAGGGCTGTTAGGTGGGATAGTGTACCCTTATCGTCAAACTGCAAAAAATTGTTTGGTTTATAATACAACCAATAAATAGGGCACTTCAGATTTAAAATGCACTCCTTAGTACTCCTTATTCTTGGCTAAGCTTAGCTCCTCGAAGCCATGTGTAAGTTCTCTTATAATATTTTTTTCGTTATTACTCGATTTGTACTTATCCATAACATTGAAAAAACCTTGATCATGATCTATATAAAAAGGTATGCAACCAATATTTACCAATCCAAGTTTGTTGAAAATACAAGCTGAGAAGCATCCAGCATTTTCACCATCGGGGAATACTCTGCTCTTAAAAGCAGATAGATCCTCGATCGTTAGAGGGTGTTCTTTAATACATTCTGCGCCTACTGTCAAGAACTTTGCTTCTATATGGGCTTTTAGCTCATCAGTTATTGCCTGGAAATAAAAAAGATAATGTAATATGTTGCAACGTTGATTGTTCCATTGTATGGTTCGATTCCAACACGGAACAACACTTTGTGTGATGCACAAATTGTTGTTTCGGGTCTGGGTGTGTTGTGTATGTGAATTTGTATGTTTGTAAACGCACCCACGACACAAGAGAATTTCGTAGTTTGGGGTTGAAACGTTTTTTTGAAAAAAAAATGTTAGATTGTTCTTCTATATGCTAAAGAAGTTCAGTTAAACACGGCCATATCTTCTCTTTAGTAAGCTATGCAATTGCGAGGGTTGAGAGCATAGATAGAAGTATGTTGTCATTTTACACGAGTACATAGAAATCTATTGTTGATTTGGTTTTGTACCAACAACAACAGTGAAGACTGACCACATTGATAATTTATCTAATATGTATGTATGTAAAGTGTGTATGTAAATAAGAAAAAAAAGTTAAAACTGACAATTTGAGGTGTTTTTGCTATACTTATTTGACCTCTACCGACGTCGTCACCGCTGACTGTCGGTAGTGCACTAAGCCAATCTAGCCAAAAATTTCTACACTAATAATATTTAGAATAAAGTTTACAAAGAAGATCAATACAATTTCAACAAGTGAAAGCTATCGCAACACTTACCGAAGCATTCTTTAAGAACACTGCAAGGAAAAGACAATACACAACACCGGAGTTGAACATTGTTAAATATTATTAAGTTGGTAGTAGGTAAGACACAATGAAATTCGATAAACAACTGATACGACATTGTTGTAATTCGTGGGTTTTATACTAAAACAAAAGGAACTTAAAGAAAACCAATATCCTGTGTAGACAAGCCTTCGATACGGAGACAAATCGATTATGTCTTGTTTAGGAGATAACAATAGAAATATAAACAATGCTGTTGTTTCCTTTACAAGGTGATGAGCGGGCACGCTACCATAGCAGCGGTAAGACCCCTCTTTGAGGAGTGGCTTGAGAGACGCCACGGCGTCCTCACCTTCCGTCTGACGCAGGTGCTTACCGGGCACGGCAGCTTCGGTAGGTTCCTGTTTCGGATTCAGCGGGAGGAAACGCCCGAGTGTCGTCATTGTGAGGACCACCTAGAGGATACGGTGGAGCATACGGTAGCGGTATGCCCTGCCTGGGCTGAGCACCGCCGTATCCTCAGGGAAGTGATCGGCGGCGGCGACCTCTCGCGCCCGGCCTTAGTCGAGGCCATGGTGCGGAGTGAGAGGAACTGGGACGCCGTCTCCTCCTTTTGTGAAGCAGTCATGCTCGCAAAGAGAGAGGCGGCCCGCGTGAGGGAGCAATCCTCCTCCTCACGCCCCAGCAGCCGCAACTGGCGACACTACGGGCGTCGGGGATCGAGGGACGATCTCCGGCCACCGTAAGTACGGGCCTGCGGTCGGCGAGTAAGGGCAGCTCGCCGCCCGACCAGAACCAGGCCCGAGCGTACGGCGCGTAGCGTTCCGCGCGCGCCTCAAAGAGCCAATAGACCACCACAGACGGGGCCCTAAAGGGCTGATGTTCAGCCGGGGTTGCGGGGTAAGCGCAATGAGGTACCGCGACCTCGGCACAGAGCAGGAGAAGGAACAGGGGGGTTTTTAGTCAGTAAGAGTCTGACACTCCCTCCTGCCCGGCCCTGGGCGGGAGAAGTCATTTGATGATTTTCCCCTCACAAAAAAAAAAAAAAAAAAAAGGTGATGAGATTTGTTGTAAGTAGGTTCAATACGACTTTATTTTTGACTCATTAGGATGTACGGGATTCTAAAATGGACAAAGCACCCTGAATAGACCAAGTCAGAAGTTTTAACAGTGCAGCACCTAACATCGTCCTTGGGTCTATTTTGGTTACTCATGGTCATTGATTATGTGGGGTTTTTTTAAGTGTAAAGATCATTCTGTTACTTTGCGATGCGAAGCATCTAGCATTTTTTTAAGAAATATTATCTAGATTCTAGCTAATCGGCCAAAATTTCTCGCTTTCTCTCGCCCACCCTAACTGGCAAACTAAACATCACCCCCTTCTCCTTATCCAAGCCCGGCCGCAGTAAATTACTGCTCTTGCACCTACAACCCCAGCCTGGTGAAAATCAGCTTATTTTAGTTATTATACCAACCTGACTAAAGTTCAGAATACATTACGATAATACCTTCCAATTACTAAAACAATTTTTTTTTTTTTTTTATGTAATAGCTCGGCAAACGAGCAGGCGGATTCCCTGATGGTAAGCAATCAGCGCCCCCCATGGACACTCGCAACGGAGGAGTTACGAGTGCGTTGCCGACCTTTTAGGGTTTAGGGATTTGGAGATTTAGGGATTGAGGAGGGATTGGGGAAGGAGAAGGATTGGGCCTCCGGTAACCTCACTCACACGGCGAAACACAACGCAGTGGTTATTTCACGCCGGTTTTCTGTGAGGCCGTGGTATCACTACGGTCGAGCCGACCCATTCGTGCCGAAGCATGGCTCTCCCACACTTATCATCGTAAAATCATCGTTATTTAACAAAAAGACAAGTTTAATTCGAAAACATTACCTATAATGACATAAGGTATTGTGCGTATGTATGTAATGATAATAATGATTATTTGATCTGTTATGAAAACGTCATTGATAAACAAAAGGGATATTTTGATACATTTCCTGTCGTTACTGATATTATGACGGTGTCGTTATACAAATTGGTTTATAATATTTATAGAATAACATATATAAATTGCCTCGGAGTATTGGTACTAGAGCATATCCAGCTAAATTTTCGAAGGGTCAGGATCGTAGAACCAATTAAAATAATGTATAAAATAATCTGTTTGATTTTCTGCGTAGTCGTGAGTTTGAACAGCGTTCATGTAAGTAGTTTTTCGAAGAGATCATTGTGATAGGATTTTTTTCAATTTTCAAATCTATTAATAACAATTTCTTTGTGTATTTTTAGGGAAATGTAGAAGATAAAATAGCTATCATGAGTGCCATGAAGCCAATAGTGGATGAGTGCGCTAAGAAACATGGCGTCACACTTGAAGCCCTCTTGGCTGCTAAAGCATCAGGGAAAATAGACGGCATTGAACCTTGTTTCTATAGTTGTGTTTATAAGAAAACAGAATTTGTAAGTAAAGAACAATTTTTTCGGCTCGACCACAGTCTCACAATAACAGTTTCGTCGTGTAAATAAGGTTACCGGAAGCCCAATACTCTTCCTCTCCCAATCCTGTATATCCGAAACCCAAATCCCCAGAAGGCCGGCTATACACGCGTAACTCCCCTGGTGTTGCGGGTGTCCATAGACGGTGGTGCCCGATTGTTTACCAAGACTCCTCTCACAAAGTGTAGTAGTCTTTAACATAATCGGGTTTATAGGAGACCGCTGCTACTAGCCGGATAAAATCCATGAAACAAACTGTCATCATAAAAACAGGAGAGGTTGTTTTTAATTTTATGCATCCAATGTTTTAATTACAGTTGAACAGTAAGGGCGAATACGATGTGGATAATTCCTTAGTCAAGCTTAAGAAGTACATTAGCAGCGATGATGATTACGCCAAATTCTCACAAATTGGAAAAGATTGTGCATCAGGTATGACATTCAAAATAACTTCATATTATATTCAAGTTTCAGCCAGGGTGGCAGGGCAAGCAGTCAGTAATAGTCCGACACTTCCTCTCGCCTCACCCAGTGCGGTAGGAGAAATGATAATGATTGATGATTTTTCATAAAAAAGGGTCTATTTACTATTGATGGTCCTTTACTTTTCAAAGGGATTATTGAGTTTCCAGATTTCATTAATAAAATGTGCCAAAAAGTGCCAATCAAACTGAATGTCCTTCTGACGAAGCTTATTATTATGGAAGCACATGGACATCACGCAAGCTTACCCTTCTCCGCTAACAAATCTTTCATAAAAGAAAACAATAATATGTACACAAAGAGTCTGTATCCCGGTGGGGATCCTGGGGGGCTTCAAGGCCCAAGTGAATAGACCACTTATGGGTAGGCGTGCTACATCGTAGGTCCCATTAACGATTACCACCAGGCGAAATACTGGCGAAAGGCTAGCCCTTTGCAAAATATAAATGAAATAAACTTATGGTTAAAAAAATAGGAAATATGAGTCGTATATACCTTTTTTCAGTTAACTCAATGCCTGTCGGGGATGGAGAAGCTGGATGCGAGAGAGCTGTGCTACTAACCCAATGTTTTTTGGAACACAAGGGCGCGGTAAATATTTAATTGAATCTTTATATATTATAACTAGCGGTTGCCTTCAGGTCCACACGGTGTGGTGTGGATGTCGATTTTACACGTTTTCAATTTTTTTTTTCTCTACGTATTTTTAAGTAAAACACCACACTCTCAAATATTTAAGTTTAATTACGAACTAATTCTTATAAGAAACTTATTTCTATCCTCATCAAATTTCCCACCATAATATCCCGTTGTTCTCTTTGCGCGGGAAAACTTTATTCATCTGTCTCAGTTGACAGACGACAGCGTCACCTCGGCAGCCAGTGTTACCGAGACCACAGATTATATTAGTAACGTTCATTTAGTTGATTTTGTCGTCTAACAGTATGTACAAGAGAAGATTTTCTCTTGACTTCCACAAATAATTCAAGACCATAATTAATTAGCCAAATTGGTAAAGGCATTGTTGAGTAGTAGAGTATAACATTACAACGAAAACTGGCATTGATTTTTAAATAATATAAGTATATTATGTAGATATCACCTTCTTATCGCTCAAATTTAGTTCTCAAGTTTTGATATTTTGCTAGTCATTTTGGTTTATGTTCTTAAAAGAGTTTTCTTCTTCCAGGTTCCCATGTAAACTCTTGAAGACGGATAAAATGCTAAACTAAGTACATTAACCTATAAGTTTACCAACTTATTACATTTCTTTGTTGTACCTTACCTACCAATAGTACTTATTAAAGAATAAATGTCTGTACTAATTTAAAAATCTCCCAATTGAATATGTATCTACATTTCTAAGAAATTATATTTGTGTGAAGAAATAAATGTTTTAAAATTCATTTATTGTATTTAATAAAATAATAATAATAATAATGTAGTTTTAAAAAAAGGTACTTTTACTACTACTATCTATCATTTAGTATAAAACTCGCTTCCCGTTGTCTGTCCCTTTGTATGCTAAGATCTGTAAAACTACGTTACAGATTTTGATGCGATGTAGATTTGAATAATTATATAATAATTCACACAAAGAAGGAATAATCAAGATCAATTGGACCAACATATAAACTTATAGGCTGCTGACTTACGGAGGGAGGGCAGTTTAAAATATACTCGCCTTAAGAGAAATAGTAAATAGATCTTGAGCTACGATTCGCAGAAAAATTATGAGAGTAGCATCATTGGGTGTACAACATGGTTAAAGACAATTTAACCAGGGAAATTAACCGGACAAAATATTAGATTATTGTTTAGAAAAACAGATTGCGAAGTTTCAGGATTCTAAAAAAAAATTCAATAGGAAATTTTTAGGTGTATCATTTATAAAGGTTTACGGCCAAGAAGCTAGTACCTACAAATATAAATCTTAAGACAAAATTGTTAGGTGGTGACATAATATGCTTATTACCGTTTAGAAAAGAATAAGTTATCAGCACTAACCAAAAAAAAATTCAAGGTGAAAATTATGTATGTGTAAATCACATATTGATGGCTCCATAATAGAGAGATATAATATGTACTCTAAATGGCTAAGCACGAGTTAGAGAATAACATAGACAAGATTCGAAAAACAGTATAAGACAAAAAGGTGCATATCATATTTAAATACAAACTTAAAATCACGTGCTGCTAAGTTAGTTTTAAGGTTTAAGTTTCATTAAAATCAATTCTGAATTTTAACTTGAAAATTTGTATGCAAATCCACACTACGTAAACGTTTTATATAAGTATAAGTAGGTTCTACTAAAAATGGTCCATTTAAAACACCTTCGGTTGGGCACTTTATACCGTAATACTAAGTCATGAACAAAATCATAAGCGCAATCTATTTTAATATTAACGCTATTCAGGCTTTGAAAAAATATGCCATATGATATATTTAAGTCTGCAATTACATTGTTGTTTAATTAGAGTGTTGTTAAAAATAATTATATAATTTATGTGTTTTATTTAGTATTGTAATATAAATGAAAAGTAAACTTCCTGATTATCCAATAAAATTTAAATATCTAAACATATGCAGTTGGGATTAGCTTGGCACTTTTTTAGTTTTATTTAGGGTTTTTTTGTGAAGGGAAAATCATCAAATGACTTCTCCCGCCCAGGGCCGGGCGGGAGGCCCCCTTTGTTCCTTATACCAATTAACATATAATACTTATTCGAGCATATTTATAAACTTGGAACTTTATGCAATATGAAAAAGCAAAAAATATGTTAAAGTGGTAGTTTCGGATGCGTAACTAGCTGGTAGATAAGTGCGAGGACAGGTTCAAAAACGGTAAAACATGCAGAAAATTATAAGAAGAGTGAAATTTACTAGAAAGACTCTTCCCCAGGAGGTTTTCTTGATCATATCCTAATAAAAAAAATCCTAAAAATACTCTGACCCTTAGTTTTCCAGACCTCAGATCACCCGTAATTTATCTTTCCATAACGCATTCTCTTCCTTTACCTAAAAGATAAATTTTATTATTATTCCGAGTCACACTTGGGTGGTTTGTAAACTCACATCTCTAGATTGACCGTCTACCAGCAGCAGCTGGTCGGCTAGCCGCTTACTTCGCACTAATTACGTTTAATAGAATTCTGAATTAATGCAAAACAAAAATTGAAAAAACCCCAATGAGACTTTGACCCACTGCCTACTATTATTGTTACAAAGTCCACTCCACGTTATTGAAAAACGACGTATGTAATTATAGAATGTTCTTTTTTCGTTACTTTACTAAACAAGGACAATGTTGAATAAAATTATTTATAGTCTAAGAACTTTAGCAACGGACTTTGCATTTTGTACTTCGTACCACAGTTATAGAAGATACCAATTTAAAAATTTCCTACTTTTTTCTATTATGATATGACGTGGGTTTTTACGGCAGATCCCGCATTCGTATAGCTCATTGTTAATATTCCAAGGTAGCTTATAAATTCAGGAATAGGTAATAATATGTTATTAATAAATGCAAACAAAGCATTGATATGAGTGAATGACATACTTATGATTTGGAAAAACCCTTAGGCTAAGAACTCATGAAGCGATTTTAAACCCTGCCCGCCGCGGTAGCGGAACTGCGGTTTTATTTCCAAACTCACGAGACCGGTTATTTGCGCGGTTAAACAGCCGCCGCGGTTGCGATCATCGCCCGCAAACGTGGCGGGCGATGATCGCAAGACTGCAAGACGGGCGGTTAACGATCAGTTGAGGTCCAGACCGCCATGGACACACACCAGAAACGAGCCGTTGCGTTATATTTACTTCACAGAAGACCCGCCGGCCCCCGCGGTCGCTCGCCAACCAATCTCAAAGCGCGCGGGTGCCACCCGCCGAGGCTGCGGGTAACCGCGGTCCGCGCGATTCTACTAGTTGCCCGCCGGTACAGCGGGAGCCGCATACAACCGCGTACACCGCGGGCGTAAAACGCGTCGTGAAATATGCTTTAATTTTTTATATGAATATTTGAATTCTACAGAAGCTGCGGGCCCGCAACCGCAGCGGACGCGGGCGAAAATCGCTCCGTGAGTTCTTAGCCTTATTCTTTCACTCGTCCTGGCTGGAATGAAGGGGACTGTCAAACTCTTAATGACTAAAAACCACCCCGTTCTTTCTTCTACTCCGTATATTAATTTATTATATACCCCGGTATACTATAGCTCTCGCATCCGAAGCTAGATTTGAGAACCTAAGGAAGGATTAAGAACAGACTTGAGAGGATAAGTGCTAAAATATATCGTTTAATTCTTTAAGTAAAAATAAAAGAAACAATGTAATGATCTATTTATAAACTCAAACTTTGAAAGTTCCTTTTTTTTTACTTGCAAATAACTAGTGCTTGACTGCGATCCCACCTGATGGTAAGCAGTGATGCAATCGTTGATGGTAAGGCGCACTAGTTTATTAAGAGCCTATTCACTCTAGCCTTGAAGACACCTAAATTGTATTCGGACGGAAAGACTGTTCCAATCCCTCGATGTACGCGGTATAAATCACGAGGCAAAACGCTTAGTCCGGGCCGCAGGTGTCTCAACAACGTAAGGGTGGATATTCGCCGTACGCCGGGATGTCCGAAGGTGAAATTAGGATGGCGGAATCAAATCGTGCAATTCCTGAGCACACTCTCCAAAATGCATCCTGTAGAAAACTGCAAGGCTGGCTACTCTGCCTCTCTGCCGCCTGTGCACGAGACTTTGAAGATTGGACCCAAACAAATCTGGATCACCAATCAGCCTCTGTGCATGCCTTTCCACTGAATCCAAAGCCGCTAGGTGGCATTTTGCAGCACCAGCCCATATGTGGCTGCAGTACTCCACACACGATCGGACCTGAGCTTTATACAATATTAGAAGCTGACTCGGTGTGAAGTACCTTCGGTCTTTTGCAAGAACGCCGAGTTTTCTAGCAGCTACCTTGGCTCTGGACTCAATGAACCGCCCAAAGTTGAGGTCTGAAGCAATGTCCATTCCCAAGAGCTAAAGGCGGTCGGTGTACTCCAGGGATACATCCCGAAAAGCAGGAGCCAAGGTGAACGGGCTCCTTTTGGCGGTGAATAGACACGCCTGTGTTTTGGTGGCGTTGAATGTTACCAGATTAGTTTTGCCACACTTGGAAACTACCTGAAGTGAGACATTCGTACGCTCTACCATAGCCTCCCTTTCAGACTGGATTAGCTCCTTACTAGCCCGAGCACTGGGCAGGTATCTCTCTACAACTGTGCTATCATCTGCATACCCAAGGATACCAGGCACTAGCAGATCATTAATGTGGAGCAGGAATAGAGTTGCAGAGAGAACAGACCCCTGAGGAACACCGGCATTAGTCGACATAGGCTCTGATGAGCATCCATCGACAACAACTCGGAGTATCCGTTCTCTCAGGAAGTCTTTTACCCAGTTTATCAGTCCAGGAGAAATGCCGTACGCTGGACAGACTAGACAAAAGGCCATCGTGCCATACCCTATCGAAGGCCTTCGACACGTCTAAGGAAACGGCAATAGCTTCCCCATTCCTCTTGAGGGCCTCGCCCCACAAGTGAGTGGCATAAACTGTTAGGTCCCCAGTAGACCGATTGCGGCGAAATCCATAATGTCGGTCGCTGAGGAGATCGTTACCTTCTAGATAAAAACTGCTGGTGTACTTGGAGACTAAATCTACAGGAATCGCTTACCATCAGACAGTTTTTCTATCCCAGTATTATGTAGGGAGAAGATCTCATGGAAGAAATACATAAAATGTATCTAGGTGATATCCTCAATCGGAAACTTACTTACCAGGATACATTAGGAGTACACACTAAGAATGAGAGAGTTCACGTCATCTTAAAAATTTGCAAACTGAAACAATTACTATGTAAATGTTACCTGCTGAAAAGATCCAAAAGCCCTCAACGTATCTTCCATCCGAGACCTTGAAATTGATGATGTGTGGGAGAGCCAAGCTTCGGCACGAATGAGTCGGCTCAACCTGAGTGATACCACTGGCTCACAGAAAACCGGCGTGAAACAACCACAAAGTTGTGTAATCCCAATCCCCAATCTTTCCCTATCCTTTCCCAATCCTTAAATATCCGCAACCCCAAAATCAAGCAACGCACTCGTAACTCTTTTGATATTCCAAAGGAGTTGGCACAACGCCGGGCGGCGCCGATTGCTTGCCATCAGATAATCCGCCTGGTCGTTTACCGACTTATGCCATAAAAAATAAATATGAACGGGTGTTTTTTGTCAGGGCAAAATCATCAAGTGGCTTCTCCCGCCCAGGGCCGGATGGGAGGGAGTGTCATACTCTTACTGACTAAAAACCCTCCGTTCCTTCTCCTACTCTGGGCCGAGGTCGCAGTGCCTCATTGCGCTTACTCCGCAATCCCGGCATAATGTAAGAGGTGAGAGAGATTGTTTGAACTAACCTATTGGGATACCCAACCCAAGATATAGGCTTACACTAATACTTTACATTTGTCATACAGTCAAAAGACAAAATAGTAAATGTTACAAAAGAAGGTCAACCCTAATAGCTTCTTAAGGACAACAATACTCAAAACAATGCACATGCTATGAAAAACTCACCGATGAAGTAAACGAACAAAGATATATTTTTTGCTGCGTTTCCTATTAACATTGATCTGAGCCGCTGTGAGATAATATAATGATAATTACTTCGCGTAAAATTACCCAACAACAGGAGTTTTATATAAAAGCCGTCTGTTTACGATCCATGGCACACACAGTTGAAGCTTCGGAGAATCAGGAGTCCAAAGTTGATTAGTCCATTATGTCCAAGTTCACATGTTTGGTTTTGTGCGTTGTGGCTGCTAGCCTGAGTGGGGTTCATGTAAGTATTATTTATGATATTAAACCTTTTATTTTTTCTTTATTAAATAGGCCATGTACCTATTTTTCATATTTGAAGTCAGTAAGGCTTGGTTGCCCTGGCTAAGTTCAGTTGAAAAATATTGTAATCGAAAATTTTTGAAATAACTATCACCCCAATTATGGACAGTAGAGAGTAAGAGAAAAAAATGGTATTTGTGAAATTGTACCAATATTATGAAACTTTACTGAACATGCCTAAAATTAAAAATCCTTTTTTTATTTCGGCTTGGAAAATAAACTCGGAAAAAGTGGTATTGGTACTTGCCAGGCTCCGAATCCGCATCCTCTTGCAAAAGAACATCATAACATCAAAAACTGCACTTCGTTACTACACTCGAAATTTCTTAATTTTCAGGCAACTGCAGAAGAAAAAGCAGCTTTCATAGAAGCTGTGAAGCCATATATACAGGAGTGCTCAAAGGAGCATGGAGTTACTCCTGAAGATATAAAGTCTGCCAAAGAGGCAGGCAATGCTGATGGCATCAACGCTTGCTTCCTACGCTGCGTTTATAACAAAGCTGGAGTTGTGAGTATCAAATGTCAAATATTTACTCAATACTCAATGTATTTTTGCATTCCACAATGTGAACTTAGGTGGGAGTATTGTGGGCTCTTAAGGCATAATAAAAATAAAAATTAGGAGGCGGGCTATTATAAATATTTGTATACTTATAAACATTATGTACTTCCGTCACCACCTTCATTCGTCAACAGAAGAGTTGGCTTTGACTTGTTGGTCTAGCAGTGCAATAGACTGTAATAGTCTTGTCCCCTAATCATGCTCCGCGCTTGGTCTTTCTCCAGTATCTCTAGGAGATGAGCTATTATTTTCCTGGTTTAAACGAATCCTATTGGCGTCACCCTTCATGTTACAAAAAAACAATGTTGTCCCACACTAGGGTTTTCTCCTGTGTCGTAAGTGCGTTTAAAAACATACAATTTCACATAATACCACACCGAGACACGGAACAACAATTTGTCGATCACACAAAGACTTGTTCCGTGTGGTTGCCCAGCCACCGCGCCAACCGCGCAGTCATCTTCTTTATATGAGTTATATTCGAAAATTGTTTCTGCATTTTGTTTAATAATGTAAACAAATGTACCGTCAAGTTGAGGTTAATCAGAATTATAGATTCAAGCAGTAGTTTTTATTAAGTAATTACTATTTATCTACAGATCAACGACAAAGGAGAATACGATGCCGATAAAGCCTTGGAGAAACTCAAGAAGTTCGTGAGCAATGAAGATGATTATGCTAAATTCGCAGAAATCGGAAAGAAATGCGCGTCGGGTAAATATTTTAAGCACCTCAACAATTATAACAAATACATTATGATTAATGGTTTAGTGCAGCCAAACTGCAAACAATTTACTAAAAAAATATTCCTTTATTTCCTGTCAATTAAAAAATAAGTAAGAAGTTATAATTTTATAGTTATATGCATAAATAAGAAACTACTGGAAAGGAAATAGGAGACCGAATAAAAAGTAAATGAATTATTTGATAAATGATCCATAAATTATCAAATACCATAAATTATCAAACTAAAAGATATTATAAAATCGAAAGTAACTCTGTCTGTCTGTCTTTTCTTCACGCCTAAACTACTGAACCTATTTGTGTTAAATTTGGTACAGACATAGTTTAGAACCTAAGAAAGGAATCTGCAGGAAGTCAATATTGTCACTATTCCACGCGCTAGTATGAAATAAAATAGATAATATTGTGTGATGATGTTAGATGTAGCTAAGTTAAAGAACAACACCGAAAATGATAAAGAAAATTTTGGCTAGAGCAGACTAAGGTATAGAGACTTTCACTTAATTTTTTTTTTCAATAATTTCAGTTACCGAAACGTCCGTAAGCGATGGAGAAGCTGGTTGTGAGAGAGCCGCGCTGTTGACTTCATGTTTCTTGGAACACAAGAGCGAGGTAACTTTTTTACTGGCTAGAAGTATTGTAATCTAGCTGACACTCCCGCATCTAACCGAATGCGTTCTCATTGTTTACTATGTTATGCTTTTGATAAACTTGTAATGAAAACAAAACACAAAAGTGGTCAAAGGAAACAATAAGATTGAATTAATTTGTCTAGTAACGAACCCTAATTGTCCGGTATTCCATCTTCTAGAGCCGTAGAGTTGAAAAAGATTTAATACATCGAATTTGCAATCCTGGTAAAGTATGGTTGAACACTGCTAGATAAATTGTTAGTTGGCGGCAAGAATTGTAAAAAGATCTCTCTGTAAATTGATAGTATTATACTTAATAAGGGAATATACTTTGTAAAGCAATCAGAGCAGCCACCCAAGAATGTAGTGGAGCATCAGAGATCGGGTCCTCGAGCATTAGCGCGACTTCTAGAAGCCGCACATGGTCTCAAGCAAGCCCGAGCTTCTGTGCAAAGACTCTCGTTGCTAGGAGATCTTTCACCTTTTTCTAAACTTGACCGGCCTTAGAACAATGCAACCATTATTTCTGCTGTACAGTACCAGGTTTGCACGAGACCTTTAAGTATACCTAGCATGAAAGCAGTCCAAGGCGCCTTGATTATCCAGTTTATTAAAAAGTGTTTTCTTTTCCAGGTCCACGCTTAAATTTCTGAAGTGGCGATGCTGTTCAGCAAGATAATAAATACCTTGTTGATTTCCTTTAATACTTATAAATAAAGCAGTTTTATTTTATTACAAATATGTTTGTTTTATTTACATTTAAATAGGTATACGTGTTTAATGAAGTAGGTGCCTAATTAACATAAGAAGCTCATGCTAATATTTAAGCTCCGAAGTTACATTTAAAAAATTAAATAAAAGTTATTAGTAAGTAATTCAAGTTTCAGATTTTAACAAAACCAAAATCAAGTCAATATCAATTAGGTACGCCACTAATGAACAAAGATTTATAAATAAAAAAATTGTCAGTCTGTCATTCAGTCGTAAAAGCTATTTGCTCGTCCAAAGTGTAGATGCCTATGAAAATGAGTGAGAAAGAAGCTTCATGTTTACGTCACAATTTATTAAATTACCTTGGTACCACGGAGTAAGTACAATTGCACCAACTGCTTGAATATTCTGCACCTTGGCATATGGTTACGTAAGGCTCACTCGCCATTCATCGTGACTATTGTGTATAAGTCACTAAAATTAAAAAAGGCCTCGTTAAAAACAATTTAAGGCGAACCTTAGAAATCTTAATGTTATACTCCTTAACTTATACTCTTTGCTGATGACGATAACCTTTGTTTTTTCCTAATGCACGCAGATAAGTTCTCGGATAGTAGCAATTCCCAAACTCTTTTGTCACAGTTTTGTTTCATAGACCGCTTTACAATTTTGGCTGGATCAGGTGGACCGTTTGCAAAAGCTACACGATCACCAATATCCGAACCTCGAAAGAAAGGGTTTGTAAGGTCTGTCTTTCGAAATTTAACCCTTAAACCCGACCCCGTCCCGGGCACCAGGAATTTCCAAAAAAATATATATATTTTATAGTCTGTGTGCATAGTGCGAAATGTCAAGTTTCTAGACTTAGTAATTAAGGCTGTGCGTTGATATGTAAATCAAGACCCAAAAGAGAAAAAGAATATTGAGCCCTATGGTACTTACGCCCATTCATACAACACAACGTGCACCTATTTTTGAGGTATGATTTTAATGAATTTAGAATGCCTGATGGGTGGTTAGGTTCTAGCATAGCCTAGTTCTATACTGAATATTACTTAATATCGCGTGCTACTTTCGACTATCATTTCAGGATCGGCGAAGGAATACGGAACTTGAATTAAATATAGTGTGCACTTCAAAAGGGACCCTCCTTATTTCTGTGTTTCTTCTCAGAGGAGAAAATGTAACTTAATTAAAATTTTGACGAGTAAAAATCAAAATCATTTTTTCCAACTAAACCATAAATAGGTACTTTTGAAAGGTCAAAATAGAAAAGTAGTCTGTCAGTCTGTTCGTCAGTTAAGCTAGGTGTAGATTCGAATAGAGAAGAACGAACAAGAAACACCATCGTTACCCTTTTTTTTAAGTTTTACAATCTCATTAATATAACATTTATACATTATACATTATTGTACCGTTATGTCAGAACAATGCAGAGACAGGTTGTAAAAAAAGAACAAATGATGGGATTTTAATCCTTAGTCGTCTCGAACATGGCGCTCACATATGCGTACTCACAATCTTTAAGAGTGCTTCTATATAAACTCTTTGGATATATTTCATTATTTTTGAGAATTTCAGTAACTACTGACTATATTTGAGTACTGTCCAGTGGAGCTGAATCAACACGCTGCCAGGCATTCTTATCCTCAAAATAATCTGCTTTGACTGCACGGTTGGTGTGGTGGCTGGGCAACTGGCTGCCGTGCAACGTGTCGCGGGTTCGATTCCCGCATGGAACAACTCTTTGTGTGATCCACAAATTGTTGTTCCGGGTCTGGGTGTCTTGTGTATGTGAAATTGTATGTTTGTAACAGTACCCACGACACAGGAGAAAATCCTAATGTGGGGCAACGTTTTTAAACAAAAAAAAACTGAAAGTGGTATGCCTGTCTACACAATTCGCGTTTAATATAAGTTTTAAATTTTCGTTCGTTAAGATTCATTACACTACTTGGAATTTTATTGTAACAATTAAACAATGAACACAAAAACGAAAAAAATATTAAGTATTTTAATTCTTCTTTCACCACTCTCCGGCACAATAGTTGTATATCTCTGACATCAAATATTTAGTTTCTTAGAACTCTTAGGGAATACATTTACAAATTCATGCATATAGTGTTTAAATAAATATGGACGATTAATGAGTAAGTTTTTTGCATTGAACTGAGCTTTGCAATATTGATAAAAACTTGACATTTGATTAAACCAAGGCAATATGGTTAATATAAATAGCTGTAAGTTTTGCTGTAAGACATAAACAGTCAGAGCTTCTAAGTATTAGGAGTAGTAACTGAACAATATGGCCAAATTTTCGTGTCTTGTGCTGTGTGTTGTGGCTGCGAGCCTGGGGAGTATTCATGTAAGTATTCAAAATTAACGATCACTATCTTCCGTATTAAATTGTATATCAGCACTATTATTTTCTAGTTTATTATTTGTTACCGATCATCTAGACCTGTTTTATATTCTTTCGAAGGTCGCAAAAGGCGAATCTTTACGGGAGTCTCTGAGACCCGTTATAGCGGCATGCTCCAAAGAGCACGAAGTCACAGACGCTCAGATCCAGGCTGCCAATGACGCTGGTAGCCCTGCTAGCATCAAGCCCTGTTTCATCGCCTGTGTATTGAAGAAAGCTGGATTCGTAAGTTACTATTTTCATTTCATGGATATCATCTACTTAGTAGGTATAGTCGATATTGTCACTCCACATAGTGGTTTTGTGTTAATATATGAGCTAATATTAGCTTCCTCTCGCGGCTTCGTCCGCGTGGTATGTTGATAAAAAGTAGCCTATGTCCTATTCCGGAGGGTACCCTATGCCAGTGCCAAATTTCATTTAGATCCGTCCAGCCGTTTTGGCGTAATTGAGTATCAAACCATCGTAACTTTCGCATTTACTCTGTCAAGAAAGTACCGGGAAAAAGTCAATAATACACAAAATGTTTGTTATTTATCTAAATTTATTTTATCACCTTCAAAGTATGCTCCTTCAGAAACGATACACTTACGCCAACGAATAATCCAATCATCGAAACTTTTTTTAAACGCTGTTTCCGGAATTGAGTTCAGTGCTCGCCGCGAATTCTCCTTTATGTCTTCTAACGATTAAAAACGGGTGCCACGAAGGGGTAATTTGAGTGTGGGAAAAAGAAAGAAGTCGGCTGGAGCCATATCTGGTGAATATGGTGGCTGCTCGATGGTGTTTGTTGAGTGTTTGGACAAAAAATCGTTTACAATGATGGCCTTGTGCGAAGGCGCATTATCGTGATGCAAAATCCAAGAATTTTCTTTCCACATTTCTGGCCTTTTTCGTCGAATTTGTTCTCTTAAACGCCGCATAACGCTCAAATAATATTCTTTATTTACCGTTTGACCTTCGGGCAAGAATTCTGAGTGCACAACACCGCGATAGTCAAAGAAAACAGTCAACATGACTTTGACTTTTGATCGACTTTGACGTGGTTTTTTCGGTTTTGGTTCAGTTGGAAGGCGCCATTCCGAAGCTTGTTGACTAGTTTGCATGTCAAACTCGTAAACCCACGTCTCGTCACCAGTAACAATGCGTTTCATGAATGTTGGGTCGGTATTGACTCGTTCTAGCATGTCCTCACCGACTTTCATGCGATTTAGTTTTTGAAGAAAATTCAGGTCTTTTGGGACTAGCCGAGCGGCAACACGTTTCATACCCAAATAATTTGTTAAAATGGTGCGGATCGACTCGTGAGATACAGAAAGTTCGGCGGCCATCTCTCTCAAACTTGAATGAGGATTTTCAGTCACTATTTCCTTCACTTTTGCGATGTTAACTTCAGTTGCAGACGTTGATGGCCTACCAGAACGAGGCAAATCTTCCATCACATCTCGACCGCTTTTGAACGCTTTGTACCACTCATAAGCACGTGTTTTTGATAAAATCGATTCACCGTAAGCCTTCTGTAACATTTTGAGTGCCTCCGAACACGAAATTTCATTGGCGATGCAAAATTTAAGACAAACTCTTTGTTCGATGTTTTTGTCCATTATGAAATTCGCAATACACACTAGATATTATAAAACTAAAAACAGCACTGTTTTAATATAAATAACAGATGCAACTCAAATTCCGCGCCAAAATGGAAAACAGTTATGCCAATCTAACAACAACAACAAAAAATAAAATTCGAATTTGGAACCATAAAAAAAAACATTCATTCCCGATACTTTGTTGACTGAATTTAATATAATTAAGATAGAGATGTTTGAGTACAGGGCTACTGTTCTCACATCAGAACATGATTTGCTGCAACGATCATTAGTTTGTAACGGACGGACTTGAATCTGCTGCTCTGCGCTATGTCAGTACGTGGTTCGTTGTCGACTGTCAAATTCGTTAGTGCTAGTATTTGTAACTTCATAGCACTTACACAAAGCATAAACTGGTGATTATCTATGTAGTTATGGCACATACATAAGTTGAACATTGATGTTTTATACTTTTCAGTAATTAATTGAGTACGTTACTAAGTAATTGTCATAGACATTGAATTGCAGATCAGCGAACAAGGCGAATATGACCTTGACACTGGACTGAAGAACCTCAGGCAGTTTGTGAAAGATGACGAACAGTACAAAAAGCTGGAAGAAGTTGCGAAACAATGTGCATCAGGTATTGTTTTGTTCGTGTGTTTACAATACTTACCCATTTCTTATCTTTTACAATTAAAATTAACAGTCAATAGTAGAATAAATGGCCTCAGTCAATCTAATATTGCGAAACAGTAGTGTTGGCAAAGAAGGAGGCGGAGCGCGTTAGAGAGCTATCCTCCTCCTCACGCCCCAACCTTCGCAGTTGGCAACACTCCGGGCGTCGAGGATCGAGATACGATCTCCGGCCACAGTAAGCGCGGGTCTGCGGACGGCAAGTAAGGGTAGCTCGCCACCCGACCAGAACCAGACCCGAGCGTACAGCGCGTGTCGCGCAATAGCAAAATATTAAAGAGCCAATAGACCACCGCAAACGGGGCCCTACAAAGCTAATGTTCAGCCGAGGTTGCGGAGTAAGCGCAATGAGCACCGTTAGGTATTTTTGGTCAGTAAGAGTCTGACACTCTCTCTCACCTTACCCTGGTTGGGAAAAGTTATTTGACGCTTTAACCCAGACAAAAAAACTAATCTAATGACTTTAGTAGTTTTTGTTTGTAGTTTGACAGTTTTGTTCATATTTCCAGTGAGTAAAAAAGCAGTGAGTGATGGAACAGCTGGATGTGAAAGAAGTGCTCTCCTGGCTGGTTGCTTCTTGGACCATAAGGCTAGTGTAAGTTGAACATTTTATTGGTTGTACCCTGGAGTAATTACCTACTGAAGTTGCTTCAATAAACAGGTGGTCAATTTCAAATAAATTATTTAAAAGAGGTATCCAAAAATAGTTAAGTTACCAAAATTAGAAAATATTTTACGAAAAGATATAACAGGCAAATGAAAAAAAAATTGTCGAGTGTTAAATGATTTAACTTTTTTTTGTTACAGATTATCATCTAAATGAATCAGTGACCCGTACCAACCTGCAACACTTATTCTGAAGATATTCTATTCTGGGACAAAAAAAATACAATTCATCCATTTTCTAAAACTATCTACATATCTTGTAATACAAAAATATGTGCATTATCTAACACAACTCTATAATAAAGGCTGCATATAAGTAAGTCCTTTAACTAAGTCCTACTTAATATTCTTAGAGATCGAAAAAATTTTTTGTCAAAAAACCTTTTATCTAGATATTTGTTGTTCCGGTTTATGTTCGTGATCTAAGTACCTAATCTACAGTGATCAATATTAGCTAATTGTTTTGTTTTGCATTAATAAATTGAATCATTGAACGCTTTTTTTTATTTTACTACCTGACAAATTTTTAACTGTTAAATCGTTAGTTTGATAAAAACATATTTTCCTATTTTTGTAGCAATGCTAACACCAACTTTCTCCTTTAAGATTAAATGCATTCATTAGTGTCCAAATATTTATTCGCATAAATATTTGGATACATTGCATGCATTAATAGTACCTACTACGAGACCACCTTGAAATAAAAAAAGCAAAATAATTGAACAAAACGTTATTGGCGATGCAAAGATTATCCGCAAGCTTCTACGGGCGAAATTTAGAAACTGTCTAAGAACTACACTTTGTTTGTTTATTTGTTGAAGTCATGTTAGATTATTCAGATGAATCACGATTATATACAGAAACATGTTGGTAATAAAAGAAGAAATACGAAATATTGTTGCGTTCCTCAATGTAGTAATTGGGTGATTCTCCAAAAAACCTTAACTTTTATTTAACAAGTCATTATCCTCTCAGGTTTTTAAGCATCTTAGTAATTTATTTTATACAATATTTTTAATCGGTTGCTTGTAAGCAGTGGTGAGATTTAATTTAATAAAATAATTATCTGTGTTTTAATCAGCAGACTCGTTAATTTTCGGTTGAGGATAATGACATTATTAATTTTTTTTTAATTGATGTGAAGAATCACCCAATTACGGAGATATCGAATACAGTCAAAGTTAAACCATTGGCTTAAAAGACTTGTATCCAGGCCATAAACTCAAAAAAAAGTTAAGACATAGACCATATACACCTAGCGAGTTTGCGCTGTCAATTTTTGAAATTTCAAAACAAAACGTATTTCCCTTGACTTGTGATTTAATTGAAATTAAATAAATTTGCCAAAGGACCCAGTAATTTTTCTACATTGTTTGTATTCAAAATGTCTATGGTTGAAGAGGAAGTGGTAGTAGCTCCGTGGGTTGGACCTACAAGTTGTAAAAATACATTATCAGTGATCGTGCTCTCATTCAGTAATGATATCATCGAAAAACTTTCAAAAGCTCTCACAGACGTCCACAGCAGAGGAGATTATCGTTGGAAACTAATTGTTTTAAAGTCATTTTATCTTGAAGAGGTAGTAAAACGGTCCGATCTCACGGGAAAAGTCGGTATAGACTTTGTAATATTAGCAATTGACACAAGTCGAATATTTTGTTTAGAATGGGCAAGAAATGCTTTGCTGCAAGTAAATTCAGATTTAAAGACTCGCCGTGTGGTGCTTGTAAATGCGAGTGGACTCCCAGTGAACGCTATGGCGATAAGTGCAAGTGAACTGATAAATTTCCAAAACGATATGAAACTTGACATTGTAACTGCAAATGTCTTTGATCCAGAGAATGCTACGTTTTTGGCGCGCAGATTACTAAAATACATCGAAGTGTCGATTGGTGTTAAGACTGGAATTCCAAACCTTAATGTATGATTAGTAATATCATTAATGTGTATATAATAATAGTAATATATAATAGTAATTAAGATGTTTGAATTTAACCAGTGCTTATGGTTTTCCTGCACTTGTACAATACGGTAGTTTCCAACTAGTCAAATTCAATACTTTTATCCAAATATCAAAAACGATACTTTTCTATGAAATTTGTATGTAAAACTGAGTTATGCTTTTTTGCGTCAAATAGCTTACTTATTTCTTAATAATTAGCTACAAAATATCTAAAACTGAGTGTATTGATTGATGAATAAAAGTATGGTTATTTTTCAATATTTTATTGTATTGAAAAGTCGAACTAATTTATTTTTGACCTAGGAAACTACCCAATTTATTTGTTGATCTTTAATGCTTTCAATTTTCTTTCAAACATTGCCACATAGGCACACAGCTACACATCAAGCTAAACATAAAAGTCAGCTTTTACTGATTTTGTGCAGCGTGCATGTCACATACATCCCTTTAATGTTTTTAGTGTGTTTGCTCTCCATGTTGCAATGGAGTTTTTTAGAAGTATGCTTTCTGTCAGTAGATACATTGTTATTATCTGAGCAGAATGCTACTATTCAATTAGTCTAATTAATTTATAAGCCAATTCAAGCACTGAAGTTGGTAAATCCTAAAAGCCTAGTTTGTTCACAGGTTTAACAGCTTGTCTAAAGCTTTAAGTTATTAACATCACCATCAACCTGTAAATAGTATAATATCACATGCTGTTGTTGCTGTTAAAATATGACCTTTTTGTCAGTGACTACTTCTAAATATTTTAACAGCAAAGACAGCATGTGACCTTATTCTATCTTCTTTTATATTTTTACAACATAAGCAAGTTTTACACTATCGTAATACCCACTTTACATTATTTTATGCAAGGTTTTTATTTTCATTTGTGGATATACACAGTTCTTATACACATATTGAACAGATTCTGTGTGATCTATACTAAAATTACAAAGCTGTAGTTTGATTATTTGTTGAAATGTTCAAACAAACGGAGATATGTATGTACCAATCTCTGGAACAACTGGTTGGGGTTTTATTTTGTTTATTGGTTCATCTATTCAGGAAGGAAGGCTATAAATCATTATGTTACAATCCATAGGAGACGACCAGCGGGTGAAACCGCGCGAGACTAGCTAGATTTTAATAATATAGGTAAATAATGATCAAACTAACTATAAACTATGTGATTTACAGTCTTCTCCGGTATTTCTGAATTACTGATATATTGAGTAATCAAGTGTACTTCTAAACAATGATTGGATCCATAAAAGCCTTGTAACTCTTAATTTTCACCATTAAACCAAGGGAACTGTTGAAATTCCACATATATGCTGATTCAAAAACATACCATTTTATGCCAAATTCTAGAAGAAAAATAGTAAAACGGGCCAAGAATTAATGTTACACAAAAATCACTCATAAAGACAGATTTGGTATTATGTTATAATAATTATTATGATCATGTATTGTTATGTTAGTAAATAAAACCATTTATGTACACATTTCTGAATTATTTATTATTATTTGATTGTACTACAAAATAATAGGAAGTTCTCTACAGTTACAATTATATATATATGTATATATATATTACATAAATAATAGAACAATTACAGCAGTCCTCACTCGTGTAGCAACCTCACAATATTCATGTAGCAACACTATTGCTAGATAGTAGTATAAAAAACAAAAATAAACTATAGGGCTGTGCGATGATACAGGATAATTTGGTTTTACTCCCATCTCAGCGCTTTACCATTTCAGCATCCAAGATATATTGATTTAGAAACTTTCAACAGAAATAACAACAGTATTCTGTTATCTAATATCAATTACAAAATATTAAACAATATTAAATTATCAAAAACTCAAAAATGACAATTACATATTCAAGTATCAATTACATATATTATAACAAGAGCATGCCAGAGAAAATTATAAAAATATGATTAAAAAGTTGGATTTAAATAAACAATTTTTGTGATATACTGGAATTTATTGCATGTACGCCACTCGTAAATTTTTAAATTCATAGATGCTTATATGGTAAAATAAAGAGATGGATTTAAACCAGATAAGTATAACATGTTCTTACAACTAACTGAAATACTGCTCATTTATTAATATAATTGTTTATTATAAGTATAAATAACATTCTAAGCATAGAAAATCTGTAAAATAATCCAAAATTATAATAAAACAACGAGAATTTGTCATAAAACAGAGTCCACAAAATGCACTACGTTTTCCATGTTACGCTATAGGTACATTAATGTAATCTAAAATAATATATCGCTATAGATGTTGGATCTAATATTAAAGTCACATTAGTGACTTGATTAAAATAAACGTATACAAAAATTTAATATTAGGCAATATCACAACTAAACCACCTGTTCAACGGCAGGCAAATAAATACAGTCACATAAACATCACTTAAATAGTCCCACTGTGATGTACTAGGGTCAGTAAATAAAGTATTTGCACATAAAAACACAGTCAAACTGCACTATGATTACAATGCAATGTGGGTACACAGTTATAAACAATATAGAATTGCTAAGCCCAAAACACAAATATTGGTTCCCATAAGATTTTCTAGTAAACATTTCACCAATAATAACAAATGTTTCATGAGCAGACCTAGTATACAATTATTCCAACTCTTAAATCATAGTATTGAATGGAATCAAATATATTTGGAAATAAATACTCTAAACTTCAAGCCCTACCAAAGTAACAACTAGGTGTATGAAACCAGCTTATTGATAATGTCGTCTTCATTTTCATATAGTTTGTATCAACTTAAATTACCTTCATAATAGCTAAGATGATATTAAAACAGATCTGATTTAAAATTGAATTTACCACTGTAGCAAAACATGTGATAAAAAACATCACCAAAATAATATTTCTCTAATCTTAAAATTGAACATCAATGTTACTAATGGTTTATGTGCAGAGTTGATAATATGTATATTGAAATCTAGTTCCTAATTTTACAGTCCAAGTTATTAGTTAAATATACATAAACCAATCAATAACATTCACTTTAATTAAGTTGGTGTTGTAGTAACTACATGTAGAGTAATATATTATCACTATATTGTTTACATAGTGGGTGCTTTTCACAGAATAATGATCAAATGGAGTACAGGTTGTGAATCTCGAGTAGATACATGCTATGCGCCGAACAATTAATACATCTCGACGTTGACTTGCCGCATGAGTTCATTACAGATGGGATGAGAACTCCATTTGCTCACGACTCCTACTAGTGTACGGTCATACATTTCCGTGCGCACTCTCGCGATCACTACTATGTTAAACACACAGAAGTTTTCTAACTACAAACATTATAACTTATGCTAATTTCCTGTACTGAGAGATATAGTTAAAATTTACCAAACTGACACCTGAAGCATCCTATGAGAGCTTCTAAATAATTACCAAATACATACACAAAATATTATTTGCCGATAAGTATGAACATGTTTAACATACATAAGCCCAAAACGTGTGGCTATAAAATAGATTTAACAGCTGTAGTATTTGAACACCTGCAGACTACTATTGCAAATGTACTAAACAAATATATATCAAATTTATATAATATTTTATATCAAATCACTGATTTAACTCATGAATCAACAATAAAAATAGGATACACATCCAGAAGTTTTCTTAGGATGCTTCGTTTGTTCGACAGTACCTTACATGATCCTCACACATAGTGTCAGAAAGCATAGAATGTTAACTCCCACAGGCACAAGTGTCACATTTCAAGAGCGAGCACATCTACTTATATGTTGTAGCTTAAAATATGACCAAACTTGTGCGTCTTATCATTTACTAATTACGCCTTAGGCTTCCGCTGTTGTTGAATTAACCGAAACAATGGTATTCCTTCAATATGAGAACACCACTTATTCTCATCAGGAAATTAAATGGACATTACATGGCTAATGTCTAAAAGGTTCAGAACTACAAATAAAATACTGAGATTCTTGATATGTAGCGTTAAGAGCGCAAGCCTCAAGGCGAAAAGCTACATTTATGGAGCTAACACTCCAAAATATCACTGTATTTTGGCCAGATGATTACCTCATGTGTAGTGCGCAGTGGACTCGGTCGGCCGGAGAAAACCGTCCAACAACAACTGTTTCGGCCGGCCAGTCTACGGCGACGACACCCACTCCATATAGCAGTGTAGCACCTATTAATCGTTCACTGTACACATTCGGTCCACTTTACACCTCTCCTACCTGTAAGAGACATAGATAGCATCCTTACGTGGTTTAATAATGTTTGGGTAAATCTGTATTTCTCTGTAAAGACGTTACGTACCGTCTAGTCTGAGTCGAGGTTGACGACATCTTGTGCGGATGTGGGCGGGTGGGGTCTTGCGGCGAGAGGCGGACGGCCGCGAGGTCTACCAGAGCCTCCCATGAGGATTTCGCGCGAGCGTTGTTGTTGCAGCGCCATGGCTACGGGGTCGCGGCTACCGAGTCCACCCGCGTAGATCTTCGCACCCATTTGCTGTACCCAGTTACGTAAAATTCAGATAACAAGCGCTTGACGCGCTTTTTGCTGTACGGTTAGTATGCAGTTAGAAGGAAATATTATTTCGTCTTGCAAACACGCACTAGCAAAATGCGCGTCAAGCGCTGGTCAACTGAATGTTAGTACATTACATTACATGTCTTGATAAAACAAGTGGAAATGATGTTAGTAACATTAAGAATCTACTCCATCATTAATAATACCAATAGCTATTATTAAACAAGAGGAAGCTGATAGTAATTAAAAAAAAGTTGAAAGCCTCCAGACACATTTGCTTCGATCTTTAGCTTTCAAGTTTGTTCAGGATTTTTATACATGCAACTCACAAACAAAGGGCTAAAAAATGGGGACGATTTCTTTTTGGTGGTAAGGTCGAATGACATTAAAAGGAGCACCTTCCCCATAAGAAATTTCATTTATGTGTCGTGTGAGATTAGTTAATAGAGAAACGTTGTATGTATGTGTGTGTGTACTGACGTTTTGCTGCATGAGCTGCTGCAGGCGCATGTGGTGCTGTTGTTGCTGCTGGCGCTGCCAGGGCGGCTCGTACTGCAGCGAGCTGCCCGCGCTGCCCGCGCCCGCGCCCGCCGCCCCGCCTGGCACAAACAGACCTATGTTATTCCTGACACTTACATTATACACCACTTCGTCCCGAAAGTTAACAGAGATTGATAAATCTGAGTCTTTTAAACTGCAATCTTGAACTCGCTTGTCAAGCATAAGGGTTATGCAAGACAAACCTTTTATGGAGGAAGCCTTTAGAGCAGAGGTGGACAATCACGGTTTGATGATGACGATGGTGATTATATTTTTAAAATTTTCGTGCCTAGAACGAATTTATTTAATGTGATTGACGTTTTGGTAAATTATAGCAAACTCGCACTGTTACTAAAATAGAGAGGTAAATGAACAGAAATAAAAAACCGAAACGTTTCTTATGATATTCTACTGTGTCTGCTTATCCTAATGGAAAACGAATGTGACGATTATGTACCAAAAATTGTAAAAACTCACCAGTATTCATAACAGCATTCATCATACCAGGATTCATCATGCTTGGCGGTGCATACTTGTATAGTTCAGACATTTTCTGCATCATCTGCAACATAAAAGAAAATACCGTCATTGAAACATCAAGTTAAATCTGTAAATAATGCATCTCTACGAAATTATAATAAACATGCTTATAAATTGTACCAAACGGCGTTTAGACTAGGCGGACATCTATACACATAATAAAATTAATTGTAGCAAGTTGATGTATGTACATCAAATATATTAAAGAAAAACAACATGGGGTTATATATTAGACCAACAGAATTTGTGTGTCTGCATGTTTTCTCCGTGTCATGCCAAAACTACTAGATGGAATTGAATGCAAATTTTCACTGGTGTATTGCTAGAAGTGCAACTTGAAATACAGGAGTCTAAATTAAAATACATGCATTTTTTTTACAGTAAAATATTTTTTTTGACAGCCCAAAACTCACATTCTGTAGAAGTTCTTAAAATTGGTTAAACCCGTTTTCTCTAACAAAATATGAGGCATTAACTTTATTAAAATTTTATATCAGTTCCAAAACAAAAAAAAAGGTTATTTTTAACTATCAAGGTCAAACATATGCCTAACGTAAGTTGAATACAAATCTAAATGATCAATTATTGTACTAAATATAATTCAGCTTAAACTGAGATCTTTTAGATATAATTAGAGATATTATATTCGTCGTGTTTAAGCTTAGGCAACGTTTTTGGAGAAGTGCGGTCTGTAGATGCTTTTTTCTGAATGAGAATTTGTCCATTAAAACCAGTAGACATCGTGATGACATAAATTTCAAGTGCCACACTCTTGCTGTGGGTAAAGAAATTGAGTTTTTCGCAGGGGCTTGTTTAGATGAACTTAAAATGCGTTAAGGTAGAATTTATCAGGTAGCTTGTTGAAACTATTTTTATGACCAATATTGCAAAAAGAGCATTCTCAATTATTTCTTGAATAAATCTTTACATTTCGTTGGTATCAAATTATTACTATTTCCACCTCTTGCATCTCAGCATGATTTTAAAAATAAATAAGATTCAAGAGTTTCAAGTTATAATTTTGTGACTAAAATATTATTTTTACAAGTGTAGCTATATTGGAAGTTATTTTCTATAGCAGTCACGTAAATTTTTACGACCTTACTTATGACGTTTTTATTTATGTTTGTAGTTTCATTTTTCACTAAAGGTTATTTAACTACCAGTTTCTTTTATTCCTTTCCACATTCGTTATATTGGCATTTAAGTCTAAATTGCATAAGAAAATGATGGATTATAAATTCCACGCGTAGAAAATCTTAGATAAAAGCTAGTACATACTAAAAGGCTATTCTAATATATCGACTAAAACTTACGCCAAAGTCATATCCACCGAACATCTAAAGAAATAAATGTAAAATGTGAATTAATTGTTAGTTTACAACAATAATCACCATGTGCATGAAATTATTAATAGTACTTAAATATTTATACATAGATAGGTTTTGTGTAAGACTTGCTTCGTCACTTGAGAGTGGTGACAATTTCTTGAGGCTCTCGAACACGACAAAGTAATTCAAAGCATCAAATTTCCTACGAGATGGTTGTCAATTGGCATATTTCTTGATCCGAGACTATTAGCTAGATAAATTATCAGATTAGTTATTTACAAAGATGCTTCCGTTTTGTATAAATGTATCTCACCCCTGGATTAGAGTTGCATATAAGTGGCAGCATGTCCCGGATCTGGTTGTCGTTGATGTTAGGCATGTCCTTGCGGATCATGGCGGCCAGCGCTGCGTACGCCAGCTGTTGCTGCTGCGCCGCCAGTAGCCCCGGCACTGTAACACGTGGACATCGTTACACTTGTATGCCATACTTCAGCACGAATGAGTCGGCCACGGTCGGAATTGGTCAACTTGAATAATACCATGCGACCTCACAAATAACCAGCATCAAATGAAAAATTTATTAGAAAATCTAAAGAAAGTGTTCATGAAATTAGTATACAAAAATATATTGTGCTGCAGTCCTAAGACAAAAAATAATTCTATCTGTAAAATGATCGAACAAGTGATTGATAATGAAATCTCTCTGGCACTAATAGAATACCTAAAAATTGTGAGTTCTGAGGAATCTCCTATCATTTGTTTCACTAGTCTACTTCCTCTTTAAGACTTTCTGCCAAAAACAGCGATTCTCCAATGAATTTCGGCCTTTACGTATCAAGTACAATTAAAGATGCTTACTCATTCCATTGTGCATGGGCCAGGCAGACGGGAAGGGCGCTGGTGGTGGCCTATTCTTCTCGTTTTCAAAGTCTTCCCAGGCCGCCTTCCGCTCCTCTTCACTCAGAGTCTCTTCCTCCTTGTTTTCCAGCAGAGAATCGTGCTCGTGGTACTTGTAAATCTAAAGTAGAAAGAGAACATACACATTTATTCATGCACTCAATAAATATTAATTCTTGGATTCTATACACCCAAAGGTTGTTTCACATATATGTGTATCATTCTTTAATAGGTACTAATAAAAAAAAATACTCTGTTCTGCTCTTGTAGAGCTTGTTATCTTACCTGAGCCTCATGTTCTCTGAGCATTTCAGCAAAGAGTCTGTCTTTAGGAAGGGCGGGAATAGGGCGTGGCTCATCCGGCCTAGCCTCGAACTTGTACAGTTCGGCGAGGTCGTTCTCGGCGTAGTGCCGGTCGATCTGTTGCTCGTCTATAACTCGCTTCGAGATCGCCTGCTTCGTCACTTGACGTTCGTAGATCTTTTCCTCCATTGTACCCTAGTGATGAAAGAAAATATTTCTTAGACGTGGTCAAAAAGTTAAAGATATCTAGTTAAATTATAATAAAGTTAAATACTAAACCCATAAAAGAAAATAAATATGAAGAGGAATCACCCTCGTTATACCTATAAAACGTCAGTCTTATGACTGTATTCATGTACAAATTTAAAACATGACATTAACTTACCATAGCCAAAAATCTGTAGATATAGCAAGGTTTCTTCTGTCCAAACCGGTAGACCCTGAATATACTTTGGACATCATGTGAGGGGTTCCACGACACGTCAAAGATAACCACTCGGTTGGCAGCCACCAGGTTGATGCCCAGGCCTCCCGCACGAGTCGATATAAGGAATAACCTGGATATCGACAATTATAGGAAATAAGTTATATCATAATGGTAGTTCAACAATATTATTTTTTACCTGTATATAGATTTTGTAGATTTTTTTAAGAAAGTAAAAATTTTACTTGACTTAATTTTGGCCGTAAATGTGATACTGACCTAGCTCTCGGATTATCTTCTCTATTGAAATTTTTACACCAAATAGATCTGTTCTCACACGATGTAGACCCGTCCAGTCTGAAGTAATCTACGCCGGGTGCCCATGAACCTGAAAAATAAACAAATTAAAATATTGTAGTTACTTAAGTAAGTAGAAAATTTCGCTAAAAACACAGATAAGTTCAGAGTCACCAAATCGTCTGTTGCCGTATTTGTTATGTTCGTAAGTGAGAACACACAAGTGTAAATTCAAATTATATTCGCAAGCACAATAAAATTTAGGTGAATTTAATGACTTAAGCAAGAAATAGACAAGTTATAAAAAAATACGGGGAGACATAATAAATTATTTCTTACCGACATGTCCTCCGAGTTTCTCGTCGATACGTCCTTCCTGTGTCGCTTCATCGACTTTGCCTAAGAAGTGCTCTATCAGATCTAGAGAATACAGCGACTGCGAAAACACCAACCTGGCGACAATTTTTGTAAGTGATTAGCGCCACCCCTTGATACCCACAATACAAAAGGAGCTATAAGTGCGTGTTTGCATGTTGCGTGCAGTGTTACTATTTTTCTCAAAATTTACATACTTTATCACCATGTTTGTTTAGGCTTTTTAGTCTTGTTCACAAGTCTTGAAATTACATTATATTGTAAAAAGTAATAGTCTAAGCATTCTTAGCGTATAATATTAGCGAGTTAATATTACATTTTTACTATTAATAAATAACTTAAGCTAGCTTACAGTTTGTCCCCAATAGCTTCGCACTGGCGCAGGATGTCGAACAGTAGAACAAGTTTGTGAGAATTGCGCATGTCATCGAGTTCCTCCTCCTCTACCAACTTGATCCACCACTCCGTCGGGTTCTCGTTCCTCACTTCAACTACTTCAGCCACGTCAGGATCGTCCTCATCCGCTTCCACTGAGTAACAAGCATGGGATAAATAAGGATCATCATAAAAAAGATTTTGTTTTTCCCAACTCTTACTACCATACATACCTTTTTCTAAATCAATAGTTGAATATAATACTTAGATAAGGTGGAAAATACAAAACAACCACAGCGTTGTGTTTCGCCGTGTGAGTGAGGTTACCGGAGGCCCAATCCTTCCCCTCCCCCAATCCCTCCTCAATCCCTAAATCTCCAAATCCCTAATCCCTTATCCCTAAAAGGTCGGCAACGCACTCGTAACACCTCCGTTGCGGGTGCCATGGGCGGCGCTGATTGCTTACCATCAGGTAATCCGTCTGCTCGTTTACCGACTTATTACATAAAAAAAAAAAATAGTTTCAAGTCGCACAGAGACAAGACAGTCAATTCATAAATAATATTGATACCTTGTAGCAGGAATCATAATTATGAAAGAAAGGAATTTGGGATGTGATAACGTAGACATAGCAACATACAACGCGACGGTGCAACAATCTCAAGAATTCGTGGCGGAATAAGCAGGAAGAATAATTATCATATTATTCAACAGATTTTTCGGAATATTTAATTTATCTAATAATCAAACTAATCAGACGATTTTTTTAGAAAAATATTTTCTATGTTATACTGCTCTACAGTAGAACTATATACCTGTGTCATGGTTGTATTTACAAACATATAAATAGATACCCAGTTAACTTAAAAATAAATAAAAAAAAAGGGAGAAATGATTGTTCTGTCACACAAGTCATGAATATTTATTCCCTTACATAGCGAAAAATCGTAATAATAAAATGTTTGTTTGTCATTACCGGTACCTGGGTTGGCCCTGGTCCCTCGCCGCGTCCCCACCTTGGAGTCTTTAGCCTTATTTTTCTTTCCCTTATTCTTCTTCTTACTCTTCTTTCGACTGTCATCGCTCATATCTGACAGGTCATCCGACGACTCTTCCGTTGAAGTTTCCTGTCATAAAAATACGAATTGTATAGGTATGATACTCGTAGTTGTTTGTTCATAAAATAAATCAGTTACTCTTTACTTTTAAAAAGTAGAAATTATTTATTGAATTTATTGAATCACAAGAGTTACTATTCTAAAAATTTATTTTTTTCCATATTCCTTCTATAATCACATATGCATATGCTTTATCAAAAATATTCAACTGACCTCTGGAGTAGAATCATCATCTATAAAGTCTACTAATGATCCTTCAGAGTCTTCTTCTTCTCTCTCCCTCTGAAAAATAAACAATTCAAATCAAAAATATTAATATAGAGCAAAAGAAAAACGATGTCTTTAATTCTAGTGATAGTAAAACACAGTTCTAAAATGCTTATTTGAGAGGTTCTGTTTTTCTATCTTCACTAAAATACATATTCATGTTGTTCAACCTTTTCCAATTTTGTCTATAAATGAATACACAATAAAAGAAAATCTTAAAATATTATAATCGAAAATTGTTTGCAAAAGTATATTTCATACCTTTTTCTGTTGCATAATTTCGTATCTTTCAGAGTTATATTTGAGTACAAGTGGATGTGTCCATATCCTTTGTAGCGATTGGAAATCAGGGAACAGGAATCCAGAAGATTTACCAGGTAGAGGCCTGCAAAAAATGAATTTGGTGAAGATTATTGAAATCAATATTTTAACTTCTCCATTAATTAGAGTGGATATAAATGAAACAGACTATTAACCTGGTGTGACAAACAACCAACTTTCTATACTTTAATGTATAAATAAAAGACATACCTTCTAGAGTAGTTATCCAAGTAGAATTGGTACAGTTTAACCTGCACGTCCGATAGAGTTATGAATAGCACGTACTCGTGTTTCGGAGGTAAGAAAGGCGCCAGCACCCCGTAATCCCTCCTCTGGATAGAAAGAACATTGTATTTGAAAAATATAATAAAATTAAAGTATCAATACAATTTGCTTTCCAAAATTCTTTCACTGATAGATAGCTACAGTGTTCCTGAGTTCTGTAGGCTATAAATTATACTTGATTTGCGTATTTTAGTCGAGCGTTCACTTTGAGTGCTGATTTATTTAAAATCCCGTACACATTAATTTTATACTCTAGTTTGCCATATTATAAGTGGAAAAATAAAACCGTTTAAAAATTAAACACACCTGAACAGCTCCATCGAGCATTTTATGTAATACGTGCGACCGTCTCTTCATGACCTTGATGTCATGTTCAGTCGAATCAGTGTACTGACCGTTGGTGATAGGGTTCACGAAACGATTCAAGTACTCATTGTACTTTCCCAATAGGTTCGGCTTCACGAATTGTACCATGCAGTAGTCTGAAATATTAAAATCAGTGTCAATACGCATTGGCGTCCCGAAACTATTCACAGTTGGACTCCGGGTCTCCTTCTTAAAGAGCCAGGCAGGATGAACTTCTTAAAGAGTAATTTAAAATGTCAGGTGAGTAAGACTGAATCATTATTTATTATCAGAGTGCTGCTAATCATTTCTGTTAAATCTGTATTTCTAAAACGGCTCTTACTGGTAATGACAATAATTTTAACTCCATCGGACCTATATGGTGGACCAAAGGATGCATGTCCCTTGCAACTTATGTATACTGGTATACCAAGCCATTTCATCAAGATTTGGAAGAATGTTTACTTACATTATCTTTACACGAAAAATTACTACTGTCAAACTCACGACAGAAACCAAACACTAATTTTAAAATCAATATTTTTAGTCAAAACTTATGTGTAAATAATATATTTGTACTGAAAAACATCCTTAGTAAGATTAAGTAAATAGATTAATTTTATATTGTATGTAACTACAGCTCACATTCTTTCAAGTTGTTCTGTAGCGGCGTGCCGGTGAGGACGATGCGACGTCGTGTCTTCACTCTGTTCATAGATTGCGACAGACTGGTCTTCTCGTTCTTTAACAAATGCCCTTCATCACACACCACCAAGTCCGGTCCTGTGTAAATTTATATTAGTTGAGTAACTTTCAATCATTTTTAATTTGTTATTTCAGCTTTATAAATATAAGATTGGAACTTATTAAATAAATAATATCTTATTTAAAATGCGTAAGACTATCTTTTCGAGCAATTGAAATTAAGGAGCAAAAAGGTCAATAATATAATTATATCATTCTTATAACTAATTAAGTAGGGTAATATTGTCTGTGAAGCAAATTTTTAAAGGAACTAATTAATGCCTTTTTTATTTGAATAAAATGTAAGATACATTTATGTGGAATTAAAAAACAATAAGTCATACCTGGATCAACAAGGCTCTCCTGGAAGCTCCGTAGCATCTTTTTCTTGAACTTCTTGTTGTTGTCGGCGGAAAGGTTTCGGAACATTTCGTATCCTAGTACGCACACGCCGCCACCTTCGAACCACTGCTGCAGTTGGAACGCTCGCTCCGAGTTCTGTTTGTACCTGTATCGTCATTTAATACTATAAACACATGTAGTGTATTCTTACTAATTAAGAGCCGTGACTACTGGACTATAGTCTTTACTCGCATATGAATGGTTTGCCAATGTGAATGTCAGCAAGCGTGCTAGAAACCTCAGTTCAAAATGTTTAGGTTTACTGTAGACCACCAATCGGTCTCGCCCGCTTTTCCGACACCCGAGCAGCAAGTAGGGGGTGGTGATAAAATTAATGTATTCTGCCGTTTTAAACACTGTGGGCTATTTGCGTTAAGAACAGTTACCTACAGTATTCATTTAAATCAGTAAAGTCTGAAAACCAAGAATTTCACTTGGTACAATATCGTCGTAACTAAACACCTCTCGGCCAATACCACATAACCATAGACCTACAATACCTTCATCAAAACTCCGAGTAGTAAAAATCAGCGGAATAATTTGTAGGTAATATAATATATTTTGTCATTCTTACCTCGATAACTCGTAAACGTCGACTTCGAACTCGGAGTGTGCGTGCTTGAGCCACATTTTGAACTCGTTGACCCAGTTAAGGACAGTGGACAGAGGACATACTACCAACACGCGGTTCACGCCCGTTAGTGTCCCATGGGTTAGCAAAGTATGCGTCAGAGATATTACCTGCGAAAAATATTTTACTGCAACTTCTGAGACAAGCAATGGGAGCCCTATCATGGTCAGGTTAAATAAAGTAACAAGGAAAAAGCTGTTATTAGTGGTTTAAGTGCGGATTTTGTACGGTTTTTACGAATAATGTGATAACTGAGATATATATGAACTTACTTGTAGAGTTTTACCAAGACCCATACAGTGCGCTAGGATGCACCCAGACCCTTTGTCCTTCTTGATGCGTTTCACACTCTCAAAGCACGCGTCCCACATGAACTTTATACCGTTAGCCTGAATAGAAATTAATATTGTATATTATCAACAAGTTTTATTAGACCATTTCAATTCTGTGAAGTAAAAAATCTACAAAACCGTAGTCTAAATACAACATTTTAAATTGGTGCAGTAAAACGGTTGTCGATAACATGAACTGGTAGGCTGTGTTTGCTCAAAATTTGGATTAAAATAAAATTGTATACATATATTAAAAGTCAAAGAATGAAATAGAAAGATTAGGTTAGGAGAGAAAAGTATTACGTAATCTTTTATTTTTCTATAATACGTATTTTAATATTATTGTTTCAGTCTTAATACACAGCAGCACCAGCACTAACTAGTATTGCTATATTTGCTATACATACTTTATATAAGGAAAATATAAAGAAAACCTTGCTTTTTACTATTTACCTGATGGGGTTTCAATTTCTTGACAAGTCCTCTATCGACTTCGATCAGTGGTTCTTTAGTTTCAGGGTCGAAATCTAACACCACCTTTTCCAAAACAACCTCATCCGGCTTGCCAGACTCGTCAAATTCCAAGTTGTTGTACTGCACACAAAAATAAATAGTTGAATAAAAGAATGTAAATTTTCAACCGAAATGATCCCTAATGTGATGACAATTGTAAGAACAGATTAATTACATTCTTCTCAGAGTAGTCAGATATGAAATGCCGGCTTCATCTAGTTTTTACATATAATTTTACGTGTAAAAGTGCCGTTTTATGGTCTATTTGCAAAAACAAATTCATTGTCTCATTGTTACATTTTTGATATCCACACTGACACAAATGATAATGCCATTTGCATCAGAAGCCAAAAAATTTTTTAGAAAATGTATTTATAAGAATACAATTATATAGAATAATTACGCTGCAGACGTTTTAGAATAATTTTACTTTATTTTATGTCGGATAGATGACCCATAGACATCCGCAAAATCCAAGAGTTACAAGTGCGTTAACGGCCTGTTGAAGTTCGAGTTTTAAGGAATTTGAGATTGGATCTTCGGTAACGAAAATCACACAGCACAATTATATAAATTATTATTATAGCAAGTATAAAACAAAGTCACTTTCTCTGTCCCTATTTCTCTATGCATGGTATCTTAAAAACTAGGCAACGGATTTTGATGTTTTAAAGAATTACTTATAGAAATAGGTGATTGGAGAGGATGGTCTATTTGTATAATAACATCCATTAAATAGGGTAACTCGTAAGCCAGGGCGAGTCGCAAGTAATATATGAAAATAATAATATTTTACTTACCAATTTCTGTCTCTCTGTAATACGAGCTATCCTTTCTTTCTCTTCGCGCGCCGCCTTTTTAGTGGCCTCCTCCAACTGGTTCTTACCCATAACCTGGAAACAAATATAAAATTAATATGTTTATAATATAACCTACATAATGACCTTATAGAAGTCGCTGGATGCAGGTCGTTTGCAACTGGCTAATTTGGAAATAGATGAAGAAGCCGATATGGTGGTGTTAGCTCATACAAAACTCTACAATAGCACATTACTGAACTCGACTTTCCAGCTGTCCTCATCGAAATACTTACAAAGTTTAGTTAATTATTTATTATTTACTATTTATAAATATGTCTAAAGAGGCAATGTATGTATGTAAGCGTCACTTCACTTAGCTAGATGACAGAGGCTGTGTGTACTTAGATATTGTTTCTACTTCGAAACATATACACTATAGTGTTATTGGTTCGCTGCAGTATTGGAGAGACAGTTTAAAGTAAAATATGGGGCAAAAGCAGAATGGTAAAATTCTTTGAATAATTATTACATTACCTTACGTATATTCTTTCTGCCATGTTTATTTCGCCCTTCATTCTCTGTGTCAGATCCAGAGCCATCGCTGTCCCTGACTTGCTTTATGCGCCGACGTTTCTTTTGGCTACAAAAATAAAATAATTCATTCTAACAAAACAATATAAGTACTAATCACCTGTTTTATTTATGTTTCCAAATAATAATTTTCCTTAATCTTAAGTCACTATGCTGTTTATTGAAAATAAACCACTTACTTACAGTAAATAAACTTAGAAATCTCTCTAGTAGAGCTTTTTTATTAGTCGGCTGTGCAACATCAAAGCTACGAGCACGACTTAAAACTGGGTAAGTCGGTATTTTGAATGGATTTATTGACAATAGTGAGTCAATACTGTTTCAAAAAAATCTTGTATTTAATACTTTACACAAGGAAACAAAGACCGGTAGCAATGCAATTAAAGAAATCGTTATCTTTTCCTGTCGAGAGACAACCTGTCGACGTATTTTTTACCTTGTCATTAATGCGTGTACACTCAAATATAAACCTCCCTTATTGGGAAGTCTATAAAAAGCAAATAAATATTTTCAAACTTACCCTCCTTCATTACTGGAACCCCCTGATGCATCACTCTCAGATCCTTTCTTCTTTCGCTTTGATCGCTTCTCTCTGGACTCTGAACTCTCGTCCTCAGAGTCTTCAAAGTCACTCACTCTTACATCCTCATCCTTTGGCTTGCGGTGAGAAGCTGCACCTTCAGAATCCGAAGATATAGCATTCGCCTTGCGTTGCCGTTTTAATTTTACACTGGAATTAGAAAAAAGAAATTCTTAAGAATGCGTTCCTCGCGTTTATTATTTTTACTAATAGTATAATATAAAAACAAGTAAAGTATAATATTATGAAGTAGGTATAAAAAGATCCACTACTGCTACAATTTACTATTTTGTAAAATATTCAAACTTGACTCACTTTTCTTCATCCTCCGATTCCTCTTCATTGCGAGTTTCCTTAGGATAAATAATAACAACAATATAGTTTTAGTGTAAAATTATTTTGAGACATACGAAATTAATTATTGTTTATATATACTACAAATACTTGCTACTTGAGCTAACAGAATTGTATAAGGCACGCTACTCATAAATATGCATCACCTTATAAAATAATTATACCATAATTTAATATCCATTTGACTTATAATATGTGTGTGTACATATATATCTAAGGCCTATGTTGAAGAAAGCTGTTGATGTATGTTGAATTTAATAATATAAGCCTTTAAAGGGAATACTCAGTATTTAATAAATAATTTGAAAAACTATATACCTCTGCCTCACTCTGTCTCTTTTCGTTCTGGGACACTGAAGAATCACTCTCGCCCAGTAAGTCATCTTTAGCTAAATGTGCAATGCTATCTCCATTGAGGCCTGATGGTACAGTGGGCAACTCTAAAACAACAGATACATATGATGTTTGTGTTTTTTAAGTATTTGGCTATCTCAAATCTCTTTGATATTTATTCAATGGCTATTCTTAGTAAAAACTGATAATTTTCTAAATTTCTACGAATAAAACCTTGAATATATTAATATGCTAACCGAATTGTTTTAAGTAATCCTTTCAGAATTGCAGATTTTTCATTCAATTTTATTACAATTGTCATAAAAGTACAAGAAAACATTGAAACATAAATTTCAAAGATCAGCAGCATTATAACAAAAGTGCTTACGAAGTGTAAGTTTAAAATGACATTGAATTCATCAAATTATATTCATAAATATTACCTAGTATCAAATTTATTGTATTTTGCAATATTGTGTTGTATTGAATTGATTACATTGAGAATTGAATTGTAAAACTGATTGAAAAAGAGTAACCATGGAGTTTCTTGCTCATTCTTCTCCATAGGAATCTACACTTTGGAATGAGCAAATAGCTTCACTAGAGGACAGACTGACACGCTTAAAGTTAAAGCTCTTGAAATACTATTTCCCTTTTTTTTCTTGATGTTCAAAAGTGCCTACTGTGGTCTAATTGAAATAAATGATATTGACTTTGACTTTTGACTTTGAATAGAATTGACTGTAAAACTAGCCCTACCAATTAATTTGGCGTTTATGGAAATTGACAGACTAAACCTATCTCCATATAAATAAATTATTGTCACGGGTTTACCTTCTTCGGGCATATTTTCATCATCGGAAACTTCAGAACTGGTCGCAGCTGCAGACAATAGGTCATCGTACGTTACTTTCATACCCTCCGTTTTGATGGTGAGAGTCTTCTTCCCGCCACTGTGACTGCCCGTATTATTCGTTGACGAGGAATCACGCCGTCGGTGTTTTTTGTTTAAAGTATTCAGATTTGTCAGTCTACAAAATTCAAAAATACCTAATAACTAACTAAAAATGCCAAAATATTAAACATTAGAATCCAGTTATAGGACAACAAGGATGTACATTAACATCAATAATAATTGTAATATGAATGCATATAAGTAGGTTTTGAAATATTCATTGATAAATATTGAATATGTTATTATTTTCGAATTTCGTTTAGTTAGTTTTATGGACATTATATTCAATATGCATGCGTAAATTGGATTTTTTTCCAGTCTAAATTAACATTAATTATAAAAAAAAATCTCAATTAAAATTTGGAAAAGTAACTACCTTAATGCCACTGCATTTTCACCAGTCAAGTCCAATCTATGAAATAAGGTAGGCTAGAGTACCAGTAAGAATAGCCAGGAATCGAACCCGTGATATTATTTCATTATTTTGAAGCTTTAGGAAAAACTTTAGAAGTATTATTTGTTAATATTAATAATTCATCAACCCTAGTTTTTTTTTCCATGCACACCATTCAGTAATCAATTGAGCTTGAAGTTTAACGGGAAACAATGATGAGTTTTGGTTTTAAACAAGTTAATGCTGAACTACCATAATAGAATATTTCAAATAACAAACTTGGTAGGGCAGTATATCACAATGATTCAATGTGGATATTTTTAGTGAAAAATTGAAGAACAAGAAACCAACACCATAATTCACACAGTGAAGGGCCAAATTAGCCACTACACTAACCCCTCTGGGAAAATTTTATACAATATTTACCCATCAATATCTTTGTCACTTGCATCTTGATTATCAGAGTTCTGGCCGCTGCTTCCACAGGGTTTTGCTTTGGAACGTACCATCTGTAATTATTTTTATCATATTTAATCTAAGTTGTACCTCCTTCACTTCAAGTCAAATACAAAGCAGAGGTATAAAATAAAAAGAAAATCATCAACAATTTCGAAATCTTTACCAATTATACCTTTACCTTGTATTGATTGAATAAAAATTAGAGCTACCTTGTGCTTCTTGTATTTGTATCATATGTGTGGAATGAAAAGTCGAAAGTTTTTCAATTGGCATTTAATAACTACCAATGAACAACACATAAAATTTATGCAATAATATTAGATACTTAAAAACTAAATGCAACATTTTGGTAAACATATTGTAGGCTTATCACAAAGAACATTGTTGCTACATTTGTACAATATACAAGGAGTGGCATATAATATAAATTGTACTACTTTAATTTGTTTACAATTAAAATATACTTAGATCCTAACCTTGCTAACACGAGTATCTGAATGCTTGTCAGCAGTTCTATCAGATTTTCTCTTCTTTTTCCTATTGTCCTCACTGGACGAAGAGGAATCCGATGTATGTGATTTTCGTCTATGGGGCTTGTGAGTACTCTTTTCAGACTCTATTTTAATTTCGTCTTCTGAACTGGATGTTGAGTGCAATCTATTTCTTCTAACTCGTCTTTCACTATTTTTTCTTTTGCGCTTTTTTAATTTCTTTTTCTTCCCTGTAATAAATGGTGATTTTGTGCCACTCTCAGATGAATCATGTAACAGGGATGACTTTATTTTTTCTGGATCTTGACTGGCAATTTGTTTAGTGTGTTCACTTGCTTCAGATTCATTTTGTGACATGTCAAAATAATTTTTCCTGGCATCTTTATTTGTGACATGGTGAGTACTTTCATTTTTTTCAGAATCTGAATCATTAAGCAATGCTTCTTTAATTTCCTTGGCCACGTCTTTCTCAAGTATGGTATCAGAATCTTTGGCAATAGGGGCAGAGACTTTGTCACTGCATGAATCAGAGTCATTAAGAAGTGCATCTTTGACAGCCGCACTATCTGTTACATCTTCCTGGTGTTTAGAATTACTGTTGCTACTATTTGCTAATTGTTCTTTTGATTGGAGATAAGAATCATTTATAAATGATTCTGTTGCCTTACTTGCTTCATCTAACAAGGTATCATCAATATTATCAAAGTTAGTTTCATGCTCATTATTTGAAGATTTTTCTTTTAATTCAGAATCAGAATCATTCAGAAGTAACTCTTTTACTTTATTAGATTCAGATAATAAGGTATCATCATCGCCATTATCTAAAGATCTATTATCATTTAAAGACCTTTCTTTTGTTTCAGAATGGGAATTATTGACAAGTGACTTTTGAACTTTCTTAGCTATGTCTGATATGGTGTTTTCAGTATCTGACCCTGATTCATTTAGTAGGGCATTTTTAACTTCATCAATATTCTTTTTTAAATGTTCAGAGTCTTTGTCATTTACTTCTTTTACTTTATATACAGTTTTGTTATTATGAGTAATTATTTTTAAATTATAAGAAAGCATGAAATTGTCTGTAAATTGAGGCAATCTATTAATATTTACAGTAAACTGTTTGGGTTTGAATTTTTGAACCTCTTTTCTTTTACGGACCCAGAATGAATTATCACTTGATTTTTTTGCAAAAAAAGAGGTAATCTTTCTAGTTTTTTGACTAATGTCATCTTTAGATTGGTTATTTTTATTCTTATCTATTTCCTTCTGTTTTGATGTTAATGGTTTACTTTCTATAGCTTGTTTTTGATTGGATGGCTGATTTGTTCCTGAATTTAATGCATCAGGTTTAAGTAATTTAGATATATTTACACATCTTATCAGGGGTTTAGAACTATTTTCAGATTTGGCAGAATTGTGGTCTGAGTCATCATCATTGTTTGTGTCCTCATCACTGTTGTTGTATTTTCTTTTTTTAAGTTTTGATTCCCCATCATTTTCCTTTTCTGAATTTATATTAGTTTCTTCATCAGATGATGATATCTTGTGAGTGACATTATCTGTGGACTTAGAAATATCTCCATTCTCTGAGCTATCATCATCAATAATCTTAATTTTACTAAACTTCTTTCTTATTAATTTAGCATCTTTTTTCCCCTCTTTGGGTTCTTCATTATGTGGTTTGTCTTCATCAACCTTTGCGTCATTCTCAAAGGATTCAATCAGTTCAGACAATGCAATATCTTCACTGAAATTGCTATCTTTATGGTTTTCATTACTTCCCTGTCTATTAGAAACATTGTTGTCTTGAACAGTGTCTGATTTATCATTCAGTGCAATACAATCCAAAGCATCTATAACATCGTTTTCAACCAATTTATTTTTATCAGAATGAACCCTTTTCTTTTTTGAGATATCATGTAAACTTGTACTTGTATCAGATTCATCTGAAGTCTTTGAACTTTGAAGTTTTTGAGATTCATCATCTTTGCTATCTAAAATTGTTTTACTAGAACTGCCTTCATTCTCATCCCCTTGTTTTCCTGGTAATTGTTTTCTTGATCTCTGGAGTTTGCAATTATAAAATACTGGATATTTTTCATGCAAGGAAAGTGGTAACTTTTTTGCCATAACTTTGACATCCGTATAGTGTTTCAATGAAATTTTCTTAGATATTCGCAACGTGCAAGATTCATATTCAAAGTAAAAAAAATTGTCATTACACTTATCCAATGTGTTATTGCTCGTTTTCCCGCCATCGCCGCTGTTTGTTTGCGCCTGAGATGCGTCAATAATGGATAAGACTTTTTTAACGCCGGTTTCAACATTCGCGAGTGATTTTTTTGACAATTCACAAATAAGGAGAACTTTTTCGGCTGCTTTCAAAACTGCATGTGCATTCCGTAACTTCTTATTATTGATTCTTTTCTCCAATAAGCTTTCAGATCGGTCCCGTAAATTAACGCCAAGTTTAGACATATATTCCACTGCTTCACTCAATAAATCGCAAACAGGCACTTCGGCAGCCATTTCACGTATCTGCTCTTATTTGCACGCTTCTTTGCTTTAAGCTCGTTCCACATATACTACTAGGCCCTAGACTAATAACACAAATACACTTTTGATTACAGTTTATGATGTAGTATAATGGAACATAATTAAATTTTTCTGTAAAGTGCAAACACTGTTCGTCAATTCCAAAAACCAAATAAAAAACCATAGACTAAAAAACGTTCCATTACCATACTTTTTTACTTTAAACAGCCTCGTCCTTCAGTTTGCCAATATTTGGAAATAGTTTTATTTTATTTTGATACCCCCAAAACTTTTAACTGGTGATCTATTTTACAATACTAGCGTGTTGAGGTCAATAGACTCAAGCTTCGTATTAGATATAAAGATATTATATTCTATCGATTGCAAGATGCCCATACATGAAATGGAACGTAATGCTTCCTCGAGACCTTTTCAACTTGGTCGGATAACATTAGCTATACATAAATATAACGCACAAAATAGCGGCAAATAGGTATATATATGAACTATAACTTATGCAGAGATGTATGAATAATTATCCACAAACAGGCATAACACTATCATCACTGAAACACGGAACAATAATACAGAATTCACTGTTTTCATGGTGACAGTAGGGTGAAACCTAAGCTTTACAAAAAAAATAGAGGTACCAATTTTTTGTACTCACCTTTCATGTAAATGGCTGAACTTGTGTTTAATGGACCCCTACAAAGCAAATAAACTTAACTATGATTGTAAAACATTATAGCATGTTATGTTAAAGATTACACAGCAAAACTATACACATATTCCGCTTCCAGACCGAAAAATCGGCAATATAGGCAAGGTAGGTAAACTATCCAAAACAGTCGTGAAAAAGAACCATAGACTCTAGAGGAGACGCACCGTACCACGGAAGTAAAGCATGTCTGGTGTAACGATCCATCCATCACTTTTTTTAACTAATGAATAAATAATTTTTTATGCTAGTCATTTATCCTATGATAAATAGAGCTCAAGTACGGAAAAATAAATTGGTTCTCTAATCTTAATCAACGAAGAACCAATGTAAATATTGTAGGCAATAAAATCTAAAATACTGTACGATTTTAGGTCGAAATTATTAAAAATCAAAATTTTGCTCATTAATACCATTGTTTATTCTAATTTCCTAGATTTTTTACGTAAATGAAATTATTACAAAACTTTATTTTAATTTTTATATCAAACACTTTAGTAATGTTTCAAACAAATATTTATTTTTTACATAATATGTAAAAATCTAATCTTATAGATAACATGAGAGATTTGATTTCCTTCATAATTTATTGTCTTACTTAATGGTATTATAATTATTATGATCATGGTACCTAATGTGCAACTACTCTTTCTTATAATGAGTAACAATGTTTTAAGAAAATAATGAGAACATGCCTTACATAAATACTATACCTTACATGTTTCTTTACGAGTCTTTGACGGCATGGTAATCTTCATCTCAAATCTTTATACTAAACAAATGAGAAGGTAAAAAATCAATTCAAGCTTACTATAGTTTTACATAGATGAAATACCCATTACCCAGTATTAAGTTGTCATAGTAGAAAAAAAAAACAGTAAATAGGCTGTCATTGTCATTCTGATTTATAGTTTTTGGTTTCTGTCTGTCAAATAACACAAAGATTTCTCCTGCTCTGTGATTGTGTAATACAAACATAATGAATGCTCTAAGGAGGAATACGATAAGAGCTTTTACTAGATTTTATAGTGAAGGTACTCAAGGTACCCCTCCACCCACAGCAACGTCTCCACCACCTGGTAAAGTAGTTTCTGACGTTCCTGGACTGAGCAGCAATGTAATCCAACCAGCAGCTACACCGCTAGGTCCCGGAGTAGATCCAAAAAAGACTGGAGCTTATAAAGTACCTGAATATTTTCAGTACGATAACATGAGTTTCTTCGAAGCTGAAATTGAAATGTCCAAGTTTAGATGCCCTCAACCATCTGCTCTCAAGAAGTAAAATATTGCTATTGAAATTTTTGTTTTAGACTATTTAATAAATTGTTAGACGGTTTATATTGTTTCATTTCCTGCTCCATCACTAGTATAGTACCATTTGTATTTGTGCATAAGGACCTAAAATAAATAGCTTTTGAATGTAAAAAAAATAAACATATATATTATTCTGGGTAATTTTTTTAGCAACTCTTAATACTTATCACACTGGTGGAACTGCATTTTACCAGATCTATCAGAAATCTTCATCAGTTTGTTACTGTGTAATATAATTTTCTAAATAAATCCCTATCTATCAATAAACAGGATGAAAGATCTAACCTATCTAAATGTAAAGATCTATCTAACCAATTGCGGAGGCCAATGTTTCCAATATCTAAATTCCAATTATGAATGAGAATGCAATGAGTTTATATCTTACTACTAACTGACAGACCTCTTTTCTACCTTTAATGCTTTGTCAAATAGTTATCCAGCAAAAGTATTTTATTAAAAGTTAAACACAGTTTTATGGGGTTCAATATTTATTCAAAGAATAAAATATCGAATCTGCAATACAAGCTGGTTGAATTGAGTGCTCCTAACAAATTATTATTTTCACCTAGGTCTACATGTCTATAAAGGATAAATGTGTATTCTTCTTGCAAGATTCATATTAGATTAGGTTATAAGATTAAAAGAAATAATACAACAATTAATTTAGTAATTTTTATTTCAATCATAGATTCCCATACATACTATAAACCTACAACTAGATAACGTAAAATGCAATATTACATTTTTAACTGGCTGACTTTTTACACAATATTATTTGTAATGCTCATGGTACCTACACAAATGCACTAAACAATAAATGAAGCAACACCACTTTTAAGAATAGTATCATCAACTTCTGTAAGAGTGGTCGCAGGCTCCAGGCTTTCAGCGCACACACTCTCAGCCTCATGTTACTTCTTCTTAGTCAGCTTCTCAGACAAGTCGTCAAAGGTAGGGTCCTGGAGGTTGATCATCAAGCTGTTGCCAGGAAGGAATACACGGTTTTGAGACTGGGCAATCATTCTAGAAATGCTTTGTGCAGCACGGATCTTCCTTAATTTCAGGTAACCAGGGTTCATTCCCATTGCTTTTCCTAACATTTCCGCTGCTTCAGCTTCTCCCTCAGCTTGTACAATTTTTTGTTGACGCTCTTGCTTGGCTCTTTCTACTACGAAAGCAGCACGCTGAGCTTCCTGCTGGGCTACCTGCTTAGCTTCAACAGCCGCTGTGTATTCTTTACCGAAGCTCAATTCAGTCAGAGATACATCATCCAGAATAATATTGAAATCAGCAGCACGTTCCACCAGCTCTCTTCTGATCAAAAGCGAGACTTGTTGACGCTGAGTAATCAGCTGTGATGCATTGAATTTTGCAACCACAGACTTCAGTACTTCATTACAAATTGAAGGCAATACTTTTTCATCATAGTCAGTACCGAGCTGTCTGTACATGGTAGGGAGAGAGCTCGCATCGGGACGGGACAATACTCTCAAGGAAATATTAACCATTTGCAAATCCTTAGATCCAGTAGGTGATGAAATCTTGCGAGGTCGGGACCTGATGTCGTAAATGATGGGGTACTGGAACCAAGGAATGCGGAAGTGCATACCTTCACTCATAACGTGTTGCTGTATACCTCCTATTCGGTTGAACATGATGGCACGGTGACCACCTTCAACGGTAAACAAGGATTGTGAGATACCATAAGCTGCCGCACCTAGAACGGCCACTACTTTGATTCCAGCGTTCAGGCCAGGAGGTCCACCCTTGGCAAATTTGCCCGCCATATCGTTAAGCTTACTTTGTGCCATCCTAGCGATGTTTCCAAATACGTATTATTACCAAATTTTAATACTTGAAACGATTATAAATTCTAACCTAAAACAGCAGACCGAAATCGAATAATTTTATTGTGCAACGACCACAGACAAAAAGAAGAATACAGAAAAAAAAATTGGAAGCATTTGGTTTAGTTTTTTGAAGTGTTCTACTCTCTCTGGTCATTATTCTATTCAAAACTGTCTATGACTGACTAATTTGGTTATCTGTGGTCTATGAATTTTGCATGACCACAATACAACAAAATGTCATTATAGTTTTTTTACACTGACTGGTTGTGCAGTTGTGCATTAGAAATTCAGCTGAGGGAAAAATGTCTGTTTTCATAAATTTTATCTAATAATATCAACCTAATTCGTCTGTAAAATAACTCGTATTTGTAGTAGTACATAAATTGTGACTTGATCGTGATATTTATAACTAGTCAAGTAAAATTTGTGATCACAACATCATGGATTCGTGTCTCGGAGTTGAACAGGATTTAGACAAAGCTTTATCGAAGTTTAAGTCTCTAAATGATAACTCGAATAAATTACTACAGAATATTATAGACCAAGTAGAAGAAATAAGGCAAGAAATAACCAAACGTAAGTGTTTTGTTGTCACCCTCTAAGCGTCCTCTTTGTTCACAGTGTGTCCTGTTTGTGTGTTAATGGCCATGACGTGACTTTCCAATTTCTATTTAATACTAACTTAGCATAATAAAGTAACTTATTAAGTATTTAAAATTCGCTCTGTTTACTAAGCACTTTTCACCTTTCTCCTAATTTTTGAAATATTATTTGTGAAGTAAAAGTTAGTGGTCTTATCTAAGCTTGGTAGCAAAACAAGTTAGTCATTGTGGTAATGTGTAGTTGAATAACATGTATGTTTAAGTTTGTTTGTATTTGATAAATGTTAATGCACTAACATAACAAAAGACTTTTTAAGATATTTTGCACATTTTGGAATCATTACTACATGTTTAAAACAAAGTTGCTTTCTCGGTCCCTATATACCTATGTATGCTTAAAACTTTAAAACTATGCAACACACTTTAATGCAGTTGTTAATTAATAGATAGAATGATTAAAAAGTTAGGTTTATCTGTATTATAACATCCATTAAATTTTTGAATAAATAAGTATTAGCATTGCATTCTGTAAAACTAGTGTGGGTTGCTAATAATAGAAAAAGACATTTAAATTGCTTACTATACTGCTATATTCTTTTGCTGACTGATTGATTTACTAAACTTTAATCAAATTTAATATATTTTTTATGTTTTTCAGAATCAAATGACACTCAGCTGACTCCAGCACAGGCCATGCTAATTAGTGATTTGGCAGCAACAGTCAAAGCGTCCACCTCTCAAATGTCTACAGGTAATTGTTAGTGCATCAATTATTTCTTAATTACAAATGGAAACAGTACAATGTTGAAACATCTTTTAAATTTCATTGAACTCTGGCACATGAAGTAAGACTCAGACAATGAATGAATTATTTATTATTAGCCTATATTTTAAACGTCGTCGATCCCACAGTGCCTAAAGACGAAAGTCTTCAATCAGTGCGTCCTACCTGTCATGACATACGGAGCCGAAACGTGGACACTGACGGTGCGGCTGGTTCACAAGCTAAAAGTCACTCAGCGAGCTATGGAGAGGGCTATGCTCGGCGTTTCTCTGCGAGATCGAATCAGAAACGAGGTGATCCGGCAGAGAACCAAGGTAATCGACATAGCCCACCGGATTAGCAAGCTGAAATGGCAGTGGGCTGGCCATATTAGCCGAAGAACCGATGACCGTTGGAGTAGACGAGTTCTTGAGTGGAGACCGCGTCTCGGCAAACGTAATGTAGGACGTCCTCAGGCAAGGTGGAGTGACGATTTGCGCAAGATGGCTGGCAGGAGCTGGATGCGAGTGGCCGAAGATCGATCCCAGTGGCGTGCAATAGGAGAGGCCTATGTCCAGCAGTGGACTGAAAAGGGCTGATGATGATGATGATGATGATGATATTTTAAACCAGGTTACATCTGATTTCTGTATAATATTTGTCAGATTTAAATTAATGTGTCTTACTTCATAGGTTAATAAGTCATACACATGAATACTATGCTGGATACAGGTTGCTTCCAACAGGCCAATCCAGAAGTCATTGGTATTGACTTTTATTTAGAAATGGACTTCTTACTAGACTTGTAAATAGGAATATAATCACTGTAGCTCTAGTAATTACTAGACAGTAGTTCATTCGAAATCAAAAGCTATTGTTTCATGTACTATTTCTATATGATATTTAATTTTAAACCCTTCTTCATGTATTCAAGAAACATATTTTAACTCAACAGATCACAGAGAACTGCATGCAACAGTTTCAAGAGTTGGTAAATCAATAGACAGGCACTTTATTGCTGATTATGCATCAGTAGCTCCAAAGGCAGAGTCCTTCTGTAATGATGTCAACAGGCCCATCATGGAACAGGCTATAGCTCAACATTTGTATAGGCAGGTAAGATAAATAAAGAATTGGTTGCCTATGGGTCAATTCACACTGAGATGCGATAGACGCGCTAAGACGATACTAAAGTGAAGTTTCCGTCGCGCTCTGCCGCCCTAGACACTGCATGCTTTTTTAGAGAAATTTAAACCTTGTTGTGTGCAGATAAGATGTTTTTAAATCGATATTCTAAAGGGTTCACACAGCGTCGCGTCGCGTCGCGTCGTTTCTTGGTGTAAACTGATCCTAACATTTGAATTGCTTAAAACTAGGTATTGTGGGTTTTTTTTTTTTTTTTTTTTTTGTGAGGGGAAAATCATCAAATGACTTCTCCCGCCCAGGGCCGGGCAGGAGGGAGTGTCAGACTCTTACTGACTAAAAACCCCCCTGTTCCTTCTCCTGCTCTGTGCCGAGGTCGCGGTACCTTATTGCGCTTACCCCGCAACCCCGGCTGAACATCAGCCCTTTAGGGCCCCGTCTGTGGTGGTCTATTGGCTCTTTGAGGCGCGCGCGGAACGCTACGCGCCGTACGCTCGGGCCTGGTTCTGGTCGGGCGGCGAGCTGCCCTTACTCGCCGACCGCAGGCCCGTACTTACGGTGGCCGGAGATCGTCCCTCGATCCCCGACGCCCGTAGTGTCGCCAGTTGCGGCTGCTGGGGCGTGAGGAGGAGGATTGCTCCCTCACGCGGGCCGCCTCTCTCTTTGCGAGCATGACTGCTTCACAAAAGGAGGAGACGGCGTCCCAGTTCCTCTCACTCCGCACCATTGTGGGTAGTATGTGTATATTGATCACATGTTCTGGACTTGTTTTTTTGTCAATATCATAATTAAGGTAATCACAACCTTGCTTTACATACTACTAGTGTCGTTATTGAGGATTTTGAGAATTGAATACCTATTGAACCTGTTTTGTGTATTCAAAATTCAAAATACACTTCACATACAGTTACTTTTGTAAGTTTTTTAAAAGAAGTAAATTGTAATGAGATAAATTTATAATTAGCCTTTTTATCAAAAAGTACTTTTTTTACCGTGTCTCTTTTTCCCTGATATGAATATTAGTGTTAAGTGTATAACAAATAAAGCATTTACTAATGTATTTTAAATTATAGAAAATTAGAGGCCTTTTCTTACTTAGTCCCCAACTTACTCGCTAATGACGAAAGAGGGTCCCTTTTTCCTAGTTTCGCCTCTACTTTTCTGTAATTTTCTAGAATTAAAGAACTTTCTTCTGACAATAACAAACACAAACAAAAAAAAAATTGGTAAAATTTGTCCAAAAGTTGTTGAGTTACCATTGAGAAAAAAATGCAATCAATGGAGAAAAGCTGTAGAGCTTTTCTTGAAACTTGTAGTAGTTTGAAGTCACAACAGGACTCTTCTTCATGAGCACCGTGCGCGTCACGCCGACGTCGTTTCGCCAACTCAACAGCTAATGTTTTTTTATCTTGTTTATAGTCCTCTTTCTCTCTCTCACTTATTTACTACAATAACAAGTTCTTTTACAGTATTTCCTTATGACTTTAAGTGGTATTACGTGATTGTAAACATTATATTAAATTAATATTAATATCTTGAAAACCAATTAAAATTCATTAATAAGTACTTTAGCAATGACTGTTGTAGACATTCTATTACTGAAACTAATTAAAGTTGTATAATATTTTTCTTATTATGACTTTGAGAAAGTGTAAATGGTAAAAAGTGAATTTGTGTGGCGGGAAAATGTGATCAAAGTGTGCTTTGTTATGTTTATTAATGATTCTATTTGATTCTTGTTACTTCGTAGGGTCTCGAAGAAGTGGGTGATGCCTTCGTATCGGAAGCGAAGATAACGGGCGTGGAGCGCACTTGTACGTTTGCGTTGCTGCAACGTTGCGCGGCCGCGCTGGCAGAGGGCGACCCTAGCGCCGCTCTCAACTGGGCCGAACGCAGGGCCCAGGAACTCCAGAACTCCCCTCTACCATTTACCTTACATAGAATGCAAGCTCTCAAGGTATGTTTTGGTGAAGTAGATGTAAACTGTTGTGAAACTTAATTTTATGTTTATTATATAAATATCTTTGAAGTAATAATTAATAATGTTTTAAAATATATGGTAAGCACAGATGAGCAAAATAATTAAAATGATACTTTTGGATAACTCTTAAGAACATACTTTATGTGTTGGAAGTAAAGTGTGCTTTTAACATTATTGCAGTTTATTCTATAATTGCGATATCAGCATGTGATTTTGCACTATTTACATTCACAACATTGAAATTAATTACTACGAAATAATACTAATAGATATATTCCTAGATGTGTTAATTCATAATCATCAGCCTAAAAGCTCAGCATCAGCCCAGTGCTCATTGCTGAGTAAAGACCTCTTCTCAAACGGAGAAGGTTTAAGCGTTAATCACCACGCTTTCTCAAAGCGGATTGGCGATTTTAAACTTATAATTAGAAATTATAAACCCAGGTATTAGTGTCTAAATAATCATAGAAAGTATAATAATATAGAAGTCGGTAAAATTCACATTTGTACTTGCCAGGTTTCGAACCCATACTCATGCACGAGATCCATACCCATACAATTTGAAACGAGCAGCTAGATTCACTGACGAACAGACCGACAGACTTTTATTCTATTTAGAAGTTTCAAAAATGATGACGTCTCGAAAATTTGTGGTTTAGTTGGAATAAATGATTTTGATTTTGACCTTGAAAAGCGGGCGCCTTTGCCTCCGGGCCTTATGTGTGAATTATTTTGGTGTTTTAAGTTTGGACATGGGTAAAATAAGGTGTATGTTTTCGTTCAGCTGGCCCGCGAGAAGGGCGTGGGCGCGGCGATCGAGTACGCGCGGCGTCAGTTCCCGCTGCACGCGGCGCGGCACGAGCGTGCGCTGCAGGCCGCCGTCTGCGCGCTGGCCTGGTGCACGCCCGGCGCCCCGCCCGCGCCGCCCATCTACCAACATCTGCTCGACCCCAAGGCACTCGGTACCTACCCACTATTATACTACACATATTTATATTACTCACTCATTTCACAAGTTTATTGTAGAACAAAGGCCTAACTCTGTTGAGTTTTTTATAAAAACAGGTAGGTAGTTAACTGAATGTAAACAATCTTGGCATGTCATTTTATCTAATTAAGTAAGGTTTCTAAAAATGGTATGTAAAAATATTTTAAATCAAATAATTACCGATACCTAAATTGGTGTTGGCTGCCAAACTAAATCTAAATTATCTTTTATACATACAAAGATTGTTTATTTTCTGTTAATCATCTAAACCTATTACCCTATTAGTTAATCATCTAACCTAGGAAGATTTTTGTGGACGCACAATAGTAAATTTATTATTTTAAAAATTAAATTATCATTATAATATAATTAATACTTGTCTAAATTATAATACATATATTTCTTTCCTAATTTTTTATTGGCAAAGAAACATATATTGTGGCCAATAGTTTGAATAAATATGTATATACAATCATTTATTTATTTTATAATTTGATGCACAGCCAAAATTGTGCATAACTTATGGGGCTTAAGATTTAATGCAATAAGCATTCACTAAAGGTAGACTGAAAGACAGTCTACCTTTATCACATAACAATGCAACTGTTTATTTAGAGTAATTGCTTCTGTTGAAAATTAAATTCTGGGAAGATGTTAGTTTTACGTACCGATTTTGTAAAATGAACGGGAATAATTGGGTAGTTTCCTAGGTCAAAAATAAATTAATTTGACGTTTCAATACAGTAAAATAACTATACTTTTATTTGTCGATCGAGCAATACACTAATAATTTTAGATATTTATTAAGAAATAAGTAAGCTATATGACACAAAAATACTATGATGTCATAACTCATTTATTCATACAAATTTCATAGAAAAGTATAGTTTATGACATTTGGATAAAAGTACTGAATTTGAGTAGTTGGAAACTATTGTAAAGTACAGCCAACGTATTTTGGCGGCTCTGAAGTTAACCGACAATTTTGGTCCTAAAAGATCCATTGTGCAGACAAACGGCTAACTTCAGACTCGCCAAGATACGACGGCCGTATAGTAAATAAGTGTGTGTGCGTGGTGTAGGCGCGGAGGCGGCGGAGCTGTTCGTGAAGGAGGCGTGCGGCGTGCTGCGGCTGGCGCCGCTGTCGCCGCTGGCCGGCGCCGTGCTCGCCGGCGCGCGCGTGCTGCCCGCGTTACACGACATACGCGCCAAGATGACGCATCCACACGTCATCGCGGCCTGGTCCGACGACGAACTGCCCTTCGAGGTCTCAGCACTACATACTTACAAACATATATTATCTTTATCCTCATCACTTAGAAGATTCTATTATTGTTTTTTTCTTTTTGATGCAAATGAGCAGTCGGATTAACACATTCAGTGCCCCCGACGCGTATGTGCGTTTCCTCGCACGCACATACGCGTCGGGGGCACTGAATGTGTTAAGTAATGTTAAACAATCGACGCCGCCCATACACTCATGCAACAATGAAAGAGTTACAATTGTGATCCTATTTTCGAGTTTTTAAAATTGGGGAGTGGGGAAGAAAGGGAAACATGTTACCAAAAATAAAATCTGGTAACCTCATTCACACAACGTAACACAATATAACGAAACATTACTCTCCCAGATTTTAACATGGTTCTTGTGTTTTTGATTAAATAAATAATTAAACCTAGCACACAGAGAAGACTTCTTAATACAGTCTTAAAAAAAACCGGCTTCAAAAAGTAAACTAAAAAGCAAAAAAATAATTAGCTTTGTACAAAATAATACATATTTTCTTTTATTTAAATAGAAAATAATATTTAATAACTATTTCATAATCTTGAAGTCGGTGCTAAGTAAATGTTACATACCAAACAACAACAGTATTAGAAAAATATATTGATTGGTACCTAACAACAGGTATGTAGGTAATATTTTAACTAATACCGATTGTGTACTGATCTTCGATATATCGTAGCCCTTGATCATTTGAACTATTGTTGATTCAACATTGGTGTGTGATGTTCCCAGGTGGACCTCGGCGAGGACGGTGGCGGCTACCACTCAGTGTTCGCGTGCCCCATCCTGCGCCAACAAGCCTCGGAGCAGAACCCTCCCATGCGTCTCCTCTGTGGACACGTCATCTCCAGGGACGCTCTCAACAAACTCGCCATGGGCGCCAAGTAAGTACAAAACATAACATATCTACATACATTATCATTACCATTTAACTACATACATACATTCATACATTAAAAACTTCTTTGCTATGGGAGGATAGGAACCAAAGGCACTCTTTGCTTCTTTCACATTTAATGCAATAACTTTATATATATACTCATATAATTATTTTATATTACTATTTATATACTCATATTTTTATTCCCTGAGTATTAATATTATAATGATTATTAGTATTTAATATGAATGGACAGGGAACACAGAAACATTATATTATCATGGCTGTGTTACCAGATTACAAATAAAAAAAAACAACTTTTAAAACCGTTATAATACTAAAAATAATGACTCATTCATCCATTAATTTTGTGATATACATTTAATATTTGTACTCAGTATTCTTTTTGGCGTACATCATAATGTGCTATTTCATACAAAATTGATAGATAATTGTCGTTTTTGACATTTAACAAAAGTATTGAATTTGACTTTTTGAAAACTACTACTAATTGAAGATTTTACAAAATTTTCATGAGAACAATATGAGAATATGAGGGTAGTCTAGTCACGCATAGTCTTCTTACATGTAAAGAATAATGATAATTGTGGTAACTTTAAAAAAAACACGTCATTCTTCTATGGGGGTTAAAATTATAAGCTTCTATATCTACTGTGTACATTTCTTTAGCTTCCACCACGTTCATGCATCTTGTCATACAAGCACGCACCTGCGTTTTTTCCAGAGTCTATCCGTTGAGGTCAGCATATGTTCTGTTACGGTCTGGCCGTGGGAACAGATCGCGCGACAGCTACACCGACGGGCGGCGCGACAGGCGACAGAAACAAATCAATCATTCCCATCTCTCCCCATCGTCCACGATCCCATTATTGGTGTCGATTGCGAATTATTACACTAGCTGACAAGATTTTTGTCCCTTCTGAAACAAATGCTTTTTATAAACAATTTCTATTGTGTTTCGTCTTTTGTCAGATTGCAAAATATAGATGTGATATACAAACAGTAAGAGGATTATGTGCATAGTTCTTCATGAAAGAGCAATTGTTTGGAAGGGACAAAAATCGTGTCAGCTAATATGGTCATTCCCAGTTGTCAACTGTAGGGACGTGAACGATGGGGACAAATGGGAATAATCCAAACAAATGTATAGTAATCGTAATTACCGGTGATAGACAAGGCGACCTACAGTGCCCCAAATATTGGGACAAGTGGATTTGCGGCGGAAATTAATAAATGATTATAATCCAGAACATCAGGATCGACCAAAGTATTTAAGAGAAACTCTACTACTAGTTGAAAAAATCGGGCTCTATCTAAAGATTTTGGCTAGACATCGATTATTGATTTCGGCCGCAAGACTATATTACGCAAGTGACGGTTTTGCTGGATATCGCTTCTAATGGTTTATATTTATATTTCATGATTATATTTCCAAGACAAATTCAAAGCGTTTATAGCAAAGTAAGTGGTGGTTGGTATTACGTTATGATATAGTACTTAAGACATATCAGCCTTTTACAAGCATCCCAAATGTGCGTATGCATAGTGCGTGGCGGAATGAGCTACGGCGCGATCTCATGGCAGAGCGGAAGCAACAACTGTCGTGTTATAGCAGCGGTAAGACCCCTCTTTGAGGAGTGGCTTGAGAGATGCCTCGGCGTCCTTACCTCCTGCCTGACGCAGGTGCTTACCGGGCACGGCAGCTTCGGTAGGTTCCTGTTTTGGATGCGGCCCGAGTGTCGGCATTGTGAGGACACAGTGGAGCGTACGGTGGCGGAGTGCCCTGCTGGGGCTGACCACTGCTGGTGTCCTTAGGGAAGTAATCGGTGGCGGCGACCTCTTGTGTCCGGCCTTTTACAATAATTAACATCTTAAATTACTGCAAAAAATAAAATTCGGATATTTTCTTCCTTTTTTTTAAATACAACAGAATTCTGCAAATATGAAAGAATTTGAAAATTTGAGAATTTCGTCTGTGTTCACAAAGTTTGAATATTATGTTTAGTATGAGTATCATATATATATAAGGATAAGGTTTTAATATAATAAAATAAAGGATAAGGTTTTAATATAATAAAAAATCGGTACAGTCACCGGGAACATAGGGGAATAGTACTTAGAGGAAGATGGGACTGTGTGATTGTGAAAACCATGTTGAAAGTTTTATTTTATATCAAAATTTCGTTTTTTACCAAAAAAATTAATTTGTATTTTTCAACAAATGCTGCTAAAAATAATGAAAAAGTCTATGATTGTGATACTTTTTCTAACACGGCCAGTTTACAAACAGCATATTGACTTAACACTGAAGTGTCATACATTACTATACTCCATAGCTCCAAAGCTACAATGTTCCCGAGTGCTATAGGCTATAAAACATCACGCTACAATCAAGCCGAGCAGCGAGTGCAACCGCGTGGGAGTAGCTAGTTATTAATACCTTAATACTTATTTTATATGAATTGCAATATAAATATATATACTAAAGTCTACTTACGCAACTACTCACTGTGAGGACTCATAACAGCGTGACGATCGGAACAGCGAAGTTGCGCCACTCGCCATGACCAGACTATAAGGCCTATTGTCTAGTTGAAAATTGCCATAGAAACAATTTGGAAAGCCAAACCGGCACTTGCAAAATGTAGTCCTTAACTCCACTGGAGTTGAGTTTCAGTACACTGTAATTTATTTATTAAACAAATGTTTCTATACATTTGTTTCTGTTGCCAGTCGCGCCGAGCATAGCTGTCACTGTTCCTGCAGGGACTTTTCGAAAGCCGATCCCTACCGGTGATATCACACACAATGCTAAACCGCTCTATACAAATTAATTTTTCTTTTTTTTTTCAGATTGAAGTGCCCATATTGCCCAATGGAGCAGTCGCCGGCTGAAGCCCGGCAGATATACTTCTCGTGAAGTCACAACGTTGGAACAGTACCAATACGGAAAATAATCAGTCTCGCCGATAGCACAAGAGAATGAACTTACCACAAATAGTATCAGTAACCACTCCAGAATTTCTGCCATTTCATACCATATAATATGTTCGACTATGAAGCTACCCTTATCACTAGTACTTTGAAAATAGGTGAATATCTATCCAGAATTGGATAGTTATGTGCTAACGTCAACAGTTCATAAAAGTTTTAAACTGTGATGCCAAACCACTAATTCGGATTAAGTGAATACATTATTAACAACAACCAACCACTTTGAATATTTTTCAGTCATTATCTCGTTTTATATGAATTTAGCGCGTACCTCGCAAGAGATAATAACAGCTAGATTCCATTACTACATTACTGTAAATTGTTTCGAGATATTCCGTAAGATTTCTTACATTCGTGAGGTATACTCAGCTGCAGATTATGATTATTTATTTTCATATCCACGTCAACAATGACGTGTGAAATAATTATACTTTCCTAAACTGCTGGGTATTACGTATAGGAGTTTGCTTCACTGCCACAACCAACAAATAGTATTCAACATATATTATTAATTATTATTCTCTAAATCTAAGTCGGTTCTCAATAATCTTTTTAACTAAGCAAGGCGCTACCACAAAATCAATCAAAGACTTTAGAATTAGTAGCTTAGCAGGACTGAGAAGAAACATTTTTATAAATGTCTTTAGCATATTATTTTTAAATTAGTGGTTTTTATTAGGCTTATTTTTTATATTTGACGGATAAGAAAATTTGAAAATAATGTTGCTATGTGCTCAAAACGGCAGCAGAAAAATTAGGGAAGCATAATTTTTGATCCCAATATTTATTTAAATAGATGACGTGTGAATGATTTTTTAAAACTGAAGTTATTGTACTTATAGTTTTGTGCAACACAAAATCCGAATTATTACAACAAAGGATATTATTTAAAAAAAAACAACGTTTCTAAGCACATTTTTTAGAATGATAGAGAAAAAACAGTCGTTCGGTGCATCAGACTAAAAATTTGATTAAAAACTTTAGTAATACGTTAATTATACTTGGTCTCGAAGGAAACAAATCCTTTGTAGCGACGATAAGTCATGATGAAAATAATAATATTGTAATAAATGTTAAATAGGGTAGACAACATTATATTGTAATTTTTAAGAAAGAATAATATTATAATTGTTTACGTACTGACTGGTTGTTAGAGCCATGCTTTTGTTTCTTTTTTAATAAAATGGATTCAGTATTCAATTATAGTTTTAATTATATTTTATCTTCAATGCATAGAAATTGATTACCACATAATGTAACATTTTTATTAAATTGCAAATTTCAATGAACCGGCTGTTGTGTAACTTAAAACAAAAAAACATCTGTCATTCATAAAAGGTTGTTCAAATGTGAGTGAGGTTATAAAAAAATGTGAAAACCACGTTGACATGTTTTCTTTGATGGCAACCGAGTTTCTTATTCAGTGTTGTCGTCTGTACATCGAGTGACAAGTGGTAGAGTGGAGATTCTGCACGGTTGGCGCGGTGGCTGGGCAACTGGCTGCTGTGCAACGTGTCGCGGGTTCGATTCCCGCACGGAACAACACTTTGTGTGATTAACAAAATGTTGTTCCGGGTCTGGGTGTGTTGTGTATATGAAATTTTATGTTTGTAAACGCACCCACAACACAGGAGAAAATCCTAAAGCGGGGCATTGTTTTTTTAAAGAAAATACAAATAGAAAATACGAAATACAAATTCTGATCTAGTCATACATTACCACGTGTATTAATTTAAAACAGTGGACATAAAAGATAAGATTGAATAGTTTGCTTAGAAATGTTCGGCGGGAAACAGCTGTGCGTGAGATTACATCTCTCATCCCTACAAACCAACAACTCCAAATTCTAATCCCGACTTTTCCTGTCCCAAAAAGCCGGCAGTCGGCAAAGTTCTTTGTGAACTTTAGTGATGTCCAAGATGGGTCACACTGATTGATAACCATAAGGTGACTAAGTTTGCTCGTTCGCCGTCCAACACCATAAAAAGTCTGATAAGTGGTAGATACGACCCTATACGACATTTCAAATCAACACCACGCACTCAACAATTTCCTGACAGAACATAAAATAAAACAACTATGTTAGCCACAATCGGTTGTTACAGTCACTTCCACTACAGTGGTCATAGTATATGTAGGAACTAGGTAGGAGAGCCTAGTTGTCCTACGAGAAGGTTCTTCTTGTAAATGATACTCGTTGAGATGCGTGTTTCGGAATGATTTATTTCGCTAATTATTGCTTCTTATATCTATATTTACAATTGTACATCAAAACCATATCGCGCGCCGTTAGGTATGTGTTGACCAATGGCGACGCGCCGGCGAGCGCGGGCCGCGCGGTGCGAGGGCCGCCGCTTTGGTCGCGGCGCCGCGCCGCCGCGATCTCTCGTTTGCATATAAAAGGGTCGCGCGCCGAGAGCGCGACATTTCGCCGCGCGCCGTCGTCGAGTGCAGATTGTGTGAAGATTGAAGACGCGGCGGGTGCAGGTGCTCCGCCTCCGGCTCCGCTAGCGATGCTTGCTTATAACAAACCGCTTCTTTCGAAGCGACTACGCTCGGCACGGCGTAATAATTGTTTCTGGCAGAGTCATAAACGTTAACTGTCTTTTTCAAGACAATATTTCTCGTTTCGTGTTAACACAGTCAAAAACGTTTTAAACTGTCTTTTTCAAGACAATTGTTATCATGTTTCTGTTGATAACGGAAAGTCTAAAAACGTTGGTATGTGGAAGGTATATGGTAACTGGTTTTGAGGTATGGTAAGGTATTCGATGGTATCGGTAAGGTAAATACATAAGGTAAATTGGTACATGGTTTTGATTAAGGTATTGGTAGGTATGTAGTCGTGAGGTGCGGCTACATATACATAGTCTGGCCATAAATACTGTTACAATTAAAAATAAACAAAATATTACATTTGAATTTGGAATCTGTCATTTTTATATTATTTTTCATTGTGATTGTTCAAATGTTCAATATTTTGCGATATTATAATGGAGTGGGGTGATAAAGAGAACCGAATCGCTGTGATTGCATTACACAAAGTGGGTATGGAGCCAGTGACAGAAAAAGATCTGGCCGTCCACGTAGTGTTCGTACGAAAAAGATGTTCAAAGCAGTAAGGGAAAGAATTCGAAGAAATCCGTGTCCGTTACCCAGGCCAGATGTTGTCGACAATGGTCATTTGAATCTTATAGATAATTAGTTGTGGGGCTTCTGTAATTGTTGCGCACATTTTTAAATTTGTTGCGCTTATAGTTTTTTAATTATTTCACAAAAACATTTCCTGCTGGCGTAACGTTACCACAGCCAGACCTTTTTCTTTCTAATGGGAATATTTAAATAAATATTAGCTATAAAATTAGTTGTCTAGATAAAGTAAATGTTGTGCCTTATTTTGTATTTGTTCTTTCTTCGGTTGCGAAGTTATTCGAGATTTTGCTGCGGTAACGTTTTTGGTTTTGCTAGATCTTTGAAATGGTTAAGCGGATTCTTATCTTATTTTGTACACGACTTCCGAGGACTTAGTTTAAATTTGTTGTGCAATAACAAAACCAAAATAATGCATATTTTAAAGGTTATTTCATTAAATAGAAAAACACTTCAATTGGCCCCAGCACTCTCAATAAGAAGTCTAAAGACTTACTTTGAACGTAATTTTAAAGCTTGTAACTGCCTTCAAATGTATGTGAAGTTTCATTAGTATCCCGTAAGTATTTAACAAGTTATGATGATATTCAGTTCTTCACGAGCACGGTCTTAATGCACGCGGTGTTATTTGGCCACTGGATTGGATATATGAACTGAATGTTATGACAATAATTAGTTGTTTAGATCAGTTGTATATCAGTAAAATTTCAGCTCAATACATTGGATAATTAATGAGATAATACTATTAAAGTCATTAAGAAGTGAATGACCGTGGTAAGCCGACCAAGTTTAGATGGTTACGAAAAAGCGAAAACGCAGAACATTGTACTATCTTTTGAAATGATTAGTTTAATACACCTTACAATTTTGGTACAGACGCGTACACTGTTAAATACCTATATAATAATAACATGAAAGAAAACATTATCTTCCAGTTTCACAAAATTATCAAAAATCACCGCTAGAGCATGCCGTTCGGTAGGTCGCAGGAGGAGTGGGGTGAAGGAGTAATACATTGTTTGCATAACGCACTCAGTCTTGCCAGAAGGTTACTTTTGTAACCTTTTGGATGATTTTTGAACTGCATTTTGAAATAGAAATGACAAGGACGGGTGATGTTTAATCGGTTGCTAAGCAACACAAGTTTTTATAAGTAAGGGATTAAAGTTCAACTGAAATGATTATTTTACCTTTCAATAAAAAATCTTGAATAATCATGTAGTTTTTTTTTAAACTTTTGTACATGTCTGTACTAAATTTATAACACTATCCTACATATTTTAGAAGGTACCATAATGTTCTGCGTTTTCGCTTTTTCGTAACCACCTAAACTTGGTCGGCTTACCACGGTCATTCACTTCCTAATGACTTTAATAGTATTATCTCATTAATTATCCAATGTATTGAGCTGAAATTTTACTGATATACAACTGATCTAAACTACTAATTATTGACATAACATTCAGTTCATATATCCAATCCAGTGGCCAAATAACACCGCGTGCATTAAGACCGTGCTCGTGAAGAACTGAATATCATCATAACTTGTTAAATACTTACGAGATACTAATGAAACTTCACATACATTTGAAGGCAGTTACAAGCTTTAAAATTACGTTTATAGTAAGTCTTTAGACTTCTTATTGAGAGTGCTGGGGCCAATTGAAGTGTTTTTCTATTTAATGAAAAAACCTTTAAAATATGCATTACTTTGGTTTTGTTATTGCACAACAAATTTAAACTAAGTCCTCGGAAGTCGTGTACAAAATATGATAAGAATCCGCTTAACCATTTCAAAGATCTAGCAAAACCAAAAACGTTACCGCAGCAAAATCTCGAATAACTTCGCAACCGAAGAAAGAACAAATACAAAATAAGGCACAACATTTACTTTATCTAGACAACTAATTTTATAGCTAATATTTATTTAAATATTCCCATTAGAAAGAAAAAGGTCTGGCTGTGGTAACGTTACGCCAGCAGGAAATGTTTTTGTGAAATAATTAAAAAACTATAAGCGCAACAAATTTAAAAATGTGCGCAACAATTACAGAAGCTGCTCAACTAATTATCTATAAGATTCAAATGACCATTGTCGACAACATCTGGCCTGGGGAACGGACACAAGAAATCCTGTCCGAAAGCAAAAGATTTTATCTCGGGAGATGAAGATAGCACCATGTCGCGTATTTTAAAAGACGACTTAGAATTTGCAGCCTATAAGAGACTGGACATTTTTTAAATAATAATTTAAAAAAGAATAGGGTGATAAAATCTAAACAACTACTGAAGCGGTACGCAAAGGGATAGGTCACAGAAAAATTTTGTTTACGGATGAGAACATTTTTACAATTGAGCAACATTTTAACAAACAAAATGACCGTATTTATGCTCAAAGCTTTAAGGAAGCTTCTCAATTAGTCGACAGAGTGCAACGTGGGCATTATCCGACTTCAGTGATGGTTTGGTGTGGTGTTAGCATGAAGTAGTGACTGAGCCATACTTTTGCGAAAAAGGTATCAAAACATCGGCACAAGTATATCAAAATACCATTCTTGAGAAGGTAGTTAAGCCCCTTAACAACACCATGTTCAATAACCAACAATGGTCCTTCCAGCAAGACTCGGCGCCGGGTCATAAAGCTCGGTCCACGCAGTCTTGGTTGGAAACGAACGTTTCCGACTTCATCAGAGCTGAAGACTGGCCGTCGTCTAGTCCCGATCTTAATCCGCTGGATTATGATTTATGGTCAGTTTTAGAGAGTAGGGATTGCTCTAAACGTCATGATAATTTGGACTCCCTAAAACAATCCATACGATTGGCAGTGAAGAATTTTCCCATGGAAAGAGTGCGTGCTTCTATTGATAACTGGCCTCAACGTTTAAAGGACTGTATTGCAGCCAATGGAGACCACATCGAATAAGCTTTTTATGTTTTAAATTGTTTTATATTTATGTATTAAACTTACATACTGTAAAAGTAATAAATGTTATTTGCAATAGAACAGTTTATGTTACAGTATTTATGGCTAGGCTAGGTATTTACCTACCTACGAGAAAAGGTGAATAAGTTATCCATTATCATTATCCTCATATTAGCCATAAGGTGATGTAATTCTATCTCTAAAATAGAAAAAGCTCATCTTTGCAGGATTGTTGAATATAAATAAAATTGCACATTCTCGGTACATAATTTATTTAATGGATATGTACAAAGACAAAAGATTTTAGGACAAATAAAAATTTGGCAATAACTCTCAACAATAGCAATAATATTAATAAAAGAGTGGTGTCGTTCAAAAGCCGGCAAAATATCAACAACAACAATAATTTAATTTTACACTTAAATATAGTTCGGACATACCAACATAGGGCTAGCTTTCAGCGAGTTGCGACGTCACAGCTGAGAGGGCGCATCAAACACATCCATTAAGTAGTTAACATCCGACACGATGTGACATTATTCATAATATCATGCGGACCTCTACAGGTGTGACGTCATAACTTAGTCCGTAAAACGATAATCCCAAACAAATACCACTTAATTCAAATAAAGACATACACTTTGTTTTAAAAATCCGTTTTACAAACAAATAATAACAGCATCACTAATTAACCTAAGAATAAATTAATCGATAAAAAAATCTTTTTGACCATTGAACATGAGCCGTAACAATTTTAATATCATATTGATATAACCTTTTAAAAGGAATTTTATGATCATTAACAACTTAATGTGATTTAACATTTCTATCTCTCAAATGGTTTGTTTAAATAAATTTATATATACCATTCTATTATTTCAAAAAAGCTTGTTGGTCTGTGACCCTAACAGGTGAACATATTGCTTGAAAGTTGCTTAAGATCATAAAATTTAATTTAAACACAGCAATTAATAAATAAATCGCGTTTTATCACACATAATTATATACGTAGCATCTACCAGCAAAGTACTACTATTAGATACTAATTATTGCTGTAAAATTTTCATCTACATACCACCGAAAGAAAGGCTAGTGTGTACGGCTAGAGAGAAAAGTTCCCACAAATGTTCGCTACATATACACAGTACATTTCAATGCAATGCTGTAAGACAAGTTTTTAAAACAGTCCATCGATGTTCCTTACAGACCTCGAGGAAGTACAATATCAAATATTTACTACCTTTTGGTCGCCTTGACAACGATCGTGACAACTTTTCTCTCCAACAGAAGTAATCTAAAAAAGAAAACAATACGAGTAAGATGGAAGACGCCCCTAAATACAGCAAAAATGTATGTATTTTAATTATTTAGCAATTAAATTAATTACTATAATATCACTTACGACCTAATCTATCTATGCGTTACATAGTATTTTTATCAATATAAATACATTCATATTACTGGTATTTGAATTTGCTTGATACAATATGGTATAATGTTATCATTTTCATAAACATTTGGCACACATAGACCATTAATTTGCCTACAAAACAATGTGACGAGGAAGTCAACGAATCATAAGGATTGGAAAATATATTTCGGAGCATTTCGCCATCGATTTAGAAGCACTTTGTGAGTCAATATTTATACTTAATTTCTGTCATATTATAAATTCACGCGCAAAACTTCTTGTAAAAGTACCAAATCATGTTCCATAAACATTTTTGTTTTCACTAATACCAAAATTTATTAGCGAATTCGATAATTTTAGTGGAAAATATCTATTTGGCATACATTTAAAACAAAACAAAAATAAACCGTTACACCGCGTAACGTTACGCTCACGATAAACAAAGTCGTAGGTTCGGGGAAACGAAAAAGTATACATATCAATTTCACTAATAAATAATATTGCTTCATCACAAATCAGTCATTGCATCAGTCTAGTACTTCCTACGCGTAAACACGACGAAACACCAATGAAATTGTACTAATCAAGCCATTCAAATAAATATACAGTAGCTTAAGATACAACTTAAGACGTTCCGACACCACAGTTTACTTGTCTTTCTGCTTTATTATACATAGCTTATATATAAATTATGTTTCCTTAGTACAATATACGTGACGATACATTGTTTATAAACTGTGGCGACGAAAATAATTGGACAGTTATTATTTTACCAAAAACCCGACTAATATTACGAGACATTTAAACTAAACTGAAGTTTTATCACAATTAACTCTATTTGGTGTATTCTTCCAAGGCTTTGCCGTGAGCGCCAGATAAATACTCATTTCGAAAGGATTATTTGTTTGTTTTTGCTATTGGGACTAAACACACGTTATTTTAGTCTAAGTATGTCACAGCCTACTTATCACTAGTTATTTTGGTGTTATATTAAGTAGTATGTAAACATTCATGTTTCTGTCCCTTCTTCGTCATGTAAAAGTGTATGTACAGGCATTCCAATGGTATTTAATCCGGCACTCGTCCTCTCTAACGACACTCCGTACTCCAGTTATAATTCTCTAACGATAGAATAGAAGCATTTTAGTAGGCACTTGAGAGAAACCGGCCTGTACCAAGTATATTCTACTTAATCAATAGTTTATACATTAGCAATTTAGCCACACCAATACAAGATATAATAGATATAGTTTTGGCTATGTAAATAGCAGCACTCATTCGTCATCCATAACTTTATGACATTTCATTACAATGAAAATTGTTCTAAAATGGTAACGTGCAATCTGTTTGCAAGGATGATTCAGATTGACTTGGATCTAGTTGTAATGCATCGTCTTGTAGGTATTAATTAGAGATTTATTTACGGTAGTGATTCATCAAGTCTCTAGAGAGGAAGCATCTATACAATATATCGAAAATTAATAGTTACACATTACTATAATGAATAAAATTTCTCTATATCTGCGGCGAATGCCATTACACACTAATTCTTAACTGCGAGACAACGGGAACTGTCTACGAGCTAGTAAATATTTCGGTAAAATTATTTGAGTACACTGTTCATCTAATCACGCACAGATACAAAGTTAAGTCCTTATCAATATGATAAATAAGTTTCGTGTTAACACTGTAGGCGATTGTATGAAGTAGTTCCCTTTTATATGAACACAAAATACGGCTTGCTTATGGCTAATGCATGTATCTGCTATCATGTAAATATATACATGTGCTATCACTTTCGGGAGTAACACATTTTTATATATTAAAATACATTTTGATCGCCCTGTATACAATATTTGTATGTTCAGATCACAAGGAGTGTTATATAGAATTATACATTTTTATATTGCTCACTTATATAGGGAATTTATAAATAAATATACTTACCGGCGACTGTGTCCTGCCTGAACGTGCAGGTACACATGATGACATAACAAACAGTAATTATAACTTAAAATCTATCATGCGCCACACTTCCGCCTTCTTCATGCACAAAAGCAATTTTTATAAAACGTTAACTCATACAATACTCTGGCAACATTCGGCAAACAATCAAAATTGATCGACGGAAATACGGGAACGCTATATTACTTTAAAATTATAATGTATAGAATAATTAATTCTTACAATATATTACGATTGATTGACTATTAGTAAATGGGGAAAACCTAAATGCATATAGGGAGTTGCTATTCAACTATTTTCCATCTTTTAAATAAAATATTTCATAGTAAATAGTATCAGTAGTATCACATCTATCACTGTTAAGTATCTACTATTAGGTAAAGTGTAATTATTCTAGCGACATGCGACATGGTTCGCAACACTCGTCTTATGATAAATGTGATGTTTTACACTTGGAAAATATATTGAATGAGAACATAGGTACTAACTATACAGCAAGTGAGCCATTTTACCTAAGCACGATATCTATTGAATATAATTTAAACATAGTAAAGAAATTTGTGTATCTCGTCGAGATTTGCTTATATGAATTGTCTTTATTGGACTAGAGAATGGTAAACTTTCTTGTCTATTTTATTTATCATTTGCGACAACAGAATCAGATACTGTCAAAATGTTTTATTTTTAACAAATGCTTCGTTCTACGAATTAATAATAATATGTATGTCAATATAAACCACTGAACTTTAAGGGGCTTTGCCCCGAGAAATTACATTTTTAATTTAATTTAATACAATTGATACATTAACTTATTATAATTTTAGAATTATTATCCAACAAATTACGATAGTGCCCTCAAAATAAGCATTGCAAATTGCACAATGAAAGTATTCGATACTTATGAAAAATATTAAACAAAACATAATTAGAAGCGCTGCACTTTGTCGCAAAATAACTTTACCTTCTATATAATTATTGTAAAAAGTTATTGAAATAAATAAAAAGGGTAAAATTGGTAGCGTGGTTTGTTTATAACACCCGAAATGTAGGTAACAGTAATGGATACTCAAAGTTCAAAAGAGGTCGTAAGTATTTTTGTTAGAATCCATTGCACAAAAGAGAAATCAGTTTGCGCAAAACATACTTTGGCGCAATTATCACATTTGCATATTTTTTGTGACTCTTGTCTGATTTGACATAATTGAGTTCTATTACTGAACCTACAGGCGCAACGTTTGTATCTGAATATGATGAATGCGTGAGAATACACAAGGGAAGCAGTGATCCGCAGTTTGGGGGCGTAACTGTCAGTGGTGCGTGGATACGAACCGGGGACAGCAGGGCTGCGGAGCTGATGCCGAAGCTAGCTAGTCGCGAGGCGGCGGGCGAGCTAGGTCAACGGGCGGCCGGGCGAGCTAGCAGGTCGCGAGATGGGCGAGCTAGCTGGGCGCGGGCTCAGAGCGTACGCCGGCGAGGTTAAGGAGCGCCTCGGCCGTGCGGCGCTCCTCGCCGCCGCTGTACGAGTGCTCGTCGCGCGCGCACCGGGAGATCACCAGGTGCGCTGCCGGCGGCAACTGTACAGAAATTCATATGTACGGTCTTATCGTTCATATTATAATATGTTGACACCAGTTTCGCTTAAGTAGTGGACGTACAAGATATTTCGCTAAATTAGAAGAGAGTTAATAATCATTATGATATTGTTTATTTACCTGGTCGAGTACAGCAGGTCCGTACTTCATGGCGAGTACAGTGGCGGCTGCAAGGTACTCATCAGCGCCGGGCTCAGGGTCGGCCAGGCGGCGTGCCAGCAATGACACTCGAGTACCGTTCTCTTGCACTGGCTCAGGGTTCTCTACCACATCGCCCACTGCTGGTATTGGTTGTCTACCAAACGCCTGAGGAGATACTTTCTGATTAACACAGTTTAGCGGTGTCCGCCAGTCGAGTTATTGTGTTGTGTGTAGAAGAATTTTACGGTTGATCAACATGCAATGAAATTGGTACTACATTTGTACATATTTACGGATTGACTAAGCACTCCGGTGTTTGGTATACACGTAATATAATTATGTCAGTAGATGTATTGTATGATGAATATTATTTCATTTCCTTTATCAATTGGCATGCTACCGTTTTGCATAAAATATTAATAATTAATACTTAATATACTTAAATAAAGAATATCAGTTCTCTGTGTAAAGTAAATTATGGATAGTGCATGCCACGTAGTGCTACTTAGTTATATGATACCTGTAATAACGAGGCGCGATGCTGTGGATCTACCGTCCAAAGCGAACCTTTACCGAGTCCAGGAGCAGCTGCCACCTAGAAAACCAGAACATTCTTTTGTTTCAGTTCCTTAAAAATTACTGTAATAAGGTATAGTTTGATCTCTATGATCAAGCATGTGATGATAGATCGAGGCAATAGAATTTCTATCATAGATAACACTATCGAGTTGATGCTATTATTATCTCAAATAATGAATAAGCCAGTCTCTCTCAGACTGACTTAATTCATTGTTTACTGTAAATAAACCCTTTAAAAAAAGCCATGATCCCGCAATGAGCTTGGGAAATTTACGGAAACGTTCGTGTGTTAGTCACAGTAGTCGGTATTAGTTTTAACATAGGTCAATCAGATGTATTAGGTGACCTTTTGAGCCTAATTGTTTGATCTAAGGGTGATCGATATAAAAGATTTAAGTATGTATAAACTTCAACGTACCTTATGGAAGCACTTGTTAAGCGATAGATTATGCCTGACGCTGTTCTTCCAGCCTTGTGGTGCATGTCTGAAGTAGGGGAAGTGGCGCACGATCCACGCGTAGATCTCCTTCACAGGTAAGGCGCGCGCCGGAGCTGCCTCGATGGCCATAAATATGAGACACGAGAAGGAATAGGGGGGTTTCGTGTGTGTGTTGGCCGGGGGTGAGGGGGGCGCCTTGCATGGGGTGCGAGGGGGTGAAGGGACTCGCGCCACAGGCGGTGGTGTTTTTATCTCCCTCTGTGGACAAATCAAAATAATTATGTATTTTAAGTTTATTTTGCACTCAATAATACACGTGTATGACAGATAAATTACATTAAACAATAGTAGCTTAGCTCAAAGACATTTTAATAGTCGATGTATTTAATATTAAGTTTTTTTTTCTGTTTATGGGCCAGGGATTTATACTTTACTGGGTTTTGTATTTTATTCGAAACCACCGCAAGTGTAGTACATTCTTGAATGCTGTGAGCTTTTATCAGTATTTATTACTTCTCCTGGTTACCCTTTCAAGAGCATTTTAAACGTAGATGCTTAGATGTATCTAAGCAGCGTAAAGGGTGTTTAAAAGGAAAGCCATACGGCGCACTTTGGCAACATTCCAAGAAAGCAGTCAAAATGCAATCTGTACATGAGACATTGTATAAGACTAACATTTTTCTTTTATGAAAATGTAGGGTACTGCCGCAGGTCTTTAAGTATCGATGTTTTATAAATTTTGACCTTATAATAAGTTAAATAAGGATGTAAATATATCTTTCAGATTCGAGTAAGTTGTTGGGTGGGTATTATTCTCTCTATCTGTATAAATGTACTAAGTTTAGTACATGTACATACATTATTAGGTTTTGTTAACAGCTTGTTTGTAGTATACATAATATAGATATCGTTTATGATAAACAAACACGTTTATCAGAGATAAGATTAGATGATATTTTTCCAAAAAGTATGATGTAAATCTGCCAAAATCGATAATTACGAAACATCTTTACTACGTCTTTTTTTGGAAAAGTTACATAAAAATACATTTGGATTATACAAAAATAAATCTGTAAAAGTTGAAGAGGTTGTACCTTTTTTATTAAAAAAGTCCACATGAACACTGAATGTTACATATTACCTATTCGTATACAAAACACTTAAAGCAGGTAATAAATTCAAATAAAAAAAATCGAGTCAAATCTTTTAAAAAAGATTACTTGAGCTTTTACGCAGTACGAAGGTTCGTAATTTTTTCAAGTCCAATGGAACTCGCTCAAGCTTAATATTATTCGTTAGTTAGATTATAACTAAGTTAATTGCATTTTTTTTTTCGAAAAACTGTTTAAAAGGTTGAAAGTTCTGAGGATCAATATGTGGGTCACGCTAGCGGAGATTTGACCCTCAATAGTAATCTGTCGACAGTTATACGCGATTTTAGGGTTGTACGAAAATAAAATTTATTTCTTTAAAATTTTTCGGAAATGTTCGTAAAATAGTTTGAAGAAACTTAATTCAATAAATACTTCTCTGTTATTAAAATTAACTTCTTCGACCTTGATAAGTCCTATATTATATATCGAAAAATGTTCATTAAAATCCGATCAGTAGTTTTCATGATTTATACTTGAAAGTTTGTATGAAAACCCACGTAAACCTTCCTAGCTATGATCACAGAATCGCGTCGAGAGTTCGGAAGGACAGTCAGTAAATTACTTAATTTCATAACAGACCTACTAGCGAGATATGAAAAATGTAGGTCGACTACAAATGAGCGCTTCCTCCGTACAATCGCGGCTCGCTCCAACCTGCACTTGGGTAAATAAAACAATGTGATTGTAAACACTCGTGGTAACTAACGAATGGGTATTATGGTATAGATCTGTTCTGTATACGTAATACCTATTTTGTTTTAAAATCTGCCATTTACGATAGAGATCTAAACGAGATATGAATATCAAAAATTACAAATATCACATGACTAGTTTCTTCTGGCTACGACCAAGTAGGTTATAGGAAAAAACGTAGCATAAATAGGCTGAGGCTCTATACCATAGAGCCTCAGCCTATTTCATTTTTTCACATCGTGACACAGCATTGTCATATATAATAATAAATAAACAAACTCGTATTCGCATTTACATTGATGATGATCAATGTTTTACAGGGAAAGATGGGTAGTTTCCTTAGTCAAAAATAAATTATTTTGACGTATAAAAACAATAAAATGTTGAACTTTAAATCATGATCTGACGATTTTTTCAAGCAAAAATTTTAATAAGAAATATTTAGTCTATTTGACGCAAAAATATTGTGACGCCATCACTTGCATAGTAATATAGGTTTTTACATATGGTTAAAAATATTAAATTTAGGTAATTGAACTATGTACTGTATTTGAACATTAGTATGTGTTAGTTCATAAAAAGTACAAAGACAGTGGGCATTAAAGTTAAATGCAGTAAGCACGACAGTCAAGGCAGACCACGGGTACAATTCTTAGAACCCTGGGTTTTCCATTGGCAGCATAATTGACTATAAAACGAACAATAAGTACGGCTAAACAGAAAACTAATGATGAAATAAGCAAATATGACCCATTTTACAATTACATTAAGTAGATAATCATAATTTTTATTTTGAAAATTATCTTTCAAATTGTAAGTCGGCTACAAGTGCCTACTTACTTGTATGCACACTTATATATACACAAAGCAATTATGTATTCCTACTACAAAACGGTTATACCTATGAGTCAGCGTGCAATGGATCAATGAATAAAGGCATGCACGAAGGAAGTAATAGATATCCTTAACTGTAACATATCTATGGATAGCAATGAATAGGTACATAGAATTAGACTGGTTCTATCTGAAATTGTAAATCGGTACTCTAAAAAGTATTTGTAATTTTATTTTTTATGTGATAGGGCGACGAACGAGCCTACGTGTTACCTGATGGTAAGCAATCAGTGCCGCCCGTGGACACCTGCAACAACTGAGGAGTTTTGCATTGCCGACCTTATGGGGATTAGGGTTTTGGAGATTTAGGGATTGGGGGAGAGGAAGGATTGGGCGTCCAATAACCTCACTCACACGGCGTAACAGAGCTATGGTTGTTTACGACGATTTGTGAGGCCGTAGTATCACTCAGCCTATTGAAATTTAGTTTTTGAAACGATTACAGTAAAATAGTAGTGATTTGTAAACAAATAAAACCTACTACAGTGGGCGTTTGATGACATTTCAGGCCACTGCCTATTTAAATGTTAAAGTTCATTGCGTTACACATTGGATAGTTTTGCGAGAAAAATACACAAATAAATCACTCTTAGCGCTTCTACTCTTTCAAAGTTAGGAAAAGGCAGATGTAACTGCATAGGTACATTTTAAACAAAATTATACAATGCCCTCTTTTTAAATTACGACTTAATTGAGGTAATTACGAGTAGAGTTTCTTGTAGCTTACACTACAGAAGTAAATATGTACGCGGCGGGGGTTCAACTATTTTTAATCTGACAGTACTGTAATAAGCAATACCCTCAGCAGTTTCGTTTATCATTGTTCTTTTTAAACCTTGATATAGGTAATGAGTATCAGAAGCAAATTTTATGAAAATGGGTTAAGTAATTTTCATGATTTTAGAATTGTATACACACTACTGGAAATTTGTATATCCGTGCCGCGTACACGATCTTAATAGACGTCGTGTTTACTTGGAATTTCAATGAAAACACTATACGCATACAAACATTCAGATTTGAATAAGAATACGAAGAATTAGAGTGTGTATATATCATGAGAAACTTCATTAGAACATCCTACTACGACTACAAATTATTTATTACATATACGGATATTTATCACCGCAGTATAGAGCAAAGTCGCTTTCTCTGTCTTTCATAGTTACTTAGTTTAGATTTGGGTTTTTTACCTGCACTATAACAGATGGTGATTGGAGAGGAATGTTCTAATATGTATAATAACAACCATTAAAATCTGGAGAAATTTAGTATGAGTATTCTTACAAAATAATACCAAAAACGTTTCACAAGAACATGTCAAAAAAGTAAAAAATGGTTTCAACTAAAACATCACTTTAATAGACGTCACAAGTCCCTCAATGACATCCAGATCGGCGATTGAAAGAGATCGATCTGCAAGTCTGCATCCCACGGTTCCCTACCTACATCTACATAGCTATATATATCAAAGTATACTTGTCGTTTTTGGCGTTAAAAAAAGTAGGAATTTGATGAGTTGTAACAATGAGAAATACTTATCAAACGATCATCAAAATTAATTAAATTAGTTTTTAAATCTTAGAAAACTTTTAGAGATTTTTTCAGAAGTTAAGTAGGTTAACAATGTGAAAAAGGCGAGCGATAGTAGCTTATCTAAAGTTGCGCACTATCGCAATCTTTGCGCATTATGTTACACGTGGCGCTTACGTTGAAACCTCATTATTACGCGCCTCTGACGTTTAGGCTGTATAGATAAAAACTGTTTAACATTGCGTAGACGAATTATTATAACCTCCTAAATGAATCTTCATTGAGCAGAAGCTTTGACATACTTGGTTAATAGAGATCAGTCGAGTCGAGATTTGACATTTTTTGTAAAGTACGCTTCTCTGTTACGTTTGTGAGTTCGTTCGAGAAAAAAGCGTTTTGAGCCTTTATAGTTTTTTTTGGTTCAAATAGGTTGCAATACGCATGGATGGCACACTATAATGCGCTATAAAGCGAACGAAGACAAGGAAAATTCGTTTCCTACACTACAAACTTTTCAAAACAAATAGTTAATCGAAATTTTATTTAAAACTTTCCTCTATCTACTTAATAATATTGAAATTAGTTTTCTTCCTTTGCTTACTTGAGAACTCTCGAAGAATTCTCTACAACTATGCCTTTGCTACTGAATACCTAGTGGAAGATGCTATAAGTACCTAGTATAAAACTATAGATTACCTTGAGCGTCGGTAAGTAAAGAATTACTAATAGCGTAAGCTGTCATTAATAAGTATGATATCACGTATTAGAACGTAGTATTTGTATCGTATAACGTGCATGCAACAACATTGCGTCTGTAAGTCGCCGAAATGTTTAGGGGTCCACAAATGAGTTCTACTTAGTCCCATCGCAATTTTAGACTTGACTATTTTAAGTATACTTTAATATAAAAATATTTAAAATCGAATTGAGAAACCTCCGCCCTTTTGGAAATCTGTTCAAAACGCTGAACCAATGTGGAGATGAATATAAGAATATCGAACATGTCTTGGATCCCGCAACGAAATAAATCAGAAGATAATAAAGAGGAGAAAAATCAAGAATCCAGGTAGAATTATTGAAATAGAGCTGTATCTAACTAGGCAGATCAAAACTTATTCCGATAAACGTCAGAAAAGTGTTACATCATATACTTTTTTTTATATCAAATAGCATAAGTATTTATTTATCTTGAGTTATCTAAGAAAATATCAATATTAAGTAAATTCATTCATTTATTTTACGATATACGCAGTAAAGTGTGATTATTTTTAAGTATTTTTATAGTTTTATAAGTTACTGAGGAAATTTACACCCAATGGATGACAGATGCTTACGAGTATAATGATGGTGTTAAAGAGACCAGGTTTTAAGAGCTAAATAAATGTAAGTATTTCTCTTGTTACTTACACCTAAACAGCAAGATTTGTTTCAAATATAAGTACGTAGCTACCGACACAAATAAAGAACACAGTTACTTTTGACACTAAGTGTACTTGGCTTGCATTTGAGTCCACAACAATATGACAAAACAGAAAAATATAGGTTTCATTTGTGTCATATGACATTATATGTTATTACCCATAGCCGTCACATTTAAAATATGGGTGGAGCGGTCTTGCTGACAAACCTTGAACGTATTTACTGTAATTTTACTTTTGTAACAACCATGGGATTGCAACACCGACCAGCATAACGGATTTGTCATTCAATTTGGCGCTTTCTACAGCAAAAACTATTTTGTATTTTGTGTATATTTATTATTTAGTCAAAGCCGAATTAATTTAAAAAAATATCATAGATAGTGATAATAATGACTAATTAAATGAAACTACAGGGAGATATTTCTTTACAACTTTTTTACACAACTATGCTGCGATAATTGCTTAGCCTGAGTGACATTCCATCTCATCCACCTTGGGCGAGAGAAGCCATTTGATGATTTAACCCTCAAAATATGGATAATTGAGAATTAATGAGACTTATTTTTCGTTATTATTTATAATTAAATTAAATTCAAAAGTGTAAAACTAGATGCTATTGCTCTTTTACATCGATGAAAAGCGACCACAGACAATTGAAAAAGCAGGTCATAAAGCACTGCATCAAGAAGATTAAGGAAAGGGCGACTTAAAAAAATGTCAAGTACAAAAATTATGTAACACTTTATCGCGTACAAAAATTCAACCTCAAAATATTGATGACTTCGTGTATATCATATTATCGTCTTGTAAAGTCATACGCAATGTAATATATGATTCAGAACGGCTCATAACTGTTAAAAAACTGGAAATTACGCGTTCGCCTTGCTTATGAAAAATAGGTTGTATTATTTTAGCAATTAAAATTAATTTCAGACCAAAGATTTTATTGCAATGACGTACAGACACGGCACTCTTCGCATTGTTAATTTAAAAAGGCATTCATCCATACCTTCCGCATAAACCTCTTAAAACCATTCAAAACCATTCAAAAAATCTATGTCAAGTAAAGCATCCTTTTTACTTTATCACAACAAAGTTACCAACATGTTTCTGAATATCGTCCGTAGCTACACTATGTTGTAATATCTTTCAGGAATATTAGTTCAGCTTGACATTATCTACTGATATCATCTCAAGAACTTTACACACCAAAGTATGTTGGTTAATTTTAAACAAAATAAGCATAAAACAACAAAAGCTCCCTCTAGGAAGAGTTTTACACAACTATTTTGGCGTTCCCCTGTGACAATATTAAACTAACAATAATTTATTATAGCAACAAAAAATTTGCATTGATATCAATTTATCCGTCAAATAAAATCGACTTAAAGTCAAAGTTGAAATAACAAGAATACATTTACAAACTCACCTTGACAATAATTTGGTTATCAACCATTTTCGTGTCTTCCATATCGACTCCGCTTTTTGTAAGATTGATTCCTGGAACAAAACAAGTTTTTGTTCAGTTCAACGTTACTTAAATACCTAACAATAACATTTACTATTTCAAATTAATATGTAAAAAAGTCTTTTGTGGTGTTTCGTGATAACAGAATTCTATTTTGCGACGGTTCATTTACGATACGAGACGTTCTTCGTGTTGCTAGGTCGGTGTATTTTTCAAGCATATTAAACTCGCAGAAAGATATACTAAGACATACTTACACTCATTTTTATACAACTTCATGCTTTAATTTAAGTAATAATAAGAATTATATGCAATTGGAGCGTTAAGTTGCTTAGTTATAAAACTGTTATAAAAATTGGGATAAAACAAACTTATACTACTACTCAATTTTACTATAAAATAGTTGCTAGCACAACTAAACGTTGATCTAATTAATATAAAGCCACTTCATCCTGCAACTCAGTAGTCGCAAATATACACATTTTGAGTAAACACTAGTATCAGACGTAGACGCTATGTATTACATACTCGTAGATATATGATATAGTTATAAAGATACTGAGAGCGTCATGTTACGTCACGTCTCCGCCCAGTAACTGCGTCATAAGCTTTACCACTTGGGTACGAAGACAGCACTCAAACTACTCCAAATTGTCGAATATTTTTAATGGAAGAAGTTATTGAAGGTGTAAAATCATCAAATGGTGGTGATCTGGCCCTGGTGCGGCGAGAAGGAGCGTCAGATTCTTCCTGACAAAAAATCAACCCATGCCTTCTCCTTCTCAAGCCGAAGGCCACGGTTTGTTGGTCTTGACCCGCATCTCCGGCTAAACATCAGAATTTTCGGCTTCCCCCCCCCCAACCCTGGTGGTCTATCAGCTTTTTGAGGACATGAATTGTTCAATTAAATGAAGCCGTATAGTAAGCTACCTCTAAGTAAATTCCTGTCTTGCAGCCAGCTCAAACTGGTGAGGTCGTCGTCGTGGTCAGCGGGCGGCAGGTTGCCAGCGTTGCCTCCGCAAGCCACCCTGATGAAGGAGAACATATTCGTACAATCGTAACCTCGGAGTTAAGGAAATTGGGAAGTAGTGTTGATGGCAAAACAGTTTGTAGGCTACTTAGATGCATATAAGAATAATTAATTTGCTCTTTAAGAATTATATTTAAAAATGGATAATATTTACAGTATGTAGCACAGAATTGAAATAGTTCAGTTAAAAGTTTTCACCCTTTACCGAAGCTTTAGGAAACCAAAAATAAAACAAGTTATTAAATAAAGGTTAAACGTCAAGTCGATGTTCATTCCCAATTGGACATTCCATTACGGCATTGCACGTATATCTAGAAATGTTCCCAAAATATCTGAACCTCAAGTCTAGATCGATTTCCAAATATATCTGTGTGGGTTATTCCAGTGTGCACTGAAAGTTTTATGACGAATGTAACGTTTCATTTAAATGATTCTGTTCGTTTTTTTTTTTAAACGTTGCCCTCATTAGAATTTTCTCCTGTGTTGTGGGTGCTGTTACAAACATACAATTTCACATCCAGACCCGGAACAACAATTTGTAGATCACACAAAGAGTTGTTCCGTGCAGGAATCGAACCCGCAACACGTTGCACGGCAGCCAGTTGCCCAGCCACCGCACCAACCGTGCGAGAGATTTATTGACGTACGTATCAATTTCTTAGCACAAAATTAGTCCTAAAATACAACTAAGTACATAAGGTCCGTCTCGTGTGCGATTTACCCTTCCCATTCCCATCGCTATGGCACGTGAGTGTGAGTAAGTTTGGGCGGATAATATTTTATTACTAAAGGGGGAGGTTATAAAGTGGATAATCCGTTGTACCTAGTAATACAGTCGTCACTGTGATATGACTTTAGTAATTACACTTGAATAAATAATGAATTATTTGTTTATGTGTGTAAAGAGTGGATCGCTTGTCAAATATCAAGACGAGTGCATCTGTAGTAACGCGATAGTATAAATCAGTCCTTCATCAATCTCGATGAGAATTGACTTTTTATCTTTAGCGCTTGCCTTACCTACTAACCTAGCGAAAAGATAACAACACACGAGTAATGTCAACATTTTTTTATCAGGATATTTCAAACTGACTTTTGTGTGATTGATGACCTGGACGTTTTGGTACTTTAGATAGTAACACAATCTATTTTGAATTTTTAGAGGACTTTTTTTGGTTGATAAACTTGTTTTTAGCTAAAATATTATCTTAACAATTCCTAATTAATCATCCTCTAAGCGGAAGTTGCATTGTAGGAATTGATTAGTAAGAGTAATTAGCCAAGCCTGTCATAGTAGGTCCCTTCAGCAGATTTTTTATTTGTTTAGATTCGTCGTCGGCGTTCGTGTTCGATTACTGTTAATGATTAATTTATATTTCATGGCGAATGGACAACACTAAACTACTGCCCGGTTGAACATTAAAGAAAATATAATATCTCATATTACAGGGCAACGGAAGTATGGAAAATTAAGACGTAGGACAGAAATCTGAACTGGGTCACAATAACATATTGTTTGATTGAAAATGAAGTGTTCATCAAACTTGTTAGCGTTGTATTACATCACACGTGTTGATTCCGACATGATGACTCGGTCACGTGTCACCATACATTAACCTTTACGAAATAAATTATTCATGGTAGGAACTTTGTTTATTTTGTCCTAAGGGTTCATGTAATTCTTTTATTATCAAAAGCTTGATTTGTATGGTAACACGCGTTTACTGAAGTAGAAATATTATTTCTATTACTTATTAGGATCTAAAACTGTTAAAATACATTTCGCAACTGAGTTAAAAGTTCAATTAATCACAGAAATGTTATCATTGCTTTGTATGCAATGATTAAAAACATGTTTACCAACAGTGCCTCATTATTCATATTAGTTGGATGGGAAGTACCAATTCGGTTTGCAGATGCCATGTCCCTTGTGACGCGAGCTTCCTTTATGCAAATACTGTCATCCGCTCAAGAATGTCAAGTCCGTGGACAAACGTGCACTATAATATTAATATTATATGAATTGAATTAAAGAAGAAGCACAATTCTTAATGTAAATCAAGTTAATAGAATAATAAAGTCACTTTGAAAATTCTCCTTCACTTCGTTACCAAGTCACCTTTTCCAAGATAAGAAGCAATCTGAAGGCCTTCTAACTATAAACGTTAGCATAGATCTGTCACATCTGAACATTTATTGATTACTTTACTTTATCAATAAATGGCTGGACAGGCGAGGCGCCGTCTATTTCCTTGTATAACCTATATGTATGAGGTCAATAGACAGTTAATATACCGTTTTATTTACTATCTAGGTGGTGCGCCTTGAAAACATTATTATGTATTTATTAACGCAATGCGATCTCTGCAAAAACAGACTTCAATAAGACTGGTGGAAAACATGAAGAAAAGTATTGGATAGTTTTATTTTGTATCGAGTTACCTATGAGCTTACATATCTGGTAAATAGTAAAAGATAATGTGGTCAAATAGATCTTCTATTTGTAATATCTATCATTTAAAGTCTAGACGACTTATTACACCGCTATTTGTGGTTTTCTATTTAGTTAAAATAATAAGAGGTCATAAACTCGACTTCCACATTTTCGAATCTAAGCACTGAAAAATGTGACGAAAATTTCATCATTCACATGTAAAAATCATGAAACTTACGCAGGTTGTGGTTGTTCCATATCGGACTCGTCGGATGCATCCTCAATGTCATCGAAATTGTCAATGACCCTGCCCGACACCTCTAGGCGTCGTAACGAACGGCCACTGGAGGCTACATGCCGCGCGATCTGGCGAATCAAACGGCGCGGAAGCGGCAGAGATGCGCGTGCGCCTCGTGCTGGAGATCCGCCCCGCTCGCCGCGCATTGGCGCCATCTAGTAACATAAATTCAATTGTTATTACGTTAACTTAAATACAGGATTAAGACTATTTCGACACATTATCGAAATCAATGACGAATTTTTGAGGTTCGTGCTTGCCTGCGGGATATTGCCTAAGTAAAAACCATCAGAGGATGTAGTTCCATTTTGTATTTCAGCAATTGCTATTTAGCATCAATATTGATTTCAATTATTATCGTTGGAAATATATCAACGATGAAAAGCGTTTTATAGTCGTTATAGTCGCCCGTGGGTACCATTGTTTAAATAAAATATTCTGTGTTTATGTTAAATTTTCATTTCATGAAGCGCAACAACGAAACGAGGTCTTTTAAAATACCAAGAAATCATGTGACAGACGCAGGTACCAAACTAGTATTGCGTAAAGGGCATCCGCGTTTACACCTCGTTAACGATCAACACTGATCTGTGGATGACGTAAAAGTTACGTTGTTAAGTATAAATTATGCTGGAGTGTTAAATACTAGATTTAATTTGCACGGCATTACACTGTCCTAATGAACTAATATCGTGTAGCTGACGTCGGAACAAGTCAAGTAAGTAATCGTAATTAATCGAAAGTGGCGTTGCAATCGCCTAATATTATGTATAAACATATATTTCTTATTTTAATTCTACATTATTTTTCAAGCAAACGTGGAAGAACTTGCCGAGTAGGCGAAACCACGCAAACAAACTACCTTCAAGGAAAATTGTAAGTAAAGTGACATAATCTTGGAGTTCCGAGCTTGTTTACGTGCACGCTGAGTACCTGACAGCGACGCAGATTTTAGCGAAGCGACGCTACATTCCTCATTCAAGCTATCTTTATTTTTGTTTGGAATTTCAACGTAGACTTTCAAACAAACGCAGAATTAGCGTCAATCCCAACCTGCACTACTCCGTCAAGTATTATCACAAATAATAGGTTTTTTTTTACTTATTTTAGCTGTTGTGAAGCCAATTCGTCTATACAATCGGAGCATTTTATGTCAGTTTATCGCCGATAGCCAGCCGTTGAACCAATGGTCGAGGACACCAAAAATAAATATGTACCTAGCTGAACTGTAAACATTAATAGCGTATTGTGTAACATAACGGCTTGACGTATAAAGAATGCAGAGAATACGAAAAAGAAAATACAATTATTTTTATCTTTAATTTATCGCGTCAAGTAGCCACACAATCACATAATATCGAGTGACCTTGGCATAGTAACAAACAGCTAAATGTAATCGCGTGGTTGCGTCGTGTCGTGGCGTCCCGGTGTCATCGGCGAATTGAACTGAGTTGCGGACTGACACACAAGAGTGGTTATCTAACGAGAGATTTATTTACAATGCCCTATTACGGACAAGGCACAACAGTAGCCTAACCGATAATCACGCAAAACCAATGTGCCCATGATACTAATTATCACTAAATTATAAGTTCTCACAACTAGCGTTTTACGAATAGCTTAGGAGCGTTATCTTTATATGCAACAAGGATGTCAACAATCTTGTTGATGAGAATTATTCCGGCACGTGGAAAAAGCGTCTGATCATCGCAATTAAAATTAAGAGGAAAGTATTAGTTTTGTAATGACACGGGAAAAGTAGACACTTATTTAGTTTCAGAAAAACCAATTTCGTAATAATACCGACTGAATAGCGTTCAACAGGAAAAAACAAAGGTACAACTGCGATTTAAATATAGATAATAAACAAATAGGTCAGTCAAGCTAAGACACGAAAATAAATTGACAAGTATCAAGATCTATTAGCAGTGCATAATTAGCATTCAGTTTATAGCAGCAACCAAAAAATTGAACATTCTAGATTCTAGATTTTTTAAGTATTGTCCAGAAAAAATAGATTTTTATAGTAAATACCTAATATCAATCAAACAAGTAGGTACCTCTATCTGACAAGGCACTTAATGTAGTGTGAGTCCATCCAATCAGGAAATAATGACATCATTACTCAATGTTGTTATTTATTTTGAGTCTGATATCATGAAGAATGTGTCTTAGTAAAAAGTACCTTCATTGCAATATAAAATAAACTATAGTTAGTATAGGAAAATGTGAAAAATTTACATTAAAACACTGCAGCATTTTGTAATTTATTGTAAACAAAGTGTTGTTCTAATAACATTATTTTTATTTTCCTGAAAAATGTGTCATTTATGCTGGTTCAGAAGATGGCGGTTGTGCTGTATTGATTGTGTAAAATTTAGATAACAGCAGTGTCTCCAAGGTGTGCTATCTTAACTTGCCGCATATAATATTTTATCATTTGGGTAAAGATTATGTAGCCTTGAAACAGCTTACAATATTAAAATTGTATACAATTTATAACAATTTGGCATCACATTCCACACATGTGTGATTTGAGTAATGTTCATGTGTCTCATATTTTTCTAATATTAGTTTAAAGGTCTTTGCTCTTTCCAGTCTAATTAGAACATGTGTTTTTGTAATTATTTTTGTACTATTAGACATTTACTGAAAGGTAATAAACACCATTTATGCTAAGAAACTCTTTAAAGGTAAATTGGGAAAGCTAAAAATGTAACTACATGCTTAAATAAAACTAGAACACTGTCTCTGGGTGACACTTAAAATTAGAAATCCTACAGGAAGTGCGAACTGAAATCTAGGTCATGCAAAGGTCTACAATCTATTTATAGTCACTACCAGCAGGTTCAAGATATTATGCACCACTGAGTTTGTTACCAGTTATACAGAATGAAAACAATAGCAAATCATACACCAAGGTCATAATTCTATTAAAATAATCAAATAGCATAAATCTAATGAGATACTTACTTGAAAAATTCAAAAATTACAGCAGTTAAAGTACAATAAGCATTAAATTTATGTTATGGCTAATAGACACCCTAGCAACGTAAGCAGCGAAATTATGGTCGCGATGCAATTTAGGTGTGATGTAACAGCTAGTTACCATGTGTTATTGTATTCATTGGGTCAGCAGTGGCATCAACAACGTGTTGCTAGGAAACTGGTGTCCGGCCAGCGCGGCGACCGCGTGCGCGATTGCGTCGTGCCCGTGCGTCCTACGTCGTGCTTCCGACGTGGAACCGCCGCGTGCAGCTTCGTATGCACGTGCTGACGCGAACCTCGAAGGGCTCTTACATAATCGCAGGGACTGCCACAGACACGACGCCGAGGACAACACAAACGTTGACTAACACCCGTTCCATATTTAGAAGGAGCGCCACCAATGCGTCCCGACGTTATTCATGCGTCTAGTCACATTTTTAGAACCGCATGTAAACGATACTTTTATCCCCCACGCTGTAAACCTCATGTGCGCATCGCTGTACCCTAATATTGCGTTATTCAGGGTACAAAATCCAAAATGCGTAATAAATTAGAGCTTAAAAACAGATGTATTCATCACACTAAACTTATTGATAGCTTGATTTTGAGATGAAAATTGTAAAAAATGGTCGATTTCAGTACAATGCACTCACCTTGATGTTATATTGTTTGTTAGACGCACAAATTATAAATTAATAACAATAAATAAACAGCATTCCGCGACCTCCGTACTTATGATCAACACTCAACAAACACCTTCCTCAACACCCAATCAAACCATAGACTAAAGAACAACCTACATAAATAAACATATGATTTGTTTAGCTCTATGGTTTATTTTCCGTTTCCGAAAATGATAGAGTGGAGCTTGTAGGAAAGTTACTAAGTTATTTTAGACGATTAATTATGTAATTTAATCGGAAAAATAGCTTTCATTTACAATAGGCAGTATTGGATTGCAATTTAATTTAATTAAAAGATATATTCTTAGAAGAATTCTACAAGTTCAATACTGAGATGAAATAAGATAGAAGTGAGTAAGAATAAAAAAATATTCTACACGAAAACATTTCTGTAACGTGGCTGAACCACCTGGCAACAATGTCATTAACCAAAAAGAAGAAAACACGTTAAACTTGACGTGGACTAAAGTAGCTGGCTCACTGTAGTGAAGTTAAATTTATAAGATTTTAATTATTCCACCCTGTTTAAAGCGCAGTGATACTATAAAATAAATATTCTAGATGTTAGCTTGTTGAAAGAAAATGATTTTAAACATAGTAAGTGCATACTTTCTCATAAAACGCTAGTTTGACGCATCAACCTATTTTCCGGAATTGTATATGTGTTTTTCGTAGTTTCGAGATAAAACCTATTATTTCGTTTTTATTTTACAGAAAATGTTTGGGGTGTTAAGTGTGTTTCTGTTACCATTACTTTTAAGTCAAGAAACGGAAGCCGCGGCTGTAATATCCATTGATTTGGGTTCAGAATGGATGAAGGTCGGTATTGTGTCTCCTGGAGTTCCTATGGAGATTGTGCTAAATAAGGAGTCAAAGAGGAAGACACCAGCTGTTGTGGCATTTAGGGATGATGTGAGAACTTTCGGTGAAGACGCTGTCACTGTTGGCGTGAGATTCCCGAAGAATTCTTATAAGTATTTGCTGGATCTACTTGGAAAGCCTTTTGACCACCCATTGGTGCAAGCTTACAGGTCAGTGACATGTGTACATTCAACTTTTCACAGAAAGTAACTGTTTTGATGTAACTCATTTTTGCCTGAACTAACATTCAACAGTTTATGTTACTTGATCATCCCCTTCTTTGTCACTTTCTATTTTGACAGTAAATTTACCAACTAACTACACATATTACATTTTGTATCTTTTCATATTGCTCTCTATAATTCTTAATATTGTGAGAAAAGTAATAAAGTTTAAAATATTCATTATTGATACTCTAATAATTTATAAGAAAATCGACATCTATATTTTACACAGTTGGAAAGATTTATTTTGCAGATTTTTTTAATTGAAAATGTTTTTGTTCATATTGTAATCAATATTTTTATCTTTTAATTATGGTGATATCAGTGTTAATCTTTTCAATACTTTTGATGTTGTGTGGTATATGGAAACATGTACCATAATGTAAATTATTAATACATGATGATAACTGTTTCTAATCATGACACATTATTTCTTAGCGAATTACAATAATGATGTCAATTATTCTACAAAAAAATAATTTTAAATTTCAGAGAGAGATACCCATACTACGAGATGGTTGCATCAGACCGAGGCACACCTCTGTTCATTCATGATGACAAGACAAAGTTTACTCCTGAGGAGCTGGTAGCACAACTTTTGGCCAAGGCTAAAGATTTTGCTGAAATCAGTCATGGTATGATTATTTTCTTGAATAACATTCCTGCTTTTGTTTGATTGAGTTTATAATATATTGTTGTTAGCCATAAATGTTCTTAAAAGTATTTATTTCATCTAAATTAGTCAGAAATCAAACTTGGAAACTGTATAATTGAAACTTGTTTTTTGTTTCAATGTAAAAGAGCATTTTGAACAGAATTTACATTTCAAAACTCGAAGAGGTCTATAACACTGCATCCATACTTATATTATTAATTGGATTATGTTGCTTAAATGCTAACAAGTTTAATAGTTTGTTTGCTTGAATGCTTTAATTTTCGAAACTACTGGTTTAAATTGAACAATTTTTACGTGTTGTCTGTAATAAAAAAAATATTTTCCCAAATTCCAGGTCAAACAATCACAGAGTGTGTAATCACAGTGCCGGGTTACTTCAACCAGGCTGAACGTCGCGCTCTGAAGGACGCCGCTGCGCTCGCCGGCCTCAATGTGCTGCAACTCATCAATGATTACACTGCTATTGCTATTAACTACGGCATATTCAGGAGGAAGGTGAGAAATTTAGACATTAGAACATATCTACTCAAACATGTGTTTTCTTTTCTCTTAAGACCACTACACAATGAACTTGCATGATTCTCACATGAGTTTGTTTCGGCTTTTCTTATCAGTGTTGTCAGATGAGAAATGTCGGCGTCATCTTGTTTTATACATATAATATTAAACACATAAGGTTGGTATTTCAGCCAATTTACAAATATGTATAAATTGATTACTTTTGGGACCACTGTTTTGATTAAATTAACTAATATTATTTTTGAAAATTCATAAAAAAATATATTCTGCGAGTTATAAAACAATTGTACTTACAAAATATAATTTATTTGGCCTACAGTAAACATAAAAATATTAAATGCATTTATATACTTTCTTTAGGAAATCAATGAGACAGCATGGCATGCTCTGTTCTTCGATATGGGTGCGGCCTCCACGAAGGCGGCACTGGTCGAGTACAAGACTGTCAAGATAAAGGAGAAGGGTTATGTTGAGACTGTACCTCAGTTACAAGTATTGGGTGTTGGATTTGATAGGTACTGTCACTGTTTTCAGTAATAAGATATGATAAAATTATATTCTAATTTGTGTAATTTGATTAGAATATTTGTTATGCTTGAATGAGCTTCGACAAGTAAATTAGAAAGCCTTTTGAGATTAGTCACTTTATGCATATTAAAATATTTTGTATGTTATACATGTGTATGTCAGATAAACTTAGTCAAATAAATGTAATGCTTAATTTTCAATTATTTGATAAAATATGGAGGTCCCTAAGTTAGACACAAATTGTATAAAATATACTCAAGCATGAATACTGTTTTCAATTTTTTCTTGCTTTTTTATTGACAACATTTTATATAATTTCAGAACTTTGGGAGGTCATGAAATGACCCTACGTCTCCGGGAGCACCTCATCAAAGCTTGGGAAGCGAATGGAGGTGGTGATGTAAGGAAGTCCCCTAGAGCGATGGAGAAACTGCTCTTAGAAGCGGAGAGGCTTAAGATCATTCTATCAGCCAACACAGAATTCTATGCACAGATTGAGAGCCTACTTGATGATAAGGACTTCAAACAACTGGTGAGTTATCTGTATATTCTTCATACTTGACTAAGTGTTTTTCGACCTTTTTGCCATTTCGGTCTAGAATGACTATAACAATCCTTCGTGAGACGAATTTATTGATGTTTGTGAATAATCTCGACTACTCAATATAGTATTGATCGGAGTACCTAGTGCGAGATCGCTTTACGGTAATGCGATCGATACGTTTCTTACGTGCGGAGCTCTGATTGGCCGGATCCAAGTTCCAACCAAGACCAATGAATTAGAGGGATAAACACGGTGACGTAATCACCATAACGTGAAAACATCCCCATCAGGGGCTATATGTATTTATTACCCATATGAAAAGGTAAATTAAGTATGTTGCTTGAGTTAAATGTATCGTCTCAATGACTTTAGAATGGAGATGTTTTAAACAAAATGGTCTTATAAGATTTATGTTAGACGAAAACCAATTTCCTCTAAACCCTTTTTCTTATAATAGCTTCTAATAAACTTATTATTATCACTAGGGGGTAAACTAAAAAAGATATTAAACAAGCAACCAGAAAATTTATATTTACAATTTTTTAAATACTTCCCCAAATTTATGTGTATTAATCTGTGTGGTCTGAAAAACACAAAAAGTAGTGGTCTTTGAATTTATCACCCAGCCAAGCAATTATTCGAAATATTTGCTTTTTAAAAGGTTTTATTTCTTTGAATAAAATATACCTTTAAAATTAACATTAATGAATTCATGCAGTACATATACCGTTAGCTATGCGCGTGTTATATGCCGATAACAAAATGGTGAAATCCTGTTCCACATTGCGTAGTATCAACTTGTGAATATATTAAAATGAAGTACTTTTACATACTCTCAATAACCAGGATAAGCGCTGTTTTCTTATTCGGAGAACAAGACCAGGGAACGACAATCATTTTAACAATTAAATATAAATTAATAATAATAATTTTTTTTGGAGAATGGTGTGGGTTATACGTTATTACAACTGTAATGTAACTACTTTATTGTTAATTCTGCAATGTATAACTGTTTTTTGTCCCAAATAAATAAAATAAAAAATATTTTTATGTATGAAATTGTTTAACAAGTCTCTCGAATGCAATGGCTTTAAAGAATGCTAATGTGTTTCTTAATTAAATTATTCTAAGTAACATTCGATAGTTAAAAAATATAATAAGGAAAAAGTTTCATATTGAAATTTTCTATTAAACAGCAAAATGTATGCGTGTTTTTTTCTTCTAACTCTAGATTGATCTGTTTATTGAAAAGTTTATTAACTTACAATTGTGAATATAAAGTAATGCAATGCAGGAATTACTGATTAAAAAATGTCTTTATTTTTTATTGATTGAGTTTATTTTTCTTTTCTTTGTGTGATAAATGAACCGTATGTCAGCTAATAACTGTAGCGATAGTTACGGATTATTGATACTATTTGGTTTCGTTTAAGCATGCCTAACATATTTCTGACAAAAGAATTTAATCGTAAAAGTTCTAACCTTGTATGTCAAGTGTAATTTATGTTTTGTTATATATCAAAATCTTCTGTCTTTTATAATGTTTCTTTGAAACTATAGCTATTCGACAGTCAGTAATTTAGTGAAACCAGGTACTAACATGTTCTAAATCGTAGATTCTAACAGAGGAAGTTTCACTACTGCTTTTTGTTTCATTTATTTTTTCATCATCGAACTGTAATCGGGTGTACTACAAACTAATTTAAAGAATGCATTAATGAGTTCCAGTTTATATTGCTCTAGAATAACAAAGGAAAGTGCAAACATTGATGTAGTTGTTCTCTTTGTTGGCTGACATACTTAACGTAGTGTAATTTCATACTTTTTTTATGGGATAGGTTGGCAAACGAGCAGACGTCTTACCTGACGGTAAGCAATCAGCGTCGCACACCCGCAACACCAAAGGAGTTACGAGTGCGTTGCCGGCCTTTTAGGGATAAGGGTTTCGTATATGTAAGCACAGGGAAGTGATGGAGGGAGGTACAGGGATTCACCTCATCCCACACTCACACGACGTAACACAACGTTTTGAATGTTTCATGCCCGTTTTCTGTGAGGCCGTGGCATGACTCCGGTAGAGCCGACCCATCCGTGCCGAAGCCTGGCTCTCCCACACTTAATTAATAAGTCACGACAATCTTGTTACACAGGTGACCAGAGCAGAATTCGAGGAGCTATGCTCAGACCTGTGGGAGCGTGTATCAGGAGTAGTACAGCGCGCTATAGCGGCCGCGGGTGGGGCTGGCGCAGGTGCTCGCCTCGTCCTCGCTGGTGGCGGGTCCCGTGTACCCGCTGCACTCAAAGCTCTCACTGATGCCGTTGGACACGACCCTGCTCGCTCTATTAACGCTGATGAAGCTGCCACCATGGGTGCTGTTTACAGGTAATTTGAATGTTTCGTTGGTACTAAATAACTATGAGGATGTGACTGCAGGCTAAAATTAACTGTTCCAACTTTTCCATTCCATTTGAAATTGAAAATTGGTTGTTATCTAAGTGTTAATAAACATTGACAGGGCAGTAGTCGGAATTAAATAATAATCTGTTATTCTTTGTTCACAGGGCGGCCTCTCTTGCTACCGGTTACAAAGTAGCGCCTCTGAACGTGCGTGACGCTGTTCTGTTCCCCATCCAAGTAACTTTCACTAGGAACATCGACGGTAACGACAAACTGGTAAGTTGTCTATTATTAGGCTTATTGTTGTGAGCGATTCCTGAGTTTACACAAAAGTAATTTATTTTGTTTTGGTTTTCAGGACACGGTAATATTGCATACTATTTTATATAATCATAATAGTAATTGAAATGCTTAACTTGTTTGTAAATGTGATAATTTTTCAATGTTATATGTATAATATTAATATTTTTTGTTCCAGATTAAGAGGACTCTGTTCGGCCCCATGAATCCTTACCCACAAAAGAAGGTTATCACTTTCAATAAACACACAGACGATTTCGACTTCCACGTCAACTATGCTGAATTAGACCATATTCCTTCCAATGAACTCCAATACGTTGGTACCTTGAACCTTAGCCAGGTTGTTCTTAACGGTGTTGGTGCGGCTCTGGCTAAACACACCGGCGAAAATGTAGAACACAAGGGAATCAAAGCACATTTCAATTTGGATGATTCTGGCATACTTAACTTAGTCAATGTCGAATTTGTTGCTGAAAAAACTGTAGCTGAGGACGAAGATCAAGACAGCACATTATCTAAAATTGGAAGCACTATCAGCAAGCTCTTCGGATCTGATGCCGAAACTCCCGAGAAGGCTGAAGATAAATCTGAGGAGAAACCACAAGAGGAAGAGGCTAACAAAGAAAAGAAAGAAGAAGACGCCAAGAAAGTAAACCAAACAGAGGGCGAAAAGCAAAACGCAACCGAACCCGAAGCTAAACCCAAACCTAAACTCGTCGTACTTAAGGAACCTATTAAATCTCAGGAGACACTTCTTAACCTGCAACCATTGTCTCCTGAACAGTTCAAGAACTCAAAGGCTAAGATTACTGAGCTGAACACCATTGATAGGAAACGCATCGAAAGAGAAACTGCTCTCAACAATCTGGAGGCGTTTGTAGTAGACGCTCAAATGAAGATGGACATGGATGAGTACTCTGAATGTGGAACTGCAGAACAGATTGAAGAAATTAAGAAACTGTGTAGTGAAACCTCTGAATGGTTATACGAGGATGGCTACGATGCGGCCACAGAAATGTTCGAAGCCAAGTTAGCCACTCTGAAGGATAAGACCAGCCCAATCTTCTACAAACATTGGGAGCACAGGGAGAGACCCGACGCTATTTCGGCCCTCCGTAGCATGTTGAACAGCTCTCGGGAATTCCTCAAAATGGCAAAGAACTTCACCAAAGACGCTAACCCAGAGAAAGATGTATTCACAGATGTGGAAATAAACTTATTAGAGAAGAAGATCGATGAGACTACAACTTGGCTCAGCACTTCTATTAAGGAACAAAAGGCTCTCAAAAAGAACGAGGATATCAAGTTGACTGTAGAGAGTATCAGGGAAAAAATGGCGAGCTTAGATAGGGAGATGAAGTACTTATTGAATAAGATGAAGATATGGCGACCTAAGAAACCGGTTAAGAAGGAATCTGAAAATAAAACTGAAGAGACTGTTATTGAGCAGAATGCTGAGTCGGAGGCTGGAGAAGAGAAACAGGAGAAAGTAGGAGAGACACAAGAAGAGGCTCCAGCGACAGAAAAAGTTGAAAGTGAGAGTGAGACTACAGAACCACCGCTGCAACTGTCCGACGGCCAAGACGAACATTCCGAGTTATAATCACCGCGTGAAGTAACTTAATGTATTAGTTTAATTTATTTTTTATTTAATTGACTGTGTGGCTTGTTTGTTTTGTTGTATGTGTGGTGTTACTAAGTAACATGTAAATTTTTGCATTTAAATCTTTAGTCCATCCATTTTATATTTTTTTACATTACTTTGTTTAATTTACAAAGTTGATTTTCTTGTTACGAATTTGGTTCCATTTTAAATTGTCTTCAGAAAGGGTGTAATCTGTTTTATTTATCAATGTGGTATGTCGTTAGATCAACATAGATTCTAAATTAATTTTAAATAAAATGAAATTTTTTGGTATGAATGTATTTTATGTATAATTTTATTTTCCATTAAAATCTTAGTTGCGTAAAACGAACAAGCCACTCAAATGGAACTTATAATTAAATCTCAAATCAAATGGTGGCCGCCCTCCACACTGAAAGAATTTAAATAAAATTAAATATTAATTTAAAATTAATTTAATTACTAAATTTATTTATTTTTAACAAAGAGCGGCTTCTCTCTACGATAAGCAGTGGCCCCAGGTAGCGGACGTGAGAGTGTAATATATTTATGTGTACCTAAACTTTATGTGATATATTAAAGGCTATAAGTTTGTGTGAGTATTATACTGTTTTCCTACTACAGACACAGTGTAAGCACAAAATAGCTCCATCAAGATATTAGTTAAGCTAAGCAATTTGTGTGTCAATCTAGGTACCTCTTCAGTCAATCGACAGGTGTGTGTGCGGTGTTTATGTACTGTTTTCCTTAGACTTCCACTATTTATGCCTTTATTACAATATTTACCGAGTAGTGTAAATGTACGGTGGTGCGGACTTGTAGTGAGTTGCAGAACTCGTCTTATGATATCACAGTAACCCAGTAATCACTTAAAGTGTGCCTTTATTTTTTGAAACCAATGTGTCAAAGTAAGGGACCTAAGTAGTTATATGTAGAAACATCCCTTGTTTTTCTGTCTCTGTAAGGTACGTCCGCGCCGTCTTGTGTGTCTGCGAAACACGGAGTAGTGTACTAATGAAGTGATTTGTACGTCTTTGCGAGATCGCGACGATTCCTTTAGCATACATTTGATTTGGAATATTGTCATCGCCTCAATAGAGTTCTAGATTTGGTCACTCCATTTATTCACTACTCCGTAATGCGAACCTCTGTGGTGTGTCCGTATTAGTGAAACAGTGTGCGGACTTAGGTCAAATAATTGTAACATTTTAAGTGAGATTCGTTCAATACCCAGTCGCAAATGGAAATAAATTATACATGAATGAACATATTGTCGTTTTATTTCACATGATTTGGTTTCAATTATATTCGCTTTGTGAATATTTCCATCAGACAGAAAAATCGTTTGTTTGCAAGTAGATTACCTGGGATACCTAGTCAGGTAAATGCTTGAGTACTTATAGTGAGTGCGCCCGTAACTCGAAAGATATCTGGCAAATTGCTTTTTCTGAAACAACCTATATATATAAGGGGTAGTTTCTATTTAATCAAATTCAATACTGTTGTCGAAATGTCAAAGACGCCAACTTCCTACTAATTTTGTATAGAACAGCACGGTATGACGACATACTTTACCTATACATATATTTCAAATAACACACTTATTTTTCTTAAAAAAAGAATCAAAACATGAATATTAAGAATGAACGAAGGTTTGATTTTTGAAGTATTTATACAAGCATATTTACAATATTATAAATTAGGCATTTAATTTTTAACCGGATTGCGGGTTAAGTGCAATAATGTACTACCTACGATCCTGCGGCTTTCACCTGGTGCAGGAGAGGGGGGAGAGAAGACAATTCAGGTATTTTTCCCTAAAAATACTAACTTGAAAAGAAAATCACCAAATTGTTGAGTCGCAACCCCGGCTGCAACTGTAGGTACTGTTGGCGTCAGTATGGCGAAATGAGCGCTTCATTTGTGCTCGTCTGCGTACCTTTTCGGGCAATAAATCCCGTTGTTGCACTAACATTTACAATCTATCGATGAAAACTTGTGTAAGTATTTATATTTGCGTTAAAATTCAATTTAATTAAAAGCGTCCGTTAAGCTGAAACGGCCTGTCAATAGACTCAATAGATAACGCGGATGCAGTGTAAAAAAATGAATAATCTTTCTCTATTTTTGTGTTAATTCGTTTCGAGTGCATCCATGTGAGTTGTTTGTAGGTAAGTATTAAGTATTTACTAAAGGGGAAACTAGTAGCGAAACAATTTCACGGTTTGCGCTTCCACAGAAGGCTTTCTTTACACCTTTGTCTAAAGTAAATATTGAACGCAAAATACACTTGAGGAAACAGGGTTCTCACAGCTTCTATGTACCGATATTATTGTTCCTACTGGTAGATAGGTTTTTGTAAATGTAGGTATAGGTACTTGTGAGCAGTATGGCGATGGCAGAGTTGAATTTTATCACTGTGACAGACTATTGACTGTTCTCGGCGTATAGCAAGAGCCAAGAAATAGCTGAAAATGATAACTGACATTTGTTTTAAAAATAATCTTCACACTTATAACGAATGTCAAACTTGATTTGAATTCACAGATGTTCAATTGAGACCGGTTGATAATTTCGGTCGTAACAGAAGTAAGATTTGATAAACCTGATAATTTTAAACTACGATCAGACATTAAGTAGGTAGGTATGTTCAACAGATTTTTATGGAGAGGAGGATCATTGTGACCACACCTAGTCTAGAAGTCTCACGGGCTGTAGAAGATAAGGATCCTTTATCTACATTTTGATCTCTGGGAAATTTGCAAATTACGCATTGCTCCTATTATCTACTCTGGACACATTTTGGTAGATTAGACTTTAGTACCTACCTACCTATGAAATTCACGACAAACTACAATCTTGAACCATTTATCATTAACATGTTACGTAAATTTAACAATTTAAATAAGTTCTAAACCTTTAACTTATAGGTACCGGTCAATCGAATCTAGGACAATTTTCGCGGTAGGCGCACTTGCTACTGCTGGATCTAAACTCAGTCACGTAAGTAGTACCTACATGGCAGGAAACTGCGAATTTGACACATTTTAAAAATAATACTTGAGGTGCGTGCACTAAATTGGTCTCCCAGACCGACACAGGTAGGTACTTAATATCTATTCATTAGATAAATAAGTAGGTAGCACGAGCGTCAGCTTTAAAGGGTTGAATGGAGCTGTGTATTCTGGAATGGCCTTACGATTTTTTTATGTAGTGTACATACCTATCTATATTTTTTTTCTTGCTCTAATTTATTCGGTTTTATGTTGTAGTAACATTAACATTATCTAAATGAGTTCGGGATATTCCATGAAATATTTTTTGTATCTTTATCGGACTTGGAGATCGCTACTATTTATCAAGTCTTATGTCGTACAAATGTCTCGTCGGCCCATCATGCCTCGTACATGATGACACCTCAAACAAATTTTAAATCATACAATATCTTGACAGGCACCTAAAGCCCCATTACCAGTAACTTGTTTCAAAAGAACTTTTGTTTTTTTTAAGTCCCGAAGGAAGAAGTCGGCGCCCGCGCCGTGCACTGGCGCCTTTCTTCGAGAGAGCGAGACAGCTGTATACAATTATACACTACGTTGAAAGGAGACAAAGCAATAGCATTCCGCGTCACAGACAGACAAGCCAAATGAATCCAGTTTGCTTGTTATACGCCGGTCGTTCGGGTGTGTGCCGCTACAGTGTTTTTTGGCAGTGATGTAAACAATTGAATTTGAATTTTTCTATGAATCAACACACTCTAATAACACAAGTGTTGACAAGAATATGTGTTGAAGTTTATTTTACACAAGCACCAGTGGATTTTGGTGGGATTTTTGTTTTTAAAGGTAAGAATAACTAAGAATGCAGTTGATTCCCTCTCGCGTCCCTCTTGGAGGAATGCAATGCACCTCGCTGTGCCCCGGCGCACCTTGTGAGTCTATCGAATTTTCTGTCCAATCGATAAAATGGACAGCACATGTGTGCCCAATATTTGTGACTCGTGTTACTTACCTGAGGGCATTAATCTTCAAGTAATGTTGTGTTTGTGAGAGGACACAGATGTCATTGTATTGTTTTCGTAAACAACACATAATATTCATATATTCCGGAGCATGTGCGCCAGTTTCCGTAATTAACTACCCAAAAAATATTAAATGCGAGTGAACACGTTTGTAATAATTCCGAAGTTAAAGTTGTATAATTTATTCGGGGTTGGTTGGGGTGTTTTGAGCCACAAGACGTTATTGTTGATTTATATTTCAGTTCAGATATTAAGGATTCGTGAATATTTAATATTTATTTTGTTAATGGTAATATCTGCTTCGTTTAATCTAAATGTATTATGCAGAAGGTTGGAGGTCAAGACACCGCCAAAATAGTGCACGCTTATCGTTGCTCGTTTCCTATGAAATTAGGAGTCTCTTGTTATCATTTTGTCTTTCATTCATACTTACATATTTACGACTGTAAATATTCATTCAAGATCTAAGTCGTTGTTATCAATATCTAATTAGGTAAACAATTTATGTGCTTCATTCACAGACATCGTGGTGAAACGATGCATTTGATGACAAATAAATACTTTCGTACAAAAACTTCTTCAGTCTTTTGAGGGCAAGTCTTAGGTTCATCCCTCTTTCTCGCCTGGAAGACTGACGCTTTAACACGTCATGGTAGGCCCTCTGTATTCATTTGTAATTTCGATATTTTTATTCAGCATTTTGGACTTTTTGTATGAGAATTAGGTGCTGTTACACAGCTGGCAAAAAGTGGGTGTACAGTTTACACGCCTCTGTGTACCCTTTCGGTGAATAATGGGCGCCAGTGGGCGAGATATTATGGTGATAGAATAGAACCACCCACACAAGTAAAACTTAATTGGTCTTAAACAGTTTGTTTCCGAGACATTTTGTTTTTGCCCTATAAGCTATCGTTGGTTCTTGTCTGTGTGTTCTGTCACGATGATAGTGTCAAGTGCAGCCGCACTTGTTAGCCAGGTAGTGTCGACACCTCGGCCGCGGACCAAAAATGGGTTAATAATATTTAGGTTAGGATGACATTGTCAGAATCTCTGGAAGCATATTCAGGAATATGGGAAACCTGATTACACCGCCGTACGCCTTCTTTAAATTATATTTTCAACTAAAATTATGATGTATGGAGAAGCTGTTGTGATTACAAGCGAAAAGTCCCTTGTTAAATAGTTTTGAACGCAATGAATACAACGCAACACATTGAAGCCATACGTCGAACTCTGACCACCCCTTTACCGAATATCTTGTATGATGCTGTCATCATAGCTATTGGTAATCACATTAACACAGTCGTAACTGTCTCGTTATCACTAACGCGGACTATTACAGTAATAGATATTGCCGACCGAATTAATGTATGGCCGAAGCTAGATTACTATGTCAGGTCCAGATGCCCTAAGGAATCAATTCCGAATACTAATACGATTATTGATAGGGAATATCGAATTGATTCTCCTGTTAACAATCGGGTGTTGACGCAACAAGGCTATATTTGGAACCCAAGTGCTTCAGAATACACCTGCTTGTTGTAATGTGTTTGTATCAATTTAAAAGTCTGATTTCCTTATGCTACTACTACTGCTGGGTTTGTTTTGTTCAAAAGTTGTATTTTGATTGAGTAACTAACAAACGTTCGAAATTTAAATTTTTGAAAATAACGAAGTATTAACTGAGAAAAGCTACTGCATAGTTATGGCTGTGTGTGAAGTACCTAAGTCGATTAGGCGTAATTAAAAAAAAAAGTTTGACTCATAATAGTTACAATATATGTACACGATACGTAAAACGCATTGAAAAAGAGTATACAACCACTTGTTTATTGATTCTTCGTGTCCATTGGTATCTAGAATGAACAATTTAAGGGACCGACCGACTTATAGACAATTTTAATTTTAAATGGTATTAACTCTTATGTGTTAGATATTATAGACCTTCCGGTTTGACTATATGAAACTTGAGTATCTTATAATCGCGTTTTAAATCCATTTGCGGTGAGCACATCGCTGTTTCTCGTCATCCATTTATTTAGATATGATCTTTTTAATTCCCTTGACGATTAAAGCTTGTTTAAGACGTATGGGTATACAACCTTAATTTCCGGATAACATGCAAGTAAGTACGACATAATTATACGAGTAATAATCCTAATGTGTAGCCCTTTAAATTGAGATTAATGACAGTAATGCTAAAGTACCTACCTATCATAAGGTATTAATTAAAACATACATGTTAAATACCTATAAGCTACTTACTTAATATGAAATTGTAAATTGATCGAAAACTAAAAAAAACAGCTTTAATGCATAAGACTAAAATAAAAAATCTTTTTGCAGAAATTCCCCATTATATCTCGTTCCAAAATGGCAACGCGAAAGCAAATAAACATTGGACAGCAGGTATTTTAAGCTGCAGCATACATTATTTCGTTACGAAATCGACGTTGAAATCGTCAGTTAATACCGATGCATATTATCGAGCCATCTTGAGTGAGATCATTAAAATTTTCTCATATAATCACCTCTTTTGATGGATGGCTTGCACAACGGGGGATGATTAATAATATTCATATAGTTTGTTTTATGAATTGTTCGATGTCTGGTGGATGTGCATTCCTGTACTCTTAACCTTTCCTATACTTAGGAGTACATAGACCTTCCTTTCTACTGGTATTCTGTTCCAACGGGGTTTGGAGTCGAAACAAAGTCGCAAGTATGTAGATTCATCAACATTCGTCAGTATGTAGTCGCAAGTATGTAGATTCATGACAGTCGCACACAGTAAAAAACAAATTTTTTCTGTGTGCGACTGTCACTAGCCTTTAACTAGTATCTAAGAGTGATACCATATACTTAATTAGATGAGTTGTCAACCTAAAGTTTCTAACTATTGTTACGTGCCTGACGTCACGTTCCTGACTATGCGGGCTTGGGTTGCGGGATTGGATGAAATGAAACACTAATACCGGTTTTCAGACTTTCTATTGCACTTAAGTTACAGCGTCCACGGAGTTAAGTTATCGGCGTTCCTCTCCAGCAGAGTCCGGCCGACTGACACAACTTTGCCGTTCACGCTGACTTAACTCACTTAACTGACTGCACTTCACTATTTCACTGCACTTCACTATTTCACTCACTTTTCTTCTTTCTCACTTCTTCCTTTTCTTCCGAATCGCTTTAGACTTAGAACTCAACTGCCAGCGGTGAGCCGCAGTTCCGCTTATATACCCCCGGTCAGGTTCTAGAACATTCAATTTCGTTATTCTTTTTGATCGTCATGCCTCCAGAATCTTCCAATAATTTCGTTATTCATTTTTATTTATTCTTCTTCTCGCTCCTTAATTTTTCATCACTTTCACTCAAATATTCCAGAAAGTTCGACAAAACTTCCATCAACTAAAAAACTTCATGTTTACGGCGGGACTCGAACTCGGGGTCTCTGTGGTGTAATCCACACGCCTTACCGATTACACCAACTCGTGTTGACAATTCACGACGAAATTTACAATCTCTAGGCAACGTTTGACAACCATCCATTGACGTCATGATGTCAAAGAGTTTTCTGTCACACTGCCCCCCTCTTAGATTCGCTCGTCCCGAGCATCGTTGCTGCCGTAATACCTCGCCAACCTGTCTATATGGACAACTTTCAAAGGGCTCCTTGAAGACTTCCGAATTCTGTAAGTAATGTCATTGATCTTCGTGACTATCTCGTAAGGACCTTCCCAACTCGGTTGCAGCTTTGGAGATTTTCCCTTCCTTCTGACTGGATTATGAAGCCAGACCAATGACCCCTCTTCAAACCCAACAGAATTGGCTCGTCGATCATAGCGCGTCTTTGCGCGATCACTAGCTTGAAGACCGGCCTCCCTGATCTGCTCATAAATGTCCAACATTTTTGCCCTTAACTCGCTTATATAATCGCTAAACTCGGTGCGAGAATCACCAGGTGGACAGCCCGATACAAGATCTGCCGGTAATCTCAATTCCCTTCCAAAATTTGCAAATGCAGGCGTCTTTGCGGTACTTTCATGTACAGCAGTCCGATAGGCAAGCAAGAAGAGAGGTATGTAAGTGTCCCAATCTCTCTGATGGCTGTCAACCACCTTTGCTAAGTGTCGCTCCAATGTTTGGTTGAAGCGTTCGACCATTCCATCTGACTGTGGATGATAAGGGGTCGTTCGAGTCTTATGGATTCCCAAAAGTTTACAAGTTTCCTGAAAAACTTGGGATTCAAAGTTCCGTCCTTGATCAGTGTGCATCTCCAGGGGCACTCCGAATCGGGTGAATACCTCGTTTACCAACTTCGTGGCTACAGTTACTGCCTCTTGATTCGGTATGGCAAAGACCTCCGGCCATTTTGTAAAATAATCCATAACCACTAAAACGTAGCGATTGCCCGAATCAGTGATTGGAAATGGTCCAGCGATGTCTAAGGCTATTCTCTCCCAAGGCATACCAACATTGTAGATTTTCATCGCCCCTCTGCTTCTTGTTTGTGGACCCTTGACAGCTGCACAACTAGTGCATTTCCGGCACCAATCTTCGACGTCATATTTGCAATGCAACCAATAAAACCTCTCCTTGATCTTCACCAAAGTCCTCCTAATTCCCAAATGTCCTCCAGAAGATCCATCATGGAACGCTTTTAATACATCCCTTATTTTTGAACGAGGCACCACCAATTGCAAATGCTCGTCCTTGCCGTTTGTTGATTCCCATTTCCTGCACAGAAGTCCGTTATGCAGCGTGAGGCTTTTCCACTGTGCCCATAAACCTTTCGTTACCGCGCTATATTGGGCGACGTCACTCCAA